GAGGCGACGGACCGTTCTCATTACGTAAGTCAATCAGCGTGAGAAGATCGCCTGGGATGCTGGGATACTGATGTATTGAACATTACATCACTCGAGAGGGTTAATCCACGCTTGTTAGAATATCATACCTGTAGAATTATAGCATGCTATCTATTATTTAATAGATTATATTATATACAATATTTGATATAAAATTTACAGCATAGAAAAAAGTTGAATGGATATTTAAATAAATAAGAATAAGATTTAGTACAGTGGACATATCATAAAAAAACTACTTAACAAAGTATGATTGGTAATATATTTTGTAAGACATAGTTTAAAATATACATCAATACCATAATGTTATTATACGTCTGATTGTATCTTATGAGAAAAACCATCTATCAGTATCTTGCATACATAATACATATTCAGAATAAAACAATTTTTACTCTTGACCTCGCTCCGCCGCATCAAAGACCCGGTCGGATGTAGCCGGAAAGATCATTTTACAAAGAATGGAACTGCCCGAGGGATGAATAGTTGGAGTTCCGTGAGGGGAAATGGGGACGGAAGAACGTCAAAGACCGTCTGCTATATGGGTCAGTTTAAATAAAAAAATATATATAGCGTGTCCAAATTTAAAATAACATAATAATTAACTAGAGTTATATCTATGTTTTGTAAAACTCATTAAGAGCCTAGATAGCATCTTGTTTTTAAAGAGATTATACTGAGGTTTATCGATATGAAAATAGGCGATACTTTATCAAAATTTTCACAGTTTTTCTATCTTATTAGTACGTATATATATAACAAAGTAAAAAATGTTTAAAATATATCACATCCAGGCGTCTGCATCGTCTCGGACGGTCGGCGTCTGCGTGGGGTGTAATTTGAACAAATGAGCGAAGACTACCAAACCAAATTAGATTCCCGCCGCGCCGGGCCACCACCCCGCGCTCCTACACGAACAGATTACACCAGTAGACCACTGAACCGGCTATTTATAACACACTAAGCTATAATACATACAATAATTTATGTATGTACAGAGAAAAATTGTAGGAGACCTAGAAATATTTGATAAATAGCCATAGAAAGTATATTAAAATCAATACAGTCTCCTTCTCTGTACAATCACTTGTAGTAGCATTAAATAGCAGTTGAAAAGACAATACCTGATGGAATTGTCTACTGTTCTTTCTATAACCGAAGATAATTTAGATTCTATAAATTTTAATTCATTCTATTTGAATAATGTAAATAGTTTTATCACTATACCAATATTATATAAAGAAATTCTTTCCTCACACCAACAGAAAAAGATTTCGCCACCGGCCCTGCAATTTGTAAAGGAAACAACAGAAGAAGTAGACACTGAATATTTTATACCACCTTTTTCTGTTGCTGTTTACTTGTGTGGAACAAATACATATCTAGTTACTAGGAGAAGCGTAGTATGAACATGTTATTCCTAAATACAGTAGTAACACTTATTCTGTGTGTAAGCAATACAAAATATTATTCGTATCCATATGTTTTGAATTGTAAGTATATCTTTAATTATACATTATAAAAACTATCAAAGATTTGAGTATTTTCTTTAACATAATGTGTTATAACATAAAGAAACTTATCGTACTTTTTCGATTAATACTTAAACTCAAAAAGCACAGTCTATATAAATCAAATCAAATCAAATCAAGTATTGACCGAATGCAAATAAAAACCCTGTTATCCGGTGTTTGAACAGTGTTTTCGGGTAGCATCAGCAACGGCCCCTAATCAAAAAATTGAACTTTCAATAAAGGGAATCATTAATTCTACTTAGGGAGGGCCGTAAGATCCTAACGAACTTGAAGGATCTCCGGATGTTTTTACCGGATAATTATTTGAAAGAAATACTAAAGTACTCGGGGGATCTCGCGAGACTATTAACATCTTGTTTTTAAATGCCTGCTAATCAGCTTTGTCTAATTAAAAGGATTTTATGTACTCTACTTAAATGGTAATCTTTAGGAAGATGTAATACATATCTTATGAAAATTAGACGTTACTCTCATAATATTAGTTTTTTATTCTAGAAAAAGAGTTAAACAAAACATTGATACGCAGACTTATTTAATGTCTTACCGTTGATATAAAATATGTGATATATTTATAATACGTAATGAAAGCAGATAAAGACCACAATAAAGGTTCCTATCCGGATATTGATCCGTTATTTTTCTCAGAAGCTATTAGAGTAATGCAGCCAATCCCCCGACAAGCGACCGGCGAGAATTAATGATGTCCCTTATTGGAAGCACAATTTTTTGATTCCACCCATCTTCCTCCATGTCTTGTACAAAGAAAAACATTATAGATGTTACAGTTTCATAAAGTGTACTTGAGTTACCTAATTGTCTTACTTTTTGTTTGATTCCTGAGAAGTCAGTTTTATATTATTAATATATTGTGATGTACATTTCATAAATGTGGGAATCAATGAATTATGAATCGTGTTTCAATAAAAATTCTATTGATGTTATTATTTAAATCAGTGTTAATAGTTTCGGTAGTAAATTCAAAAAGAATAACATTATAGACATAAGTCTAAACTAAAAGACCAAAGGAATATATTGTCAATATATGTAGATATATATAAAGTATTGTGAAGTTTTTTGTAAAGGATTAAAAAAAATTAAAATTATTTTGACCTTCAAGTAAAACATACAAAATAGTTAACATATATAATAATAACTAATAAAAATAATGTTTAAATTTTTTGTATTTTATTATCATAACAATTATACCTACATGCCAGTTCTGTACTTTATATAATCTTTGGTACGCCGTTGGCAAAGGAAGCCAGCGACAGCGTTGTTTACACGAGCCGGCTCACATTAAAAGGAACCCTCCTCGCTTCAAGGCATCTCGTCTCTAGCTGCTTTAAACAAACCAAACATTCTTTATTCAAAAATATTAATAAATAAAATACAATAAGTATTCTTTTTAAAGCGATAGTATTATACATTAAACGTTTTTTACGTCTTAAGAAAAAGTAAAAAAACATTAATTAAACATACATTGTATGGTAAGTTACTAAGTAAACATAAAGTAAATTTACTTACAGTACTTACTAAAAGGTAAGTATTGAATGACATAACAACAAAGACATGATGAAAAATATAAACTTGCTGAATAAAATTGTTTTATATACACAAATAAATTCCGATTATGTACTAAAAAAACAATATACATATAACGTACGGCCACATGACATACATGCAAGAAGGACTTTTAATGAACTAAATAATTTAAATAAAACAAAATATTTTCGACTAAACAAAATCTATGGAATTGCTAAAAAGATTTGAAACTAAAATTTAATTTGAAATTCAAAAGTCTATATATTTAATTAGTATATGAACCAACAACACAATGCACATACATAAGTCATAATTATATAACATTTGACCGTACAAATCCTAAATCAAACATATTAATCTCAAGACAAACAATGCACAGACAAGCCGTACATTTCAATTAGTCGGCATGTCGACATTTCACGCCACTATCTTCACGTAATCGCTTTAATTACCGGGTATCGAACTTGGGACTTCCCCGACGCCTTTTAGACATGATTGCTTTACATTGTTACATACTATAGATAATATGTATGTTAATTGGAACGATTTTGATAGATTTGATGAAAATATTGATTAAAATCAACATTTTACAAATTCATTCGTTAAAAGGTTCATCCTTAAAACTTTTCTCTGAAAGAATTTGAGTTTTTACTTTACTTTTATGCATTAGGTAATATAAATAAAATTTTATCGAACTGGCATGTTTTAACATAAAATCAAAATGACATATTTATTATGATTACAGTCTATATTGAATTATCGATTTTTTCATCCAATATAAAAAAAATAATTCTAATTTTCGTTAAGCCAATATATTTTTACGATAAATCAAATATTTATGAGTTACCTGTATCTCGTATAGTTTAGAATCGTTAAAACATCAGTTAGAAATGTAAGTCCATTTCAATCAATCTTGTTTGTCTACAATTAACGGAACTACGCTCGACTACTGAAAGTTGAACTGTAAAAGCTGAAGTCACTATTCTATAAAAAAAACTATTTTAAATTCTATCGTATTGAGAAAAAAGTATAGAAAAATAATTATGTAATAAAGTAAATACATTTATACATATATTTTTATATATGACGATTTTGATAAACACACGATATAACAAAATCATAGTTTATTAATTAACTTATTTAATACAATAGATAAAATTTGGCATATGCAATTATATTCAAAAAATAGCGATCGATACATGACATCGTACTTTTGAAGTTAGATAAAAAACGAATATACGATAAATTTATTTATATATAAATTAAAAAGGCAAGTTTTATTTGAAATAAAATACATATATTTGTATTAAATGGATTGTACCAGAATAAGCATCAGTTCGTCATGATTGCAATTGCAGACGCGGGCTCGCAGTTGACGCGCAGTTTTCTGCCCGCGGTTTTCTAATCCGAGACCGAAATTTGTTCACGTTTTACTCACTCTCAACTGTTTATTTTATTTATAACTTGTCTGTAGTTTTAGTGGACGTTACACCTTTATTGAGTAACTCTGTCTATTTCTGTAACTGAACTAAAATTAAACAAATCATTGGAGTTTAATTCGTAAATATATTATTGCATAAAAATATTTACCATTTTATTAAGATAGTGTTTGTGATGTACATTTTTAATTTTAAATTTTTTTTTTTTTTTTTTTTTGTTATTCAATATAAAACCTTTTTACGCATTCATAAATTATATCACCGTTTTTGGTTTGACGTATGTCGTCTATGTCATTTTGTCAAAAGAATCATATAAACTCAAGAAAGAAAGAAAACATAGATCCTCACCATTCACAGATTCAAAATTTCATGTAACATTAGACTTTTATAACATTCATGGGCAAAAAACGTAAAACTCGAAGCATAGCCTTTAGCTGACCAAAAAATGGCTTCAAATTTCTCAGAATCCAGTGTTTTAAATAATGATTATTATATAGACACGGATTCATCGGAAGAAAAAGAAAAAGCAGAAAATGGCACGCAAACCAGGTTTCTTAAGTGTAGCAAAGGTAAAGATCGTATCAAATGGATTAAATTATTTTAAATGTTTATGCATTTCCTTAATAAACTGTATGGAAAGTTTCATTTAGAATTCAAAAGTAATGATGAACCAAATATAATTTTAGGGAAATCAAGCAAAATAACTTTTAAATATATCGGTAAAGGAATCAGTCAAATCGCTCCAAAAGAAAAACCAAAAAGAAAACAACGTGAGTTCAACACAATATTTTTTAATGTTTATTATTGGATGTTACATTCAACATGTTTTCAATTTATAGTTTTAGTAATGGATTGGAAAAAATTTCATAGGCTGAGTGTTATCTATTCTTTTTTGGATCATTTAGAAAGAGACTTCCCTGCTATATGTACTGTGTCTGTTATTGGTAAATCAGTTGAAGGAAGGGACATTAAGGTAATATTAATATAGATATGTTTAACATATTGTTCCTATGTTTATATAACAAAGCCATATTTTTAGTAGATGTTAAAGATATCAAACAGCAATGCCAGTAATGCTGCAGTGTGGTTGGATGCCGCAATACACTCAAGGGAATGGATCAGCACAGCTGTAGTCACATACCTAGCCGACTTCATCGCCAGAAACTTCCAAGACTTATCCAATTCTGTCACGAATAAAGATTGGTAATATAACAATTAGAGAAAATTTCCCACGGTTTTATACATTTCTTGGCAATATAAGTGCGTTATTGTTTTTAAAACAATTAGAAAAGTATGTAAGATCTATTACATATAGATTTCAAGTACTTTAATTCAGAATAAAGATGCCTATGACGTCACCAATAGACTGTAAAAAGTCTTTATTGCGTATAAATGTGTGGAATTTCATACCATTATATAACAAGGCTAAACTAAAAACCTTAATACTCCAGGTATATAGTGCCGGTACTAAATCCAGACGGCTACGAGTACACTCACACACGCGACCGAATGTGGCGTAAGAATAGGGCTCGACGGGACGGCGTCTGTGTGGGTGTCGATCTCAATAGAAACTTCAGGTGTCTTGATATTGATCCTTTAAATATAGTGCTAGCGACTTTTAACTCACCCTTCAATGGACTGAAGGATCGTGCCTCTCATACTTGGGAGACTTCCTTGCTTTGTTATTTCATTCATTTTACGTCAGAAGCAAAGAAATAATTACCAATGGTATACTTTTGATATACTATGATCGTGAGAAATATATATTTTTTTAATTATAAAAGATTGTATTAAATATTATTTTTTTTACAAAAGAATTGGTAAAGGTACTAAATGTTTGTTTTTAGCTGTGGATGGGGAAACAATGGTGAGGAGGGATCTTCAGACAATCCAAACAGTGTGTTTTATAGAGGTCCAGAACCATTTTCAGAACCTGAATCATCAGCAGTGCGGGTATTAATAATGAGTGACTTGATTAAAACAATTAAATTCAATGGAAAATTAGTTATTTGCATCCCAATAACTCTTACAGGATACAATATTGAGCTCATCGACGGAATTCAAGGTCTTCCTATCATTCCATAGCTATTTCGAACTAATTATATTCCCTTGGGGCTACAAAACGGACCCCTGTCCACACTACTTAGACCTTCTGGAAGGCGCCTCAATAATGGCAAGGGTAACCACGTAAGAAAATATTAAATTAGAAGTGTGAATCGAGTTGTAAAGTTTGTTTACTAAAATTGTAATAATAAGTGATTAATTTCCTAACATAAAACTATTAAAACGTATAAATTATAGCCTTAAAAGTAAAGGTGAGGTAACAAAACATTAAAACATAATTTCTATGAAAATATTTATAAAAGATCCCTTTTCAGGCCATTTATGAAAGCAGCGGAATAGTATACAAAGTGGGTTGTACAAAAGACCTTACATATTATGCGTGTGGGACGAGTATAGACTGGAGTTATTCTATAGCGAAAATTCCATATTCTTATATGGTCGAATTGAGAAGTAAAAAGTACAGGTTTAGGTTGCCCAAAGACCAAATTGAAGACACATGCGTCGAGATTTGGAATGCAGTTAAAAGTTTAATGGATTATGTGGACCAACCTTGAAAACTGAGCCTTGGTCGATATTTTTTTATTGTTACTTTATATAGATATGCCTCTATAATATAGGTTTAAATCAAGTGACTAATATCAATAAAATTGTTCATTTTATTTGTCTTTATTCATCAATACAAAACCTCCTGGCTTCAAACGGTTCGAACTTAACAATTTTTATTATAAAACATGGTACAGTTTAAACATTTTTTCTTGTCAACAAATTCGGCTAAAGCTTTTATGCCACTAAATATTTCTTTACAACAGTCTAAAATCTCTTCTTTCGGTAGAAGGAACTTGTGCTGTTTGCTTCTGAGTTCTATGAGGTAGGAGAACGGGATCCTAGCTGTTCCATAGCTCCAATCCACACTGGTACCAGTTGCGAAATACATAAGATCTTTGAAATTTCCAACTTTATACATTCGTCCGTTCACGTCATATATAGCCTAGAAATATGTAAAATATAATTAATATCTAACTAACAACTTAATTCGCTGATCATACATTTTGTTGCTATAAAGAAAAAATAAGGAGTAAAATTATGATCAGTCATATATTCTTACTTTAGCCATGGCAGTAGCACCTTCAAGTAAGTTCACGTAATCGGCGCACGGTTCTGATGTAAAACACCAGGGAAATGCGATGACCTCGCTATATGAATGAAGGGATATAAAGATCTTGAACGGTGTTCCCGAGTATAGTATCATATCCTAGAATAATATTATAATTACTATATTAAGGTATAATTTTTATAATAATAATGTCTGAGGTAATATTCAAAACCTTCACAGCTGACGTTTCAGGTTCGGAGAACGGTTCAGGGCCACGGTAATTTATGTGACTGGGATCGTCCGGTGAACATTCTATTCCACTGCGACCCCAGTAATAACTATAAAACACAATAATAAATATTAAACAATCATTTAAGTAGTAAATAGCCGAATATAATCATGAATTTTACCCAAAATTACGATTGAGATCAACTCCAAAACATGTGTTATCTATCTTAGCTCTATTTTTCCTCCACATTCTATCACCGTTATGTGTATGATAGTAGCCATCTGGATTAACAATGGGAAGCAAATACCTAAGAAATAAACTCCATCTTAGATACGCATTACTTGACTGGAGATATAATAATGAATGTTTACCAGTCTTTATTCGTTATGCTCTGAGGAAGATTATCAAAATTCTTCGCGATTTGATCAGCAATGTAAGTCACAACCGCTGGTGCTATCCATTCCCGGCCATGTATGCCCCCATCAATCCAAACACCAGTGTTACAAGCATCACTATTAGAAATTTTTAACATCTGTGAATGGTTAGTAATACCTTTTCCACTTTATAACTAAAAAACTATGTCTCTAACCTTTATGTCTCTCCCTTCAACCGTCCGTCCGATAGCTGTCGAAGTGCAAGTCGAAGGAAATTGTACCTCAAGACTATCTATGAATCTATAAATCTTCTCAAGAGGATAAAAATCCTTCCAATCCATTTCTCGTCCTAAAATTTCAATATTTTTATAAACAATCAATTTATATAAACCATCTTGAACATTTTTAATCCACTGTTTAGTTAGGACTAAGAATAATTGACTCGAAGCAAATTAAAATTAACTTGTCGGTATTCATAATTATTAAAAACTTGATGCCTTACTTGGGGATCTTGGTCTTGGACTGAGTAAGATAGGGCTTCTGTTACGAGATCCGCTTAAACTAGAAGGTGTCACTTCAAACGAAATGTCTCTGTCTCGGAGCATTTTCTGTATCTGCATAGCTCTAGTGGTATCTATCAATATATTCATAGCATCTTTTTCTTCGACGCTGATTTTTATTGCTATAATTTCATTATATTTAATATTATATAATTTAAATATTAAACTGTCCTTGACATACAACTTTTTACCATACCACCCTTGTTATCCAAATTTTTGAGAAAAAGTTTTTGACCTTCTTTTGAACATTTTACGTCCCATACCTGATATTTTACACTTTTTCGTGCCACCTTGGCTAAATTTTGTAACAAAAATTTAGATATTTTCCCAATCTCACATAAGAATATTAATACTTTCTCATAATTTGTCAAAAATTACATCTAAAAACCATAGCTTAAAGTAATGTCAACAACTCAAAACCAAAACTATTGACTTCCAAAAATTTATATATTAAAAACTCCTTTCGCGATTCTAAACATACATAAAAACTTTTTACTACCACTATAGCTTTACAGAAAATGATATAAAAAAGGCAATCAAAATTTAATTTTATGGTGAATATTCGAGCAAACAATGGGCATGTAATCAAGGAAAGCGGATCAAAGAGCTAAGGCGCTAAGAGCCGCGCCACTCGCTCGATAATTAGATGTAATCAGATATTTTCAGTAAACGCCTCACCGTCCCTCGACTATGCACTCCCCTTTAATGAAATTGTATTACCATCGGTTATAGTCATCATTAAGTCACGTACGATTTAAACTATTTGATAATATCGAAAGATTTTGCACACGTTATAAGTGATTTTAAATGAAGACGATACGTTATGTACAAGTATATAAGTAAAATATAAAAAAAAATCATTTTTGTTGTTAATAAATATTAAATATTTTAAAGAAGTTTTGTTCGAAATCTATAAAAGGAGTATTTTAATTATTATTAATAATTATTGTGTCGAGTTTCCGTAGTAGTACCGGGTCTCTTGGTAACCCGCTAACCAGACAGCGGTCCCCTAACGCCCCCACCCAAAATGTCGCCTCGACTCCGTCTTACACGCGTTTATCTTTTTAATTGCGCCCCCTTCTTGTTACCCGCTTGTTAGATTTATCGGGGCCCTATAGTTATTTTATTTCTAATTCCACTTAAATCACTTGCACTATTTTTTTCTTAATATTTTTGAAATACTTCCAGGTTCTAATACAAATATTTTAAAACTATTTATATAAACAATTAGAAAACTTATGAAATTTTTTATCAAATATTTTGATTTTCAATTAATAAACGGACAATCATAGTATATCATTGTATACATATGTGTACTCAAACTTTATCGACGGCTATACTGTAAACATATAGACGGGAGTAATAAAGGGTGCCTCCCTTGCTTTGTTTTTCATTACTAACTGTTTACGTCGTACAGCTGCTGAGCTATATAAGATTAATCTACTTCTGTCTCAGCACAGAAACTTTCTGAGGCTATTATGTCTTAAGGAATTAATATCTGGGATAAACATTGTTAGCAAAGGGTAAGTTGCATAATTTTCAAAGTTGCCACCTTTAATTTATCTGAACATTCGCTATATAACATATAATTCTTAACAATCTTTTATAATCTATTCTATGTAGAAATTTGTCAAAATACTAATGTCACCCATAACATGATGAAGTAAACATTACAAGAACAGAATTTTGATCATGGTTTCGTGAAACATTCAAGATAAATTTACAATCAATAGAATAAATTAATCAGTATACCATTCATTGTTTAATAATACAAGAAAAGGTCAAATCCTGCAAGTCTTTAAAGTCACCCAAACAATAAGTAATGGAAAATCAAACCCACCCACAAAACACAAGTAGTGAAGAATTTAACGAAAATAAAAGCTGCGTTTACGAAAATGATTCTTTTGAAAGTCTCCTCGATGGAGTATACAGTAACGAATATATATACGACTCCAAGATGACCATTCAGAATAATTATCAAACAAACCACGAAGTTAATCACGTCAATGTGGATGACAGTCGTTACGGGATATACAGACGTCCGATTAAAGTGGGAAGCAAAAGATTTTCATACAATCATATTACGAAAAACAAACACGATGTTCCAAAAAAAGGTCAAGAAGGTAAGAAAGAAATAATAAATAATAATAATAGAAATATAATTATTACACCACTAATAATAATATGGTACTAGATAATAATAATATCGAAGATCATAAACCAAAACGTATGGACTGGAATGATTACCAACGCCTAGATGTCATACATTCGTTCTTAGATGAGTTGGAATACGACTATCCTTCCATATGCACTGTGGGAACAATTGGTTTATCTCGAGAAGACAGAAATCTGAAGGTATACCTTTTTTGAGATATGAGTTTTAATTTACATACTATTTAACTTGAAGGAAAACCATTGCAGTCTTTTTTGAATTCACTTTTAAAATATTGTAATAAATAAACCTGATAAAAAGAGTAGGCCTGGGTTTATCTTGGTTTCTTATTTTTGTTTTTCCAATACGGTATATTTTGTTGATGTCATTATTTCCTAAAGTAATGTTTAAATCATTTTGGAATTTTTGCTTCGTAAAGTTAATCAGTTCCGTTGTTGATTTTTCCCCCTCATTCAATCCATATATTATTGTTGTTGCTTTTCTTATCTCTTTCTAAAAATTCTATTTTACTTTCCAGTTTTTCTACCTGTACCTTTAAATTTCTTCTAATATTGATTTAAATTTTTCATCCATTCTTTCCATGATAGTGTTGGTGATAGACTGTTTGATGTTTCATTTCTATTTTCATTTTATTAAAAAGACGTTGTAATTGATCATCCATGGTTTGCGTGTAATGAAACGTTCTGGTTGAAATTTAAATTGTTCGTTGGCACTATTGAGGGTATTTGTAAATAATATTGACTGTTCTTTAAATATTGTTGATATGTCAACTAACTTCCACGTTATTTTGTATTTTCTTATCGTTGTATTTTTGTCGATGAACGTAATTACACAATGACGATTTCTTTGATCACTTCGTGCCACCAAGTTTATCACTTAACCAGGTTTTGTTTGTTAAGACTGCGGTTGTAAGTATTTTTATTTATATCACGACTGCGGAATTAGATTAAGAAATAGGATAATATTATAAAATGTAGTTATTTAGTAGAAGTAGTTTTGCAATGCAAACAGCATAAATGACTAATTTTATTTATTTTTATTTTTATATTAAATAAACCTAAATTAAAGTTTTACAGCATAAAACAGCCACTATATACCGACATTTTTATAAACCAGATATTTTATTCTAGTATGGATTAGTTTACGTAATTATTCTGTTCTAATTCTCGTAAAGAATCGTTGCATTTATAGATTGGATACATTTCAGTATATTATCCACGAATAGCAAACTGACAACTTTAAAATAACTTCAGTATGTGAACTAGATTCAAATTCCTTAATTGTCTTACTTTAGCGAGAAACAAATTATAGCTCTTAGAGCTAGAAATAAATTATCTTAGCTTTCATTCCCCGTACAGAATTTATACATTATCAAAATTCAATTTTAGTAATATAAAAAGATAAATTATCGTCATTAAATAATTATTAAATAAAAATAGGTCAAGAATGTATTCTCGGTGAAAAATTTATTAATTTTAATAGAATTTAAAATATTAAATAAGTAACGATGAATAAATGATAAGCCACAAAGGAAAATAAATCTTCACATAAATCAAATAACTCAATTATAGCGTTTTATGTATGTGTAAAATTTAAAAAATGGTAAAATATAACATATTAACCGATGATTAATATTTTCTTGAACCATAATATATAAAAAAAGTAGAAACATGATCATGTAAAATGAATTGATAATTTTGAATATAATTTAAAGTATAACATTTTACTAAATTACTATTCATAATGTCATTTTTTATTATATCTTAGAAACATTGATTTTTTTTAAATAAACTGTCGATCACTGCCATATTAAGTTAACTGATATTTAATAAGAATGAAGAAAGGCTTGATTTTAATACCTTCGCAAAATTATTGCTGCATTTATGTCTAAATATCGGTAATTTTGTAGATTTACTGTTTACAATTACTACTACTTTAAACAAATTTCTAACCAATCAATTAATCATACTTACTTAAAAAATTAAACATTATTATCAAAAGATGAGATACAGTTTATAGCAAAAAAGTATTTCATAATTTTATCAGATTAAATCACTAATCAAATTAATTTTAAAATGTAATGATACTTGTACTATAAATTTCACGAATGTATATTTTAAATGAAATTACGATTATCTAAATTCGACCCCTCAATTTTATTATTTAAAATTTTTAAAGTCTTTCATCAAGTCTGACCAATTATTATGGTTACTGAAAAGTAGGCGAAAAGTCGATGAAAAAATCTAGATAATCAAGATATGAAAAATGTCACAAAATAAAATGTTAAAAGAGACATTTATATAAACTAGCAATTAATATATATATATGTATATATATATATATATATATATATATATATATATATATATATATATATATATATATATTATATATATATTTGTGATCATAAAACAATTTCATATCGTTTTGTTTATACATATGTCGTTAATTACGTATGAATTAGGATAAAAATTAATGTCTTGTCTCGGGATACATGACCCATTGTGTTCCCCTTGGACATTATCACTTATTAAGCATTTAATATATACATTAAATTCTCGCTTTGTCTGAGTTTTTATTACGTTTTTTCTACTTTGTATAATAATTTTAATTCTGAACAGAATATTCTATGAAATAGGACTCCTTCAATAGAGCGCATCGACTATTTCTCCTTAACTCATTAGTTATCAGGTCACAATATTTAAAGTTACTTAGTGATGATATTGAATCTAAAACACGATATTTTATTTAAACTCAGAATATGTAAATAATGTAATACTTTCAAAAGTTTTAGGGTGACTTTTTCTAAAGATATAAATAATCTATTGGAAAACTACTGACAGACCTAGCGTTACCAGCCATTTAAGCAATAAAGTGTAAGTTACTAAAAATATTTTGCCGAAAATTTACCACGATGATTTACAATGCATGATATTCCAAAAGAGGATATCGATGTCTTCTTTTCAGAAAATTTTATAACCAACCATCGATCGTAGAAAACTATTTCCCTAAGAGATCATTCTCAGAAAAAAACATTATCTGAAAAAAACATTATCACTTCATAACAGGCCAACTTTACACGAAAAAAATTTAAAAAAATCAGTTACAACTATGCAATGTAATAGATCATAGACGATTAATTCTTCATACAAGGATGATAATATATATTTTTTATCAATCAGATTCTTAAAGTATCCAACAGCGACGCCCACAATCCCGCTGTATGGTTGGACGCAGGTATTCACGCTAGGGAATGGATCGCGCCGGCGGTTGCCACTTACATCGCCAACCACATCGTCCGCAACTTCGGCTCTCTGCCATCCAGCATAACGAATAAGGACTGGTGAATGTTCAAGAAAAATAAGTATAAAACTGAACGTATGACAGGCTCAAGAACTATCTTTCAAATAGGAATGAAAGTCTTGAAACCTGTCGCCGTTTAATGTGACAATCCAAACGCTTCATAAGAATATATAGTTATTTGTAACATCTATGTACATAACTGATTTCTTTATAATTTACTACTTATTACTTGGTAGTTATTAGTTATTATGATTTAGTTTCAGAATTAGAAATGTATATCTGATCAGGCGAACTCTATTCCTCCTTAAAGACAGTTGATAAAGAGATTTTGGATTTGATCAACTTATTTTTTTTCTTTTTCAAACGTTTGAAAAGTATTCTATGTAATTTCCCTTGTTCTAAACTCTCTCCACCAATTTTCAGCCAAACCCGTACACCCGTTTTTTAGGTATATGTAAATAGTGAAACTAACATGACTATTTTATATATAAAATATATAGATTCTATTCTATTATAAACAGTTTCACTATCATAAAGTTTAAATTTTAATTTGCTATAATTTCAGGTATTTCCACCCGGTTGTAAATCCTGATGGATACGAATATTCCCATACCGTTGATAGAATGTGGAGGAAAAATAAAGCCTATGTTGGAGGAAAACTGGTCGGGGTGGATCTCAATAGGAATTTCAGGTAAGACACAATTTATCATGAATTTTTTAATATCTAATTTTGTATAATTTTATAAGGAGCTAGTTTTTGCCCGCGATTCGTCCACGTTAATTTTGGAATTACTTTTATATGTATTGCTGACCGGGCGAAATTTATTCCACCATAGAGGCTGTGAATAATCAGATATTGGGGTTTATTAAGTTTTTTTGTTTAGATCAAACAGAATTAAATATGCTATGTCCGTCTCCTGGTTCCAAGCTACCTCCCCGCTAATTTTCAACCATATTACTACAGTCATTCTTGAGTTATAAATAGTGTTACTACCACAACTTTCTTTTATATAGTATTTAGATAATATAACATAATGTTTATCCTCTTTTAGTTTTGGCTGGGGAGGCAAAGGCTCGTCTGAAATTCCTACCAGCGTATTCTATCGAGGTCCGGAACCGTTCTCAGAACCTGAATCCTGTGCTGTGAGGGTAATAAGAACTTAATCTACTACTTATATTCAAATCTATTAAAAACCGATGTCATAGAACTAAATATGCAAACAATCTGAGCATTTTAAGTATCTCTTATAGCATTTTTTGTCAACGTAACATATGTATGGCCAGAATGGTACTATCCGAGTCAAATTATCATGTAACCATACCATAGGTAATAACATAAAACGTTCTGAACAACGCCCATCGTATGTAAAGTCCATTATATTAATACAGGTGAATGTAAATCCAGCTCCATTTAACTGTAATGTGCAGTTGATACCAAAATCGTGTCATCGAGCTGTAACGCAGAGATTAAACTGCAAACAGGTTTAGTCGTAAATCAATTTCACTGCACCGGTTTTATGCTGTTACGTTTCATTAAATTAATTATAAAATTTTAACTATAATATTGTAATTAATCATTTATTACATTTATAATTTGGATTACGTTTCATTTTAACTCGTTAAAGGGCGTTATTTAAATTTATTGTGTATGGCGTACATGCATTTCATATTCAAAAAACTATTATAAAACGTTTGATAGTTCCTGATTGTTTTTGGAATATTTAAACCCATACTAACATTTTACTTTGAATTATATTTAACCTTATAATTCTTCTTTTAGGATGTTCTTCTTTACTCTGGCATCCCGTTTAAAGTGTACATAACACTACACAGTTATGGCCAAATAATTTTATTCCCATTTGCCTATAAAGATGAACTTTGTCCTGACTACGTACGACTCTTGGAAGGGGCAACTGTGATGTCAAAGGTAAATATTTTTTTATAAAAAAATGAAGAAAAACCGATTCTGGGAATAAATTTAACCTTTATTCAAACAATTAAAGTAACACTAATATCATAGCAGTGAATGTGGGCTTCGTAATTAATTTTTATTTTTTATTTTTTAATATTAAATAAACTACTTTAAAATTGACAAATATCTTATCAGGAATTCTACATCTTCATGAACAAGAATATTTTTCAAAAGGCATATCAATGCCTTAAGAAAAGTCATGATATTTTTTTATCATAACAATTTTTGACATTTTTTAGGCTATCCACGAAAGCAGTGGAAACACATACAAGGTGGGACTATCCAGGGATGTAATGTATGGAGCGGCTGGCACTAGTAATGATTTCAGTTACGGGGTAGCTAAAATACCGTACTGCTATCTTCTAGAACTTAGAAGTAAGAAACATAAGTTCAGATTACCCAAAGAAGAAATAGAGGAAACGGGGAACGAAATATTAAGCTGTATAAAGGCTTTAATGGAATTTATAGATGAGAAATCTGCAAGTGAAAAAACTGAATAGTTTGGTAAGTCTGTTGGTATGATCTCCTTGTTATATTTAGTCAGCTGTTTTTCGATGCTTTGCTTTATATCGCATATTATACTTCAGAATTAAGTAGGTATACATAAAAGAATGTACAATTGTACATACTTAAGTGTATACTATATATACTAAAACTCACAAAAGCTAATCGAGAAGTTTTTGCATTAAACCTAAATTACATACATACTTTCGAAACTTTCTCCAAAATATTTTTATTTTATTCTCAATATTTGTAAAATATATAATAGTGTTTACTATGTAAGGATTTATTTATTTATAGATAAATATTTTATACATTCATCAGTTGCTTGGTACTTCACTTATATACTTATGTGCCTTATGTATAATTTAATCTCTATGTCTATTTATTCATTATGTATCATCATACACTTAACAAAGAAATTATGCATTATATATAGAAAAATATTTAGTCAATCAGCATAATATAAAAGTGTTTTCAAGTGTCATTTAACAAGAAAAGTTAAAAGATAAAATATTATACAACAGAATCTCATAAATAAATTATAATCACAGATATAGAAAATCTTTCTCAGTATTAATTAATACGTATTTTATAGTAAGCATGAGTAATAAAGATAACACCGCACAATTAGTTGTATGGCTTTAAAAATGTTTGTAATAAAATAATGCCATAGTAATTCTCGCTTTAGTCTTACACAACTTTAATTATTTTATTATGCATATTTTGAAAACATGCTCCAGTAATCATCATACAAAATTTTACCTACCACTATCCAACATCTCAAATTTCTACTTAAAATCTTATTATCACCCCGTTTATATAATTTCGGTCCCATATAATGTAACTGAATAAATTCATAAATTGTATTTTTTGAAAGTATTTATCTCTAATCTATATCTATTAGGATTTAAACTTTTTTACCATTAAAAATGTTAGCAAGGCTATTAAAAATTAAGTATTACAGCATTACTTCCTCATTACTTGAAAACACTGCTAATCACTACTAATCTTTGACGATCTGACTCTAGGAAATTTTTTTTAGTATTCTCAATAATTATTATATAAGTATAGCCAATTAACATATCGTTGACGTTGATTTCCCTTAACCTTACTTTTTCTAAAAAGTCAATCAATCAAATAAACCATTCGCCGTGCATTACATAACGTAATTTTTAACAAAAATACTCAACCTGTCAATATGCGAAGAACTCTGTATCTAATACACCACCACTCAAGTCGTTGATGCGTTGTGATACAGAACATCTCTAATACCTTTATTTAATCATGGTCTGTACTCCTACCGCTTAGTCCGAATTGATCATCTAATGGCCTAAAGCCAAAAGACATATTTAACTTCTTTTATATATTTTAAAGCTTAAATATACATAATAACATGATTCTTTTGCAAATGAAATTTTTCATATAATTTTATTATTTATTAATATAATCACAAAATATGAGCATTTTATCCTTTAGATTCACTCACTTTGAAAGAGAAAAAATATAACTATTACACTTGTTTTTTTATACACTGGGCTATGGAATCTTTTTGATATTTTAAAAGTTTTTAATAAAATATATATCAAAACTCTTGAATTCATATAAATGCATTGTCTTGACATAATTTTCACACAAATATGACAAATTGACGGTACTGTGTCATTCTTTGTAAATATTTCGACCCTTAACTCTAAATTTCAGTGACAAAATCTAATACAAACAAAATAATTCATATAACATATCCTAAAACTATTTCAAAGTGGCGGTGAATCAAGTGTGGGAAATTAAATTTACTCACGAAGGACAGAGATACTTTGTCAAAACCCTAGACACAGCTGGAGGTAAAAAATATACAACAACATTTAAACTAAACTTATGATAACAAGACAACTTAGGTATTATAAATTATTCTCATCCACACATTTGGAGTCTAGAGCAATTTATTTAGTTTCACTCTTATTTCTTCCCAATATAATATTCTACTAATTGTTAGATCGAAGGAAAACATATAAAGCAAAGCTATATTATTCCTATCTTTTATTACGATTTGTGTTTGTCAATTCTTTTATCTAATTCTAGCAATAAATATTTGGAAAGAGGAGCGAAGCACCATGGACATTATGGTTGAGAGTCCCCATGCCGCCCAAGTAGCCGGGCTGCTGAACGAAAGAGACATCCCATACAGCATAGCTATCAGTGACGTTAAAACTCTGATTGAAAGGGAACAGGGTAATACTTTGAAAAAGAACTTAAATACCAAAGGTAAATCTTTGATTTCACTAAAGTCTGCAATACAAGATAAACTACTTCTCTTCACTATCCACACTATTGCTTTACTAGAAGATATTGCTAAGATCTCGTATATAATATTTGTTTTATTTATGACCACCTAACAACAAATGTAGTTGTTACTAGTAAACAAATTTCCTTCTTGTTGTAACACGAATTTTAAATGTGTATATTAGGTACTTAGTAATGATTACTGCCATCGATTTATGACCTTAAATTGATAGAACATTTGAATGAACTGTCGTAGAAATGATTAACAAAAAGCAACCATTATAGTTAATTAATTATGTTAATTAAATCAGTACATAATAAAATAACGATATTATAATGATATAACTTTCTATATCTATATAAAGAGATCTTAAATTTGAATTAATTTATTAGTAGACTGATTTTCAGCGAGCTATCATTATTTTTTCTTATACTTTATGGTATAAATATTTTTATTGTAAAATTTTGAGTTGGTTATTAAAAAGGTGCCATGGATTGGAAGAGTTATCACCGTCTTGATGTTATTTATTCGTTTATGGATGATTTGGCAGCACAGTACCCATATTTATGTACTGTTAACGTTATTGGCAAGTCGGTGGAGGGAAGAGACTTACGGGTAACTATTTATTTATTGCCTCAATTTTCATGTCTCCACATTATGTTGGATAGTTTATGAATTTCGATTCAACTGTTCACTTAACGAGATTTGTTTTTGAAATGTTTATATGACATAAGTTACTAAATTTCGGTAGCTTTTAAGTTAGATTGTATGTTTTTCTTCTACAGACTATTCAAGCAATTTTTTCAATATCTCTAAATTGATGGAATATCAAAAAAAAGTGTCTTCTCTCTTATTAAACCTATAATATATGCGTTTCTATCAATATTTATTAATAATTATTAATATTGATAATTCTTTTAGATGTTAAAAGTATCAAATGGCAATGAGAATAATATGGGAGTTTGGATAGACGGATCCATCCATCCTCGCGAATGGGTCAGCACGGCTGTCGTGACGTACTTCGCTGACCGACTCGTCAGAACCTTTCAGGAACAACCAGACAGCGTCACTAATAAAGACTGGTATACTTACTAATATCACAGCATTTTCGTACATATAAAATAAAATTAGGATCATTTTGAGATACATCATATAATACCTTTATGCATTGTGATCTTATGTATTGTGATTGAAAGTTTCTTTCTTTTTTTATTGCTTTCTTTAAATAAATAAATACATCCACTATGACGCCTGTTATAGACTAACTTTTAAAGTTTAAAGTCAAAGCATGATCAAGGTCAGACGAGATGGGTTTTATTTTAATAAATCCTGGCAAAAGTCGTAGATCTCATTATGCAAACAACTTATTTTCTTGAGAGAATCTTCTTCATAGACTCTTATATGCTTACTAACTTCGGGAACATTATATTTCTCGGTTTTACTTGACCTGTCACTCAGCTATGATTTGAAACCATATAAATATTATTGGTTATACTAATGTTAGTTATTAGCTTGTGTTATATAAATGACGTTGATATTTCCAGGTATATTCTACCGGTTTTAAATCCAGATGGCTACGAGTACACGCACACTCATGACAGAATGTGGCGTAAAAACAGAAATCGTTACGGCGAGTGCGTTGGTGTGGATCTAAACAGAAACTTCAGGTATTCATTAACTATCGCTTGCCTTAACTTTGCTTACATTTTTTTTAGGGACAAATAATCAAATAAACATATATTTGACTATACTTTAACGCTTTGTAATATGTGTTTTAGTTATGGTTGGGGCGAAAAGGGCGAAGAGGGATCATCAGAGGACCCAGGCAATATATTTTACAGAGGTCCAAAACCGTTTTCTGAACCTGAAACTGCTGCTTTGAAAGTATGGTTTTAATGACGTCATTTCAATTTCTTTCCCAAAGTCTTGCACTGACTTTTTTTTTACTTTTACAGCGCGTGATATTGGACGAATCAGCAAAATTCGGGGTGTTTCTATCGTTCCACAGCTATGGTGAAGTGATAATATTCCCATGGGGTTATACTGCGGACCCATGTCCCGATTACGTCGAGCTTCTGGAAGGGGGGACAGCTATGGCGAAGGTATTTTAATTATATGTAACAATTATTATGCTTGTAATAACGAAACGGATAATTATTTTACCAACATTCTTTTTAAACAAGCTACTATTGAATCGTATCGAAAGGAATTGTATAATATGTAAAATATTCATGTTTTCATAATGCTTTTTTAGGCAATCTTCGATACGAGCGGTCATACTTACAAAGTGGGCAGCACAAAGGACCTCATGTACTTCGCTGCCGGCACCAGCACTGACTGGAGCTACGCTGTCGCTAACATAAAATATTCATACATGATAGAACTAAGAGGTAAGCAGCATAGATTTCTGCTGCCTAAAGAACATATCATAGAAACTGCGACTGAAGTTATGAACGGTGTTTTGAGACTCATGGACTTCGTTGATAGACGATGTAGGAGTACGCAGGCTTGTGTTTGTCCAAAATAAATATATTCAAAACAATACCTTAACTATTCCTCTATAAGATACAAATTTAATTATTTTATATATTTTTACACTATTTGAATGTAAATATTATATTAAAAAATGTATTATAAATTATCATCTCATATACGATATACCAAAAATATAATGTTATGATGATTCATTGTTTTATTTTAAACCCATTTTATATGAGACTGAAACCATTCAGTTTTACAAACAAAATTATAAATAATTAAACAAATTTCAATTTATATAAATTAATTAAAACGTTCAAATAATAAAAATATGCGCTGTATATTTTGTTCATTATGAACGTAAAGGCCATACGTTTCGCTGCGGTCACGAATTATATGGATGCAATCCAAAAATGTATCCTCACACCACGGCATCAAACGAGCTCCAATACGCTGGTTTATTGTTTCACATCACTGCTTGCCAAAAGTTTAATTTCGATAATATTTATTGAACATACACAACTATAGAACCGGCTAAGGGCATAAATAAATTGATTAAAAATTTCGAATAACTTTATTTACAGATCTTGCATTATAATACAATCAACAATTGTTAAAACATTACGATTTGGAATTCACATTCATTTATCTAACGTAAAAACACCTATCGACAATTATCACTATGTCATATCGTATTCTATTCTACACAGCACTACAGTCGTAATGTCAACCTGCACACGGACGGTAATCGTGCCAACACTATACACATTTCCTGTAATATTACCAACAATGAGTTAAAATATTGCACCACCCGTAATTTTTAAAGAAATTTTTAATATGGGCGCCACACGTCTATTGGGCGACGTTCCGATGTTGTTAATGATTTGCTTCTAGTTCGAACGCTCTCCGACCATTCCGGGGAGGCAGCTCTTTTCTTTGCTGAACTGGACGCGGTTGATCCAGCTTCTTCTTGGTCGGGAATTGAATTTGAATCCTCTTGAGGTGGAGGCGGTCTCAACCACCAATCATAGTTGCCGTATATTTGAGAGTACAGCCAGGCGGGAGGAGTGGGCAGCAGTGGTGAGTTGAGGAATAATTGCGCTGCTAACGCACTGTGGAAGAGACTTGACGGGGCTGGTAGTGGTTGCAAGGGTTTCCTTGTTCTGGTGACTGAAGTAAAAGCCCCTGGACGGTCGTCTGGTGGAGGGCTGATTGATGCTGTCACAGATATATCATCGTCATCCTGAGGTGAACTCGGTCTAGAATTTATTGGACTGGTAGTGCTATGGGGGTGCATTGTTGACGGATTGTCCGTATTGACATCTGTAAATAAATTAAAAAATGTGAGAAAAATGTTAATAAATGCTTTTATTTGTATTTGGTATCAGTGGAATACGTTGATGTGTAAAAGAAATGAGTTAATGGTCTATATTATTTAAAGATTTGAAGTACTAAGTGGACGTCGATGTTTATGAAACTAACATTAAATGAGAATGTGTTGTCTTTCTTTAAGATTGTAATAGTAGAACGAAAAAGATTTGAAAAAAGGAGAATATTAATCATTCACCTCTAACAATTCCGGCTATATAATATACATATAATATCCAAAATTTTTGAATGTACTTATTTCAATAAAACTTAGTTTTTCAGTCACTACGAGTTCTTATTGTTTTATAACTACGTAATTGTTATAAAATAAATTAATTTTCATCTCGTTATAACATAATGAAAAATCGCGTTTTATCTGAATGAAATATATTATGATTACATATGAATAAAATATATTATCATTACATATAATTTACGAACATGTGCTATCAGACATTACAAGCATTTAGGTCAGATTAAAAATTATAGTAGTTTTTTCCCCACATAATAATTAAGTATTAAGATTATAATTCGTCCAAAAAATGAAGACGTTGACAAAATATTCAACGATTACAATAAGAATGAAGCCATATCATAAAAAAAATTTAAGCAGATGAAGACGGTCTAATCTATATCAATAAAATACAATATATTTACCTGTCTCATGGGATGGTGGAGGTAAATTATGGTGCTGAGCATGAGCTGGCAGTACGTGTGGTGTGAAGTGGGGATGTGGTGGTAAAAGTGGTGGTGGGTAGTGGCGAGACAGAGCTCCCCACTCACCACCCGGCAGACCAGCCAGTTGATGAGCTATACCTGCGACAAAATCATCGATAACATTAAATTCTAAATTAAACTAATCTAATATTTTTACTTCGCGTATTTATTTTTGATTATGAACTGCATACTCCCGAGTTTCGGCTACTTTTCAGCAACCGTGATCACGGGCAGACGAGATGTCTGAATTACATTAAATTCTGTCTGAATAGTATAATCTGAAGAGATGTGCACTGGCTGTTTTTATTTTATAAAATGTGCACATCCTTCGAGCGTCAATTGTTTTATTGTCTTTCAAAGTACAATTTTTCCATGTAAGATTGTGTTTTCCATAAAATAATTTATTTCTTTGGTAGTGCTGTTCTATTTTTAATTGTAATAGCACATAGTATACTTATTAGTATTCTATTTGATTTACAATCATTCGGAACTTTGTGAATTTGTGCTGAGTAAATTTCCTTTTTCTAAAATATGACTAAAGATTTCTGATTTTAATATATTCCTTGATTTTTCTACCTATAGCTCTTACAATTATCAGATAGACGCACGAATTCTTGATATTCACTTATAAAACAATTCTATCAACAAAACAATCAAGCTGAGAGTTACGCTCCACTAATGCTAACTGCTTAGCGCACTCATCGGAATATTTATATAATGACACCCTCCGCTGTTTCAATTCAAGGCTTATCTCACCACGGCACTCTTGCCTACTGACGATATCAATTTTACTGTGTTCATTGAAATAAGACACCATCACAATTTATATTGGAAGATTCATAAAACTTCTAGCCTTCAAAAATTTCGATATAAAATTACATTTACAAACTAACCAAGTCACAGGTAGCAGATGAGTACATAAAAGTTAAAATTTTATATAAAATAATTCATTTTACAATCGTAAATAATAAAAATACAGCATCTCATCATAAACACATTAATGAAATAGGAAATGTGTTTCGGCGTCATAATTTCCAGTTGACATTTTTAAGCGCATAAATTAACAAAGTTTGCCGGCGCGACCCCGTATATTCGGCTTAACCCTTTAGCACCCACCTTGGGTAATTCCCACCCCGAACCAACCCAACCCTTTCAGCAATAGAATAAATTACAGGCCGTTTTATGTCTCTGATACCGTCGCTACGAAAATGTAAAACACATTATTCTGAATCCGACCGCTTAGCCTTTATGGACGTTGTGCTTCAAGAGGTGTATGCAATTAGATAATAGCCGCTTTTTGAGGATTACTTTAATCATGACTTAGATGTCTTTACGAGGTATCGAGTCTCCTTGTAAAGGATTGAATTCAACTTTAAAGACTGTAAAAGAACATCGTTAGCTTAATTGGTATTTTGGATCCACTGTCGATACTTGACTTTATGCTACAAAATTTGAGGAGAAACTGCTAACGATCGGGAATAATTATATATATAAGAATAGTTCTCATAATAACCTTATATTTTTTACATCCCAAATGAAATAATAAAAACTATCATATTTCTTAAAATGTCATTTATATAAATATTAAAAAGTCTAAATATTTCCAATAATTTTAGCCGTTATATATTTTTTATGTAAAGTTACATTTTATTATAATACAATGAAGTTGGTCGAATTGGACGTATAAAAACTTCAAATTAAAATACCTATCATTAAAATATGATATCAATGAAATTGACATCGTTAATGAGGGCAAAATTGTTGTGGCTTTAAATATATTGGATTTGTAACTTTTATAAAACGTCAAGATATCGCAGTTGCATATAAACATTATTCTTCACGAGTGGTAGACAACGCTAACATTTGGAATCATAGCAATTACTAATCTTCACTGTAATCTATCTAAATATATTTTTATCCATATAGAATAATTGTACACATTTCAAAATGCTTTACTATATCTAACAAAGAAAAGAAAAAATTAAACTCTTTTCCACATTTTAATATTCCACTTTTGGTGAATATAAATATAGTTTAAATTTCTCATTGGAAATAAGGATTGTCTTGATCATTTTATTCATCCTTATATTCATTGATACGAATTATTCTATAAAACAAAAAAACATATATAAATAGCATATATTATTCAAAAATTACTAACTCTTACAGAATTTAAAACGTCAGATGTATTTTTTAATTTACCATAAACAGAAAACACGCACACATCCGAAACTATTCAGACAAAAAAACAACGCGCTATGCAAAGTGGTACTAAAACATAAAAACTTAGCCATCCCTAAAACTAAAGGCATTGTTTCATTTCTCGTTCACTGTTCAAAGTTGCAGAAGAAAGGGTAGCGCCAGACCATTTGCATTCGTTAATGTTGGAATTCTTTGCTGTGTTCACAGTGTGTAATCGGTGTGTAGAGCGGCTGAATGCAAAGGATCCTTGGCATTCATATGGAAAAATATTATACTAGTTTCATATAACTATTATTAATTAATTATAACATCCATTTAATGTGATAGATAAACGAAAACATTATATTTTTTAACATTAATCAATATTTCAACCTTAACTTCAAACAAAACCTCAAAGTTATATGTTGTTATGAAATTATTCAATAACTATTTGTTGCAAAACCAACTGAAGAACGCTTAATAAAGATCAATCTTCTAAAGAAAAAACACATACATAAGTTTTACATATTCTTCCATATATATTCTGAGTTACAAAAATATTAATTCCTAGAAGGACCTCAAATATTTCAAGATCATATTTAATTTGGGTCGGATATAAAAAATCATTTTAATTATTACTAAGATAAACAAAAACTATATTCTAACGCAAACAAAAGACGCATTTAAATATTATTTTCAAATATTAAAGACCAAAAATGTATAGAGGTTTTCTGTATCTTAATCTCAAAGTAAGACAAAGCATCAAAACGTTTCTATCGCGGTACATTAGTTTGTACCGTCTTGAAGACGTGCCAGTGCGCTACATTACTCTGTTCGAAGGGATTTTTTTTTTCAGTTTGAAAAATAGCGAGAGGGTTGAACCCAAACATTTTAATGCCATTTACTAGATTGAATCTTGAATTTTTCCTACCGTTCCTACTGCGCTAATCCGCGAAGACGACCAGGATTAGCGGAATAAAAGTATTATCGTTTTTAGTGAGATTCCAATGTTCTGGGATTAGGGAAACATTTTTAATCGCTGAGAGGGAATTAAATAAAGGGTTAGGCACTACAGAACGATTTATTTTAATGGTGATGTTGAGCATCGCTTCTATTTTATGTCCTTGGTAGAAAAAAAAACAAATATTTCCATTCCCTTAACTTATTTGACAATGTTTTTTATAATCGTCATTTTATATCCAGAGTCGTAAGGGAAATTTCTTAAGTGAAATAGTTTTAAAGTAATAAGTATATATACGTTTGGAATAGTGTAGTAAAACTAATAATAATTTGAATGGTTTTAACCGCGTTGGATGCTAGTGACGTAAGCCAAGATGGATGTCCTCCGTACATCATAAGGTTAATAAGAGGGCTCGCGAACTAACGACGTCGCTTTGTCAACGCGCCTTAACCCGACGCCATCTTGCGCGCCATGTTGTATTTCAATCTGTTTAACACTTAATGAATTTGCCTTTATTGATTTTGTTTAACCCCTTTTTGTTTAGCTTAATTAACCTTTCGTTGTATTTAGCGACAAGATTCGATTGCTGATTAAATATTTGTATACCATCTTATTAATTTCGAAGTTCATATTAATGTTCACGTAAAATTTGGTCGGAATGACTTTTAAACTTAGCATCTATAAACGGAGTTTTCGGTGTGTAATTGATTTGTACAAAAATAATGGTTAAAATAACTTGACCAATTTTTAGTTAAAACCTCAGTCTATTAAGTTTCATAGAAAGCAAAACAGTGCACTGTATAAATTTTCCACAATAATGTCAAGTACATTTTCGAATAATAAAGATATGAAGCGTTGAAATTTTAATATAATGTTACTATATAATAAAAGGTAGTAAAGTTGTTCGCATTTAGAGTTAATAGGGCTGGCGTCATCATCATACGAATTCATTTGAAACCGTTTAAAGGCTCGATAAAAGCGCGAATCACGCCGTACAAAAGGCTGTATGAGGTGGGTGGGACATTTAAAATTTACAAATGCGTAATTATGCACCCGCATTGTCGCGCGGTAGCGGAAGGGTTATGCCCCTACTCTTTCTTCCCCCTTCCCCCCCACAATCCCGGGCTTCCGGGCCTAATGCTATATTTAATTTTCTCTAAGGCTCCCTCATTAATAATGCGAAGGCTGCGACTTTAAGTGACGCTCACACGACGTAAGGCGCGGATGTTCTAAATATATTATTCGAACGATCACAGCTCACTCTAACATTATTTATATATTATAATATTTTTTATCATCATTTTATCATATTTAATATAAATTAATATATTACCACATACCATATATATGCCATGCACTTGTATCTTATATTTTGTAAATAAAACGAAATAAAAAAAAACATTTATATTTACCAAGTAACAATCGTAAATGAGATTGACATGGCTTTTTTTTTATATTACATAATGAATACCTTAGCTATACTTTTTATAATTATTTTCCCTATAAATATTCCTCCTGGTACATCCTCGTCACATCCATACTTCTCACATCCACACCAAGAAGTTTCCTTCTCAAAACGTGAGTGTGTATAATTTATCATGATTTCAAAGGGTTATCGGAGGGCAGTACAAAATCGCGGATCCGCGGAATTTATTTATTGGAAGCAAATTGCTTTGACGGTCATAACAGATATTTTAAAGGCACAAAATGTATGGAAAAGGTCGTTTAAATTTTATATAAAAATCTGTTTCTTCTATTCTTTCCTTTCTTTTCCTAAGAAAGTTTTTTCCTTTAGTTGTCTAATTATTTTCATTTAAATTTTGTTAAGAACAGATGTAGAAACTAAAGACGAGGCACGCATCAAGAAATACTTTAATAACAGCTGCGTCATCGTACATTATTCAAAATAACTCAACACAAAAGTTTCTTAAAATCTCCATAACTATTTGATTTTCAAACATTTAGCTAAGGATATCTTTTCGTTTAAGAAAAAATTTTAAAAATACATTATTGAAATTAAAGTAAAATATTCATTAAATAAATAAAAAAAAAAACAAGAATATTTAAACTTCTCTATCTGAATTAAAAGGAATAAATACATTTGTATATAAATATACAATACTAGATATTATTAACATTATTGTTTATAATTTGTGTATTAAAATCCTTTCAGAAATATACTTTGAATCTCTTATTATATTTTTTACAGTAAAATGTTCTATCTCTACACAATAAATATTTCAACTAAGAACACAAAATATCTCCATTCCGATTATAAAGGGTGCATAAAATTAATTGTCACCTACATAAAATAATAATTGAAGTATCTCCAAGTAAGTGCAAGGTAATTGAGTTAGAGGCTTTAACACGCGCCCTAACAAGATTCACCCGACACTTGGCTACAAAATGCCTATAGGAGACACATATATACATACATACATATATATACTAAAAATTTGTATATTATTAATGATAGTATTTAAATCATTAGCATTCATATATTACTAGAATTATACTTATTGAACGCTATTAAGAATATATACAGATTTTATTTTAAGATATATTTTACAAGTGTTTGTTAAAATGACGTGCAAGTATGCTTCTTCGATCTTTATTAGAGCAAGGTGCTGGCGGGGTGGTGCCAGGCAACCGTTATCAAGGTGATGGATCCATTGTTGAGAAACAGAGTTATCATTCAATGAATATAACCGTCGAAAATCACGGAGGTAGATGGGAAAAGACGATGTATTGAAAGAAGAAAATGTATAGCTTACAAGCTGATACATAAATAGTTGTAATTTAAAAGGTTGGATGAATTATAATATTAAATTATATCTATTAGGTTTCATGTATATATATATTACAAACGACCCTGTTGAATAAATTTTCTTTTAAATTTTCTTTAATGCTTCTTAATGCTTGAAGAAGACATTAATCTTTAAAACAAAATACTCTTTTATGAAAAAACCGTAATTTTTAAAAATCACCTATAACGAAAAACATATAGTCTTAAACGACCTGTAACTCATCATAATAAAAAAATATATATATGTAATGTTATATTATATCTATTTATAAAATATCAAAGCGGCTGTTTCTTACAGGTGTCAAAAGAGGGTAAGAGTAATAGATAATTAATTGTAGCTCGAAACTTCTCGACCAAATTAAATCCCCTTCTGAGTATTCGGACGCGACGGCTGACAACGGTCCGGTGACAATTTAATATCCTCTACTGTCTTTGATGCGATATTAACTCGCCTTACGAATTTTGATATCTGTTACAAATATAGCTAGTTGATATACCGATATATTTATTTTTATATATATATATTCTGTATACAAGCATTAGTTGTGGTTTGATTTTGTATATATTTTTGTGTAATACAAACATTTGAAAGGAATCTTTATTTTTTACATATACATATATTTCCTTATTTATGTGATTCATCCCCTTTATTGTCTTGAGTAGATGCTTCAATTTGTAATAATAATGTATGTATTGTATATTTTACCTGATAATTTAAACGGTAGAGATCCCATTAGTGGGTCGGGAGCGAAGCGTGGTCCGAAGTGAAATGGATGAAAGCCGTGATGACGAGTCTTGGACCTTGGCTCACGAGGTCCATCCACTGTTACCTTGATAGCCTTCTGATAAGTAGCCACCTGTGGTGGTGATGTCGCCAACATTATGGTTAGCGTGAATGATTTACCTGAAAAGACATTTTATTTTAAACCAAAACTATAACATAATAGAGATTATAGTGGCAACACTTTTGGTCCTGAATACGTAATGCTTTTCTATCAATGCATATTCTACTTAGATTATTGTAATTTAAACGTTCGTATATTTGAATTTATGTACAGTTATTAGCAAATGGAAGCATTCTTGTAGAATATTGATAAATTATCTTAAAGGTTCAAAGCCTTTCGGCATTTGTTTAAACATCTGGAGCACGTATAGCGAAGAATGCAAGAAATCGTCAGCAGTCCGTTGATTTGTGGCGGGTGTCGTGCCGGCACGTCTGCGTTCCAGAAGACATTAGACTGGTATGAAAGAATGTTGAGATCAATTTATACTGGTCGTAACAAAAGTAATTGATTCAACACAGAATTTCCAGCAGATACACCATAAAAATAACTAATATCTGTTTTACAGGACGACAGACAGAAAAAAGTTATATGTTTTTGAGTTGTTCCAAGTTTATTTCTCTTTATTTTCACACTTCACACATGCATAATATCAAGTCTATTGATTTTTACACCAAAAAAACAAAAGAGAGCTATAAAATAAATAATGCTAGTAATTTTAAGAGTATATCAAAAGCATGTACATAAAGAGTCCTAAGTATTATTACAGATTTTACTTCACCGTCACCGAAATCGTTTCGTTTACTTACTTTGTAACAATGAGAGGTATAGATATCAAATTTATAATATGAATGGTGTTTGACAAACTTAAAATAATGAATACACGCTAAAGCAATGAAACAGTGGAATTGCCGTCGTAACACATCCACCGCAGAATGGCCGCAAACACGAAGCCAAGCGTTTGAACAATCGCTGCTATATCGACACATGGTGATTCTGGTGAAATTCATGGTCGCAATCAAGCTATCATAAGCGGTAAACAGATATCATCATTCTACTAGTTTTGATACAAACACTATCACGCCAACTAATGATTTGTCCCGTTCGGTATGGGATTAAATTGTATTCGGATTTGGTGTCTTTCTTACTTTATTGAAATTGATAATGCAAGGTTAAATATGAGTTATATTTAAAGTCATCTCTAGTTTATTTGGTAGGATTATTTTAGTTCTAAATAAGTCATAAAAGAAACTACTAAAAGGATACTAAAAAAATTAAATTACGACAAGATACATGTAAAAGTTAATAAATGATTAATTTTGTCCTAATAATATACATACACATTTTCTTTATTTAAATATAATATTAAAAATACTCTGCGTTTTTAAAATAAGTGTAAAGTAATTTCACATGTAACGTATAAAATTCACTTGTAAATTAGAAAGAAACTGGCAAGCTACCCAGAAAACAAAACTTGGGTACGTTCACTGCTGGCTTCGAGCCAAAAGACGTGTCTCATTTGGGTAGCACAGACATAAGTCAAGACAGTCTTGTTTATAACTTAAATATTTCAGGTATGTACGGCTCATAAATAAAAATGTAAAATTGTGCATCGTAATGTATGATAAAATTTACCAATTTCTACTAAAAAAATAGACCAGCAATAATTAACAGAAGAATTAATAGGCCTAACTTAAAAAAAAATACCCGAAAAGGTACATATACATCCTTTATTAAGCTTTAGAAAATGTTTACGACTTATTTACACTTAAATTATTCATTCAATGACACTAGTTTAACGACATTCAAAATAGTTTAAGATAATAAAATCAAGAACAATTAAAGTAATCAAAATGGTAATTTGCCTTTATGTTAAATAAATCCGTCTTAAAAGTATCTCTCAAGTCTAGAATCTATTATCGTTACAGTAATACCACCCTCGCCCAACCCAAAATGAGCGGCCGTCCGCATATTTTCATAAAATGAAGATAAATTTTCTAAGTTAAGATGAATGATATTATTTTTCACCGTCTAACAAAATGATTGAACAACATCGTAATATTTATAACACCGCTACCTACAAATGTGGCTCATTAAAATACATCTTGTAGCTTCATTGCAGTACGAAAGTATTTTATTATTACTGGTTAATAATACCATATTTTCCTTCAAACCCTGATCATAATAATGAAATAATAGTAACTAATTTTATAGCAGAATTTAGAAATTTAACATGATAAAATAGAATAAACGAATAATAATAATTAATTAAATTTTTAAGGCTTTCTAAGATTGGTTTAATAATAGTTTACTACAAAAAAAAATTATGAAGAAAATAAATTCTTATACATGGAATACAAATTTATAAGAAATATTATAAAATTCCTTATTCATGAACAGTTGATATAATATGTGAAATCCATAGATTACTTAAAGCTAGAAATATTTACAATGAAAGGCCTTTTCACATGGCATCAAAGGGAGGAATCGAAGAAAAATGCGTTCACGTACACTTCATAAATCATTTAAGTTATTCATAAAAAGAGTTTCGTCTCCCTCGCGAACATATTGCAAGCTGCACGTGCTACACACTTCATAAACTGGGAAATTGATCCCTGGGGGCGACACTCTTCATAAAAATATGTTTGCATCGACGAACACGTATCTGATATTTTGGATACAAGACACACCATCCGTCTGTAAGCGGTTCCAATAAAACGTTTGTTTGTTTGTTTGCATTATATATTTATAGCATAATATACAGATTTGATCACAATCTGCAATTCTTTGGATCCGTTAGATTAAAAATAAGCTTTATAACGTCATAAAGTAGGCAGGGGCGTTAAGATAAGAGTTCTACGCCGGCTAAATAAAAAATGAGCCACAATCGTAATGGCAGTGAGCTCTTTTGATCTCGGTTTCATGGCTTACTGGGGATTTTCAGCTTAAAGAACGGCAATTTGGATATAAAATACCTAATGCGGGCAGATTCGCTTTAGGGACATTAGCGGATTGGCCGAGGGGCATATCCTAAAGTTATATATGATTCCGTTTCGTAATATGTACCACAAACGATTAAATCATTAAATTAATTACATGTCTAATAACATAAGTATTATAATAATGAATATAAAACATTCCAATGAACGCATAAGACTTAAATATCCTCAGTAATAAAAGCTAACAGCGAGTCAGAGTGAAATTCAAGTTTATTGAAGCGTCTCAAAAGAACAAGTGAAAAGTCAAAAGCTTGTACAATTAAAAACCTCCCCCGAGACGTACCTCAAGCCGAGCGGTCAATATTACTCTACAAGACCCTCAATTTTCACCACTCCCCAGCGCTAATAATAATAATTAGGAATGAGTGACTCAATAATTAAAAACGGAAAAGAGAACTTGCAAAAGAACACCAAAGGAAATTTGATCTCTCTTTCCATCGAATAGATAGTCCTATGCAAGCAGCTTTCCCTCTCATCATTGAGGAACGTTTAAATTAATAAAAATAAAGAAAGAACCCTCCTCATCTTATAAAACACTTATACATATATGTTCTTAATACTAGGAATTTATAATACCTAAATTAATCATACAATTATAGTTTAGCAACAAGATAGAAATGTTTCGTAACATTTTAATATATACAAATCCTTGCACAGAGATTATTACAACACATTACGACGTATGCATTACAGTAAACCTTTTAATGGCCCCATATATAATACGAAACCAAGATTCCGTATGCTAATTTACATTTACAACATACATTCATTTCTAACAAGGCAAATTTAAAACCATGGGGTAACTTTCCACTGCATCAAAGGGCGATGCTTAATAAAGGAAGGTGAGGTGAAATATTTTTTCGCGGCTCTTATACAAAAATAATTTTCCATTGGGAGGGGGTGCTGACGTCTCGTAATGTTTGACTTACAACCATATTACAGAATTTGATATGTCAGTGCAGTTAGGATGTAAAGACATAGACAAAAAAAAACTGTCTATTGTCTATGTTTTGAACTTGTCATTGTTTTTTGAAATCTCTAGTTTGATTTAGTTTTTGACAATATTGCACAAATCCTTTTAATATTATGATAGTGTGTAAAAATTTTGAGAATTTAACAAAATACATTTGTTGTAAATGCGGGGACACCCGACCCCTGGGTATTTTTTGTCGGATCGCTCTAAAGAGGGGTCAATCAATCGATTAGCAGATGTCGCCTCTTGACTATTGGTGCAGTAAATTGGTCTCTTATTGCAGGCAATATAATGAGAACTAATCACGCCTTTAAACCTTTTGTTAAAAATACCAGAAAGGTTTCCATTATCATACATTTTATAGTAGAAATGGTTACGAATTTTCTGTTAAAATAGCAAGTGTAACATAAAAAGTAACATCCCTAGCTGCCGTTAGATTTAAATAGAGCTGACAGGCCGAAACCGAGCAAAAATTCAGGACCCTCATTAAATTTTTCGCTTATTAAAAATTCCCCGCGCCCTGTCCGTCAGCGTCAGGCAACTTTTTTATACAATCGTAACAAAAGTTGTGTTCCGATCTCCCCTTCTTACTTCATCCCGATAATTTGAGTGAGATTTTCTCGCAATTTAAGATAAACAAAGAGAGCGCTTACCCTTAATTGGAAAGCAGAACGTTATTCACGAAGGAACGTGACAAATAGACACCTCTTAACTTCTTTTCCACTTTCCAGTTTAGGGCTATATTGGTTTTTTATACACTCTCCGGTCAAACGCTTTTGTTTGTTTAAAGAAATGTTAATGAGTTAGACCTGTTTACTTTGGCTGATAAATAAATGGTTGTTGGTATTCTACATCCATATAATTGAGACAGGACAAAGGTTATGTGGTTTGAATTATGTTTTGGGAACAAATTACAATACGTTACTAATACTAAGATAATAAGTAGCATAGATATACATATGATTGCCTTACTTTCACCCTTAAACAACTTAATAAATGTTGTTAAAATTTTGAAATAACGTAGGTAAGACATCAAAATAACATATAGGCTATAATTTATCCTATAGTTTCTTGCAATTCCTTTGGGTTCACGACATAACACTTGTATTTTGTATGTAGCTATGTGACAAAAACTATAGATGGTGATGTACATAGGTTCGTTATCATATATTTCTGACATTTATCCTATACTTTACTCCGTATGCCACTTGTTACAAGGAATTATTTGTAAATTTGTGTTAAATACAAAAGGATACCTTTGAAATTATCATTGTTGAATGTATATCAATGTGCAAACCTATAAAAGTTATATATAAAAAATAATTATTTCAGATATGTTTTTTCCATAGATGTTATAAAAGTAATTGTTTTAATTTCTCGGTCATCGACAGTATTCAACATTAAAAACTTACTAATTTTACTGACTGGTCATACAAACAACTACTATTTGCTATCAAACATGATTTAAACGAATAAACTATTGACAGTTCGATAAAAAAACAGATTTTTATAAAATTAGAATTATATATAGGATTAGAAATAGAATGAATATTATCATTAGAGTCAATTAAATAGAAAAAAGCATGTGATATTTCTCGAGCATGTGATAAGAAACAGTGACATTTATACAAATTCCTCAGAACGTGTTGTAAGTGACGTTACCCCTGACTGTTGATGTATTTTGGCAGATCTGCTTCGTTAGCTCCCCACTATTTGAATATAAGACAGTTTACAGTTCAAATGTTCCGCGAGCGACCCTAAACATTTAAGTTTTACATTCTGTTTGAATACTGAATGAATATAGTTTCCTCCCTGTTTGTAGTAAGTATTGTTTGAAGACAGTGGGTCGGAGATATCGTTGACGTAAAATTATTTATGATTATTATGAATTTAATCATAGAATTGGATAACTTAGTAACATTGAAATAGCGAATAACTGAACTTTCCTTTTATCTTCTTCTACCTGGCAATTTCCCAGCTTTAGCCAGGGTCTGCCTTACATGTTGTGAATTGTTTTGGCTAATTGTTTTCACGACCGGCCGCCTGCCTGACATCAACTCTCTTTGGGAATGCATTGATCAGTGATGTCTAAATACTCTTAAAAAGTATATATGACTCGGAAAAATCACATTGGTACTTGCCAGAGTCAGGATCGAACCCGCGCCTTCCAACCAACCCGCGCCAATTTGTTTTATTTATATTTATTGCTTGCTTTTATTTTAAGTTGAGGTTTTATCAACCAGTGAAGTAAATTAAATGTATACCTAGTATCATTTGCAAATGGTAAATGGATCCGCAAATGAGAAGTTGTACAAGTGCCCGACTAAGTACTAGACTTGAGGGTTAGATCTAAGTGCGTATTAAATTAAACGATTAATTTACTATTACTTAGCTGTATTTAGTTTGAATGGTTGCCTTATCGACTTTAATGATAAAAGTTTTATGTGTAAGAAGGTTTTTATAACTATAAATGATTATATATTCCTTATTTGAAAAAATATGATAATATTTATTTGTTGGGATTTTCTACATATATTCAAAGATAGAAATACTTTTTTGTAATGTATTGATGGATGAATGATGAATATTGTTGATGATAAGAAGAAATCTCAAAGTGCTCTTGACCTTAGGACGCAATAAACCTCCTATGTACAGTATCTTAACAGATCAATTACCCCCATTGACTTAATATTCCAACAAAGAGAAGACCTGTTGAAATATTCAGAAGCAAAGGCGCACGGAGCTTTGTTTTTGAGTGCTCACTCAAGGGAGGGGGATTTTTTATGAGTAGTCTGCATTATCGTAAACATCAAGATATGTTCGTTAGAACGTATGAAATATTTAATATGTTTTGGATATTGATTCGCCAACACAAAGAGGACGGTAAGACTACGAATACTAAAAGAGAATCTATTTGTATGAATACATACAAGAAAAACACATCTTTCACGTCCGATTGGTTCGTAATCGTATCCTTGTAAAACGTATTATGTAATTGCAATAATCCTAAGACGATTGACCCGGTCAATTGCCTCCGACATCGTCTACACTTGAGGTGATTCCAACACGAATGAGTGCATTGCCACTATTGATACTTTGTTTTCGTAGTTCATTCAAGTAGTAATTCAGTGGCTTATAGACTCTATGTTAAAAATATTTAAACATAATCTTACCTCTACCACTTCTGCCCACAAACCTCAGGTCATTAAATTTTGCGACCTGATTCTTCATAACTGCTGTACAATTTCTCAATTCAGCTGAACAATTTTCATCGTTACCAGCCCTGACGGTCACGAGTGTACCGTCGCCTATTTCTCCAAGAGCTACCACTTTAAAGGCCACTGGTAAGGTTTTATTTGACCTCCAGTGTGGAGGCAGTACTGTGCATACCTGGAAAAAAGAAAAGGTGATTATAATTTTCACATACATCCATATATTGAATTATTTTACAGGTGTAGGGGTTTTCAACATGACTTTTTTTTAAAGTCTCTATTGACTGCATACCAGATCATAAACAATCTTTTGAAAAAAAGTTTTTCTGATTCTCATTTTGTTTGTAAATCAGTTAGTCTGAACTAATGATGATGGAAATGACAATTAATTATTCATCAATTTCAAAAACACAATTCTAAATCACTTCCAGAAGCGTAAGTGTACAAAATTTTTCTTTGTTACCTAATGAGGAAAGGCAAAGATACATATATAAAATTTTGAAATCAATTACAAAAGCATCAAGGCAAGACTTTATACCATACATACGAACAAGGCATAGTCAAAAACTAGTAGGTATATGTACAAGTTTCAAACTTCTAGAATTCCAAAGACACTAATGGATTCATTATTAATTATGAGTGAGTTAAAAACAATTATTTAAACTTACCACATGTGGGCTACCGGTTTTAACTAGTTCACCAGGATGATCAGCGAGTAGCCCTTCAAGGGTACGCTCAGCCAGGAGTTCAGCTGTTAAGGGCTGACTGGGCAGTGCGTTACCATAACTAGAGGATGGCGCCTCGTGACCCAAACCACTGGTTGTCGAACTCACTTCACTCGATAAATGCATCGTTAATATAATATCCAAGTCAATAACAATACACTATGTCCGTCACATAACTTTGAGATATCTATCGGGATGAAAATCGCACTTTTCTAATCTAAAACTTGCTTGATTTGATACAGCCATGATGTTTCACCTGAAATTAAAGTTATTTATACAAATACTATTTTAAGCAATGTCTACAGAAGAAAAAAACATCGTTTCAACAGAAATTGTGCTCTGGTTAATCTTAAATAGAAACAGTATGATTTTTCTGTTTCGCTAAACATATAAAAAATTACCTATTTCAAATTTTTACTAGTCAATTAGGAACTATAACTTCTGGCATTCACTTTGATATATACAAAGGCGTACGTTGAATTTACAGGCGTGAATACGACGTAAAGAAGTCGTGATGTCATAGAATTTATTGACAGCATCAAAGAAACATTACAAAGAGACGCACAATCAGTTACTAGTATGTAGCGCATCCGGGGTAGCTACTGAATTGAATAAAAAGAATTCTTTTATAAAGCATTTGATACATATTTTGCTCGTGCATTTTATTTTGGTAATAAACATAACCATCTAGTTTTGTTAAGAGAATTGTAATGTATCTTTTATATTACGTATTCATTAAGATCAGTTAGTTATATTTAAGTCTTACTGTCGTGAATAAATCGTAGCAAATCAGAAGGTATCGTAAGCCACGCTTGGTTAAGCTTTCTTCGTACATAACAGCTTCAATCTCGTGTTACAAGCCCCTTTGATGTTTGATACAAAATGGGATGATTCGCAAATATAAACTAACGAGTGTTCATACATTTGTTATTTGGAAGGGTTATACGGTGTAATTGAGATAGTAGAATACATTTAATGTGTATATACATAAATATTTAAAATATCTGCTTATTCCTTCCAAAAGCTCTACATTAAAATGCCTTCAGTAACCGATATTTCCAGTAAGTTGAAATATTACTAAAAGTAAGTAGAGAAATGGCAAATGCAAAAATTAATACAAGTAAATATTGATAATTTTAAGACATTTCTACTCAGAAATCTTCTTACATTATAAAATTAAATTTAATGTTAATGGTACTTTATTTCTAGCATATTAGTTAAAGTATTCTTAATACAATATTAAGAATACTTTAACTAATATGCTAGAAAAATCCAAAATCTATGAGTACATAATTACAGTCATTATAAATTAATATTACAAAACCATTAGCCATAAAAATAATTTCAGTATAAAGTAATTTGATACAGGAAAATAGGAACCGTAATATTAACCAGGCAATTACTATAAAATATCTCACAAAAGCTTTCCCCTTTCCATGGAAGGTTGTTGGGAACATGTTTACGCAACGCGATATGTCGATAGGATGTTACACTTAATTCCTACAAGGGGTCCCTACATGCCTTTTACTGGTTTGTGTTCTTTGATTTCCCGATAAGGCCCCAAGGTGATTTCTTTGTCAATAAATTATGACATATTAAATATACGTCGCCTTATTGATTTTAGAATATGATTCATGTAATATTTCAATTAACAAATACAGATATATATTATTGTTTTCTATGCATTTCTATTTTACACTTGTACGTAATTACTTTCGTAAGTTCTATAAGATGATTAACTTAATTTAAAATAGGGTAAAGGTAGGTCCATTTATATTCTTTTCACCAGTCTTTATAGAATTTATTATGTAACATTTAGTAAACTTTAGGATGCTTCTACATTTATTTGAAGCGATTTCAGTGCATATAATTTTTTATCAGAGAAATGAGTGGGTGATAAGATACATGATAGAAAACAGAACTATTTAAACTTAATGTCGTTTCCAGACCAATAAATATATTTATAAATACATGTTATAGAAATTCCTATACAATCAGATTTGAAATTCAAATGTTACAATGCCATTGAATATAATATTTGACTTAAAAACATAAAATAAAAATCAGTGTTGCATGTAAAAGAGATTCACAGTGGATTTAGCTCATGAATAGGGCAGCAATAAAATCTTAGCTTAAAAACACAGCTAGGGCGCAAGTCGTAAATAATAAAGCATGTAGGGGCCAAGTGGGTAATGCTCGTTACCCGGCCTGCACCCTTCCACAAAGAACCGGATAGGGTAAAGATAGATACATTACACAAAACCTTTTCTGTTCTCTGTCCGATATTACTTTTTTACTGCTGTATATTTTTCTCCGGATGAAAAATTCCTTTGTTTTTTTTGTAATCAATATTCCAACAAGTTAAAAAGTTTCCGTAGCTCATTATTACATTACGTATACGTTTCCTCTCGATAGTGTTGGATGAGTTTAAAAAGGGATGTCTAAATTACACGGGTCTCATCTGTGCAAGGAATCTTCAATTCCAAAGCCCGAGGGAACACGGAGGGAATCAATAGCATCGCATTCCTGAGGGCGGCCGAAACCTTTCGGACATGCATAATGACCCGGCGACGGTTACAAATAGGTTAGCAAATGTAATATCCGGACCCCACGTGATATTCAAATAGACGCTAAGACGCTCGGACATCCTGACTCCAAGACGTTCCGAGTGATCAATTGTGAAACACCGAATTATATTACACTTTGAAATCAAATTTAAACTTACCTTATACCATTACAAAGCTATACATAACTTATTTGTGACATAGTACATACATACATATAATGTTTCTTTTGCTTGTGAATTACAATTTAGTTCTGTCAAAAATCACATATTAGTCCGGACTATTAAATGCTTGTAAGTGGAACTCAATTGAGTTTCCTTTAAACAATTTCTGCTTTCTAGAAACTTGCAGCTCTATTAAATGGACATAAATTCTTTAGCAATTTAAACTCAAGTATTCTACTTACAAAATGTTACAAAACTATTTTGCGTAATGTTATTTTTATTACGAAAAAAAGATAGTTTAATTGCTATATTTAAATAATATTGTACTTTTGTGTCTCTTTAATTCAATTTGTATATTTTATATATACCTATATATTGCTTTTAATTTCGATTTAAAATATCCTACAAGAAAACATATCTGCACTTACTATGACCCCCTTCTATAGAATAATACAAATAATTATAACTCATATAATTTACCAAGACACAAAAGGGTTTTTTATTATCTTTAATCATAATTGGCAAACCCTCTAAATACTTTAAAAGCATCTTGGTTTATCTGCGGTTAACTATATTAGATATACAATTCTACTTTTCTAACTTTACATTGTTTTAAGACGATATTAATTTCAAGTAGCTGGAAATTATATTGAAACAGGAATGTTCCAGAATAAAATTTCACGATTCTAAATTATGAATCGTATTTTAGTATAAAAGTAAATAAATTTACAAAAAATTAAACGAACTATTTTCGACATTTATAAAAACTTGATGGACCAAGGTCAAAGACGATTTTAAATATATATATTTTACTAGTATTGACATAAGTATCAATTATTTTTTTTTGTTTAATATTGTTATTATGACAAATTTAAAGGTCATAAGATAGAAAATATTTTCGAATTCATAGCTTAAGAAATAAGCCTCAAAATAGTATTTCTTTTTTCACTCTGTAATAGAAAACCCTATGCAATTATTGTTTAATTAGAATTTTTATACTCTTCTGAAAACAATTATGATGCTTCTAGTTCTTTAGTCAAATTGAAATCTAACTTACATATAATTAAAAGTTTCTAACTTCCGACGGAAGGGAGGTATGAGAAGTTAGTCAAGTTTATATCTTTCTGTGCATATATATATATTTGTGTTTCTTTGGACATAGTATTAATGATTGAGTGTGAAATAAAAAAGGAGAAATTTTGTATATGTTGGAAATAATATGAGTTTAATATAAATTTACCCAAAAAAAAAAACAAAAATTTTCATGCAGTTCATTTTTATATATTAAAAATATTGACAAAACAAAATACCGATATACTCGTATAAGAGATTTGAAAAAGTTTTGTATTTTATTTCAACAGAAATATTCTTTATGACTAAAGAATTGAAAGAGCAATTGTTTATCAATTGTGGTAACGAGAAGAAAGTTTACCCAAAGACTATCGACGATAAAAAAAAATATCTGACGAATAGACAACTAATTATCAATATTTCTAATTAAAATCTTATAAAAATAGCTTTAAAATCAGATCCTAAAGTATGTAACGATGATTATAAATCAAATGAAGCGTAAACTTCTTAGAACATCACTCTAAAGCGTCATAACGCCTCATTTGACATATAGGAAGGCGCGCTTCAAGTCGACGCGGCAATTAGCAGGTGAGTTGAGGGGATAATGGGAGTTCGCACTTACTTTTTAACAAGTCCTCGCCAAGGTTATGTATAATTGAATGCTCGATTTTATAATAATAATATTAATGATCACTATACTTACTGTATTTTAAATATTGTTTGAGTGTTGAATTAATGATTAGTGTTGAGTTTTTTTTTTGTTAATTTGTTTATATGATATAAAACCTCCGTGGATTTTTTTTGTTGTTGTTTTTCAATGGAATGTTTTCATGTTAAAAATCCTTAAGTTATAGTAATGAAAAATAGTTTTAATATAAAAGACTATAGATATTGAATGTATGCTTATTTGAAGTTATATTAAATATATTTTTATATATTATGATTTTTTTTATAAATTTTATCATTTACTGGATTGAAAGGCGTGGTTAATAAATTTTAAAACTAACTCTAAAAATTAATTCCTCTCTGACATTTTAGTTCTATATTTAATTTAAAATCAGCACATAAAAAGAAAAAATCAACTAAATCAATTAAAGTCGTAAGAATTATTTAAAAATTTATAAATATAAAGAATGTGGTTTTAAATTAAAATAATTTTTTTTACAATTTTTTACTATTAAGAGCTCTTTAATCATTACTCGATAAGTATTCGTATATAGTATCCTAGCCACTTAATATATAATATCAATATAAAACTGTTGTTTACATACAAACAGCCTACATATTAAACTATAATATAAGGTAAACAAAACTTTAATTAATCGGGTGCCTGGCGTTATCACAATGCGGCCCTATCTCGGAGTTTAATCGCGTGGTGCGCGCCAGGGCTAATGAGTCTGCGGTCACATGAAAACAAACTCCAACCAAGTTCGGCAACTTGGAAACTTTCGACTGTTAAAAATTAAAAAAAAAAACAACAATAATACTGGCAACTTACAAAAAAAAATATTAATGTTTTTTTTTGTCACTGACACCAACACTCCAAAGAGTCCGTCACCAAAAAGTTTGATCGACCGCGAGACGCGCGTCCGCCACCAAAACGTGGTCGACATTAAAACCTTAGCGGGAAAGAAACGGTCCCCTTATTACGTCTCGAAAGAAATTCACTCACACAGCGGCGAGGAAAGAAGTTCACTCACACATAGACGCGCTGCAGCTACTAGGGGAGACGGTAGTGTGCGGCTATGACTCGAATAAGTACGAAAAGATATAGTTAGTGAGACAAGCACTCATATATTGATGGTATACAAAAAATAAAAAAATATATATCAAAAAAATATGTAAAATCTATGTCAAATAACGTGGATGAACTTTTGAAGTCGAGTTAATTTTTGATTAATGTTTAGAATATTTTTTTTATTGATCAAGGAAATTAAATTTTCGCAGAGAATAAAATTTTAATTACAGAGTATTATTTAATTTATTTTTGCCACATTTTTTATTTTTTAATAAAAATGATAGTACATAATAAAAATATTGTGTAATACATAGTTTTAAGAAGATAACAAAATATTTTATATGGGAACCAAAAATTTTACTCATAACCAACATGCTGCAAACCAGACAGAAAAAAGTTTAGAAAAAAATTATATCCATGTGAATGCGTGTATACAGTTCTCATTATAATTTTGTTTTATATAATCCTTTTTTAAAGATATTTTTTAGATTGAAAAATAAAAAAAATATATATAATATTTATAATAGATTTAATAAATAATAGATTTTAATAAATATATTTATGAATTTTTATTCTTTTTTTAACATCTTTTCTAAAAAAAATAATCTTAAATATACCTTTTATATAAAGTAATAAAACTATTTGCTGATGCATGAAAACAAACCTTCATCTCATTCCAAAAGCCAAGAATGGAAAATATCATACTAAAATTTAAGTACCCACTTTAATAACTAAAGCCTCAGGCCATAGTATCGCGGACAAAAGGAAACCTCTTCGGCCGCACCACTACACACACACCTGTAACCGCATAGCCGCATGTACACACACACACACACACATGCACAACATCACCATTACAAGCCCGAAACCCGCACGCCCACCAGCCAAACACGCCCAACGTCTTGGGTTTTCTTATAAACCGCGTCGTTCCCCGTCCCGTTTTCTCATACTCCACTATACACCATCTCTCGCTCAGACGCAATGACGAGCCTCACATAAAGCGGCGCCACATTCCCGCCTTTTTTCCCACTCCATTTTGACAGCTCGTGGCTCCATATCTGGCCGGAACTAAGACAGTGTTCACAACACTATAACCGTCTTATAAAATGACTTGCATACTGGCAACACTTAACTTGATAATCTGTCATTTACGATGTAAGCATTAATAATAATAATCGATCAATATATTTATGAATAACATAGAATATCTGTCTTAATTAGAATCGTACATAAATCATTATGAAATTCCAATTCTTGTTATGCATTTAATCAAAGAATATTATGTCAATGTGACGTTTCGATAGTACATACAAAATAATCTCCGCAAGCTATGTCATTGTTCTTGACCTAGTTTAAATTTAGAACAGTGTGCTCTATGTCTTAGCGACTAAGTGGCTCAAGACGTTAGCTGGTGCGCTCAGTGCGGGCGCGGGCGCGGGCGAGGGTGGGCGTGGCTGCGGCGCTCCGATATCGGCACACCGAAACACACATTTTTCCCGCCGCAAACCTCGCGCCGAAGGTTAGCCGCGGCCCGCAGACGGAGACAGAGAGAGCCTCGCGCCTGCGCCATCTTCAAGACGCGCCAGTTTTGACATTCGACGACCGAAGCCCGGATGAAGATGTTATGACTTACGTCGCGCTGATATCACAATTGAGTGTGATAATACTTTTCTATTGGCTTTCATAATTATTGAATATAATGAAAACGCATTATTAGGCGCTTCCGTATAATTTTCTTTTATTTTCTGAATTGTATACGACTTGAACTTTAACGATAAACTAAATTGACAAAGACTTTTTTATTAAAAAAAACGCAACATATCTAATTACTTTTTTTAATGAAAATTCAAAGTAGGTACATTTGGTAAGAGAGTAATTTCTCATGTCATTTTATGTACCATGTTTTTCTCTTTAATGTAAACACTTTAGCTGTTACTCCTCCTATAAATGGCTTGGTTCACAATATAATTATAATAATTTAAAACCATCTATAGCTCGCATCCTATGAATGGGTATAACCCAAAACACAAAGGAAATAGATATGAAAATGTACATAATAGTGGTGTACCGAAGATCCTAGGTTGACGGGCCGCCGCAATGTCGGTTCGCGGCTAACCTGCAAATTGTCAGCGCGGCCACGTGATTAGCTCGCCAAACTCACAACACCCGTTTTGTTTTGATATACCACCCTCACCCTGCGGCCGGGGCATGCATACGGGTCACTATTACTACCACTTTGAGGTCAACTATCAACTCTCAAGTTCAATTTACGTTTGTATTAAGGGATTTGCTAGTGTCGAGTTTTACGGTTTTTATATTTTTGGCAGAATGTATGTGGATCGTTGTGTTAAAAAATTAAAAAAACATTTGTGTCAAATGTCAAATGAATTGTGACCGCGTCGTAATCATTTTAATGCTTAAAACAGGTGATTTAGTTACGTACTAAATAACTTAAATATTAAAGAAGAAAGATTTTAAAAGCAGAAAAATATAAACAATTTTTTTAATAAAAATGTACAATATAATTAAGACAAGATCGACCGCTCTGTACAAGAATGCGTCAAGATAGCTCGTGTAATTTGTAGGTCAAAATGGCGAGTGATAAGAGGGGGACAAGGAAATCATTCCTCTCGTGACACAGATTAAAAATTTAACTTTTTTATATAGAATGAACACTTTAAATAAGGATGGCCGTTCCAACAAATAATTTAAATACCGTTAAGGTTATTGATTTACGTTTTATAGTAAAATATACGTATATATCACCTCACTTACACGTAAGCGAAATGTACCGACATTAGTGAATAAATAACTTGACACTTGTTCGCAAATAAACAATTTAGAATGTCAAGAAAGGGAAAGGGCACAACCCTTTTGCTTTCCTGACATTATGTTTTCTGACAAGCAATTTTAAATTGTTTACTCTTACGTTCTTGTAGCGATATGACATTTCTGTTTCGACGTTGACAACCAGAGAATTAAAACAAAATTAAAATACTTACTAATTATTATAGTAGGTAATATATTCCATGATAACAAATATGTATTTAATTTGATTATAAAATTACATAAAATTATACAAAGCTGCTATTCTTATATTAAAAAGTGAAATTGAATGTTTTTTTTAAAGTTTTATGTATACTGTGCGTCAAACTTAAGGGCACAGATAATCATTATATTTAAGTACAGATAATTAAAAGAAATAAAAAGTCATAGATATAGTGAGGTTCAATAAGTGCGTGTTTGAGCAAGTTCAGTGAGCTAGTTATAATCGAGGCGCTGTACCGAGCTGCAGCTGTGTCTGAGGAGTTAAACACTAGTGATGTGACACTCAATACGATAGACGGTTATTTATACACGCAATTGAGAACTATCGATATTTTTATCGACACTAAAAAACGGTTCACATCTAACATCGTTATATTCTCAGGCTTGTTGTAGAACAACTTTCGTTATATTTTAATATATTATACATATTTTTGTAATACTTATAAAATTAATTAAAAAAAATATGGTATTAGTTTTCGAAAAATTTTATAAAATTTTACTCCTTCTATTTTGTATACGTTATCTGAAAGAAAAGTCCCATCAAAATTGTTCTAACCGTTTCAAACATTAGCTGAAACAGGTAGACAGCCAGTAAAGACTAAAATTGATGAATTCGTTACTTTGGTATACATGCCATATACATCCGTATATACATCAATATAATAATAAGACACTAATTTTATTTATTTGCATAGACTTAAGGTTTTTTTTGTTTTCAGTTAGCAAAATATAAAATGAGCAGATTTAAAAAATAATTGTGCCTCGAGTCCCAGAAGAAGTGAAACTTCGTAACCTGCAGAAGTGAAACTTCGTAATGTTGGAATGAAAGCAGGAAGGAATAAAAATAGATTTTGAAGGATTTTTTAGTGTGTCCTTAAGACTAACTTTATTAACATTACAAGTTACGATTGATTGCCCCAATTTCTCAAGAGTTAAACGTTTAACGCAACCTTATTGGAACGCGAATAAGACGTTTCACTCCAATAAAATTATATATACAATAAAATAATAAACGCCAAACAAATCGCTATTGTTCAATGAAACAAATCGCTATTGTTAAATGAAACCTGGATTTTATCGTATCAAAATCACGGTCTATCCACAAAAATCATCGATACAAAAGCACATCCCTAGATCAACCCTTCCGTTGCTCACCATATGCCGGCACTGAGCGCGCCCTTAAATTACAGAACCTCCCGCTCATAATAGAGAGATATGCCTTTAATATCTGCCTGAAACTGCTTCCGCGTGTTTACTTTTTGCTTCTTATATTAGATTGTGTTGCAGCTGTACGTTCATTACCTTGAGATATTGTTATTGCATCACCAGGATTAAAATGCAACGAGGTTACAAATTATGATTTATCATTATATATAATTATAGAGTAAAGATATAAGATAATTATAAAATATATCGTAAGTCTTAGAATGACAAACGACGCGGTGGACCAAGTTATAGTTGCCATACCCAATTGGGTATATCGAAATTCAAGCTAAATATTTATAATCGATGTAAAGGATATGAAATATTGATAATAGCATCGTACCATAGATAGGGAAAATAGAGCTTAAAAGATTGAGAACTGCCTTAAAGTAAAACTGATGAAAAAAGTTGCAAAACCTGGTTGAAATCCATGAAAATGTGTCATTCTACGCGTCTAACTAACTTCAATAACAGTTATAAGTCTTACAGCACAAAACTCGATCTGTGAACTTTTCTCAAGCAATATCCATCAGTAATAATCAGCAACCTTACCCCAAGTCTGCAACTTGAAACAAAATACATACTTTAAATTATTATTTAATTGTTTTTTATATATTTTGGCGTCATTCGCACTGAAATTGTGATATATTTTACCAATGTCAACGGTTTTATTTGTTTGAAGAATTATAATTTTCAGTACTGCGTGGAGAAAACACGAACGTTTATTCATAAATATTCAAGCATTTCAAGGTTTATGAAAGAAAAACTAAGAATGTAAAAAAAGAGATAAAGTATAATATCCAATATAGACATTTTATTTAAAATATCTGTGATAACCATTGATTGTAATTATCGTTTACATATTTTTAGAACTCATTCTAAAATACTCCTAAACTTTCAACCTATCATTAAATCTAGATATCATAATTATAGCTCATAAAGTCAATAATATAATGTTCATTTGATTTTTGACTGTTTAATATAAGTACTTTTTCTCAATTCGTCCTTTCGGCCAGGCTTACATGATGCTGCCTATTCCTGAGTATTATAAGTACTTTAATTAATTATTTGAACTAATAACAAAATAAAAAGTCATAGACGTATGGGTGGACATATATAATAACAAAGGTTAAATTAGTTAGTTACCCAATTACGATTTTTTTCTTTTTTAATCTTATAATCTTTATTTAAACATAATATTCAATTACAAATACATGAAAAAATATACATAAAAACATCGGAAATACTTAGGTACTAAATTTTCTTTACCATGTAATTGTGCATTAGTTGATATTCGATAATTCAAGGACAAAACTTATGTTACTATTAACTATACAATAAATAAAAATTAACACATATTGTGGTAATGTCTATTTTATTTTCTAACTAGCTTTTTGCAGCGACTTTACCTGCATACTAATAAGTTACCTTTTAGATAAGCGTCGTCATACTAAAGAGGTGTCATTCGATTTTTCGGTGCTAATTTCATTAGATCCTGACTTTGTATTGAGACTTCTTAGAATATTACCTACATGCAAGTGAGAGTCCTATCAAAAATTGTCCAGCCGTTTCAGAGACTATCCAGAACCAAAAGATTGACGGACTGTTTTTTTATTTACATTTTTGTTGTAAGTACTGTATGTACTTTAATGTACGCAAAATGATAAACTGCCAATTTGGAATTACAGACAGATGCTTAAATTTTATTTACTAGATGACCTGGCGAACTTCGTATCGCCCTATAATCAAGAAACATCTATTACGTTTTTTTATTTATATTTTTTGGAGTTTACCTGTAAGTCATAAATCTCCGTGTTTTGAAGTGCGACAGAATGATTGACACATCACTTAGTTGTCAAATCAGTTAGTTGATGAAATAGAAAAGGGCTGTTTTTATGGTTTTCCCAGTAATGAATAAATTTTTTCAGCTTTTATACCTTCCCTGAACCTCCACGAACATTTCAAGACTAAGATAATATAAATCCGTTCAGCTGTTCTCGAGTTTTAGCGAGACTAAGGAACAGCAATCCATTTTTATATATATAGAAGAAGATAGAAGATATGGATTATGAAACATGGTACGTGGGATGTAGTATGTGGGAAACAGGTCTCGGAACAAAATCAATAATTTATTATAATCCTTTTAATTTTCTACCTTAATTTTTTGTTTAGTATTAGATAAAGCGTGTGGGTAAATACTTTATAAACGTTTCAGACCCGTAATATTGATATCAATTTTAAACTTTAAATAGGTAACATAAAAAAAAGATTATTTTATACTTAGCTGATGAAAATCTTTATATATTTTTATCGGCTCCTTTCTATGTTATGATATACTATAAATACTAGATTATAAATATAAAAGAGATTTTTTTTTTATTATAACTGGCTTAATTAACCATCATTATATATCTATTAATATAAACATTTTCAAATAAGGGTGGCATAAATTACAAATTTAAGAAATAATATGCTATGTTTTTACATAAGTCGAACAAATATTTTATTAAAATATTTTTAAGAGAAATTTGCTACGAGTCTTGACTATATATTCCTACAAAGCGAAGTAGAAGTAAGTACTACACAGAGAAACTCAATTGAAATTGATCCTCTCCAACAAAATTCCCAATATCATTGTGTCCTTAAATTCGCCCAGTAAATGAAGCAATTTCAATCACAATTCTTAGCGATATCCGTAAACGCACCTGCTGACTCGACACGTGCCCCGCTAAGAATCTACTTAACGTAAGTGACCCTACTTACCGAATCCCAACTGAGCCGTCGAAGACATTTCAATGGCCGGCAATTTCACGTGGACCAGACGCCATCTGCGACCGACGCGACAAAAAATAACATCCCCCAAAAACATTTGCTAAAGAAAGGGATATTAGTCTCCGCGGGGCAATAATCGAAGCCAATCGGCTCACCGAACGCCGTACATGACACTTTCTTTTATTTATACCATTTCTTTAATTCAATATCTTCTTAATATTTGTTCTCACTAGCTACGAGTTGGCGTAAGTAAGCTATGATAACATAAACTAGATATGCATAAAATATTGTAAAACCAGTATCCTTAATTAATCCTTTAAACTATAAAGTTTCATATAATGTAAGAAATATTTGCTAATATATTTTTTAAACTCATTCTGTTATATTTTATTACAAAGAAGCAGAGCTATGTAATAATTTGCTTCTTTTTTATTCATATTCTAAATTGTACATCGGCATTTGAGATACGCGGATAGCGCTTCGATAAAAATCTTCGACAACATAAGAAGTACAGAACAGACAATGTGCATATTAAAATAGCTATTATTTATTGATTTATTAATTTTTAACTGTTCCTCAACTAAAAGAACTTAGATTTTCCAATATCGAAAACGGAATAAAATTTTGCTTTTCAAGCTATAATTACATATTGCTTAAAAAACAAGTTTGTCTAATAGATTATATTTAAAATATTAAAGAAGAGTTCTTTAGCATTAATGGTGGAACTTATTTAGAAAAACACAAAGAGTACAGTCATCGAATTGAAATTATAGAATTCAGTACGTTTCGTATTATGTCAAAATAACTATTAATTCTTGTATTGTAGTTATCATAATCATTTTCAAAGGAATAAATTACTTAAATGTTATGAAAACTCTTTGTTTAGGATAAGACAAAAACATACCAACGCCATATATTACTAACACATAAAATTCTTAAAACATCGAAGCGCGCTTGTCCAATTTCTCCCGCCATTTCCCCTCAATTTTTTCAATACCAGTTCAGGATCATTTAACATTTTTATGTGTAATCTTGCTCGCGGTGATAAGACAAGGAGATTTTTGTGCTTGTGTTTATTTTATCGGCGACGTTTTACGGCCGGCTCTAAACAGATTAAATCTAAAGAGTGGGGCGCTATTCTTTCTACATTTATTGCCGCGGATTTCGGTTTACACAAATTACGAGACAACACCATATTGCTTTGGCATTTCTTTTCTGACTGATGAAAATTTAAGACAAGAAGAGATATAGAGAAAAAATGAAACATTTTATATATATTTAAATGCATTCTTATTATTTAATTTATACGAATATCGATTTACAAATACAAAAATCTCGCAGTCTAATGTCAATTTTAGATAAATTATCTATCATAGACTCAATATTGTAAAAGAAAAGGGAGTATAATAATCTGTTTTAAAAAAAATAAACATAAAACACAGGCTACATGAAGCGAAAAGTACATCAAAACAGTCTGCTTAAATTATGCAACATTTGTATGGAAATAGAGATCGCCCTCGCGTCCTTAAAATACAGCCCGTGTTATTTGTTGCGTTTTGGTGTGACTTGCGCCCGGATTTGATTGCTTTTTCATGTAGATCATAACATTGCAATAGTTGTATGAATATCTGATGTATATCCATGGTTATGTTTGTCTATGTTTTTATTTCTTTTAGAAAAAAATATCGATGGTTCAAACTAAACAGCACAATTAATATAAAAAATGTTGGTTATTTGTTTTAAACGTCTAATTTATTACTCAAAGAAATCGGCTAATACTTTATTAATCAGAACATTTTTGGCTGAATAGATTCGAGTCTTTAACTGTCAGATAAACTTTTCATAAGTTTGGAAGTAAATTTAACTAACGAAGACACATTTTAGTAACTCTCGACTAACTATTAGTCCAAAAAGTTTATATAGGATACCTAAAATAACGCACTGGCAGTTTGAAAGTAGTTGTAATCGCGTGTACACAGCGGTAGTGCACGCTCCGACAAACATTTGAACTAGTGATTGCTGTACGTCCCACTGTTTGTATTGTCAAAACTCACCGTATGTCAACTTCGCAATGAATTTGAAGTAGTTTTTTTTTTGTTAAATATAGCAACGGACTATATTTGAGGTGCTTTTTGAAAAGAGGATTAATATATAATATAGTTTTCAAAATACTATACTTATATTATAGATGTTTCAGTCAACAGATATATTATATTTATATCAAAAAAAAAATTGTTTGTCTGTAATAAAAAAGGTATTATCCATTTTATAACTCATCAAAATCAGAACACAATATTCATGCCAGAATTTTCTATTTGATGGAACATATTTTATAATTTTAGCTGCCAGAACGAAAATTTAAACGACAAAACAAATATGCAAACAAATATTTCGACCTTATAACAAAATAAAAAGGTGCACATTTCCTTGAAACAGTGTTAGGTGAGTTCGCCATTTATGCTAGGCTAACCTTATATCCCTCGAAGAATGGTTGGTAAATTTTCAATACTCACTTTATTAGGGGTGAGCGGATGGAGGGTGAACGAAACGGCCTTTATTAGATTTGCTAGAAACGTGAGTATACAGCCAATTGCATCGACTGCGACCGACACCTTGATATTGAAAATTTCTATGAGCCCCATTTATAATATATAACCTCTTTACGTAAATTGATTTTCCTTCCATAATATCCGATGCAAAACATCGATCTAGCATTTTAAAGCTACTTTTCTGATGTACTTAAGATTTATAAATTTTCGGAAATTAACCTTTTCCAATATATGTAGAATTTTAAAATATACAAACTGAACACATAAGCAATATTTTAAGAGGATACTAAATCTGAATTATTTTTTGTCTCAAATAATGAATCTTTAAACCTTAAATTTTAAGGTAGGTATTTACTTTAATTTCATGTCAGAAGATTATAAGGAACATTAATATGAGTTGTAATCTCTAGACAAAAATGACAGTTAATTTAAACCTAAATATAGCTATTGTTTCAAAATTGTGTAAATGCCATCTATCAAACAAATTCAAAACTGCTATACTTCTTTAACGGCAAAACGTATTTGTTGTTGGTTTACATATAGATGACACTACAATCGAAACCAAACTAAAGTAATTATATGAAATACATTATGCTTGTACTAATTAACAGTAAATTGAATAAATTATTTACTATTTTATTTAATAAAGACTTAAGTCATTGAAGTGGTTTAATTTCTTTCTATGCAAAAGACATAAACTTAACTTCAAAGTCAAACATAAGATATAGGTTAGAATTATGATGTGTCAACTAGCATCAAGCTTTAACAAGTAAACAGGACTTACAGATGTTTTAATAATGATTTTGTGATAAAAACTACAAACCAGAGATCTGTAACAATGTCAGTCGTAATTGAAACCACACTGGGAGATATTACTGTAGATCTTTATTTAGATCAACGACCAGTAACATGTTTAAACTTCTTGAAGTTGTGCAAGATGAAGTACTACAACTACAATCTGTTTCATACAATACGAAACGGTTTTATTGCTCAAACTGGTGATCCCAGTGGTGAAGGATCAGGAGGACAGTCAATATGGGGTATTCTAGAAGGACCGGACAAACGCTTTTTCTCTGGCGAGAAAATGCCCAAGATTCGTCACACCGACGCTGGTTTGCTATCCATGGTATGTACCGATGATATGATGGTCGGTTCTCAATTCTTTTTCACACTTGCGCCCGACTTAAACTCATTAGATGGGACACATTGTGTAATAGGTGAAGTGACCGAAGGGCATGATGTACTAACTAAGCTCAATGAAGTGATATGTGATGAATCCTATCGTCCATATAGAGATGTAAGAATTACACATACAGTTGTACTTGAGGACCCTTTCAATGACCCACCTGGGTTGAGAGCCCCATCACGGTCACCATCGCCAAGTGCAGAACGCCTCAAGGGCGGCAGAATTGCTCCAGACGAAGAAATTGATGAAGCACAAGGCAAAACGGCAGAGGAAATCCAAGAAATGATTGAAGAAAAGGAAGCAAAAGCTAGAGCAACAATTTTAGAAATTGTTGGGGATTTACCTGATGCTGAAATAGCACCTCCTGAAAATGTTTTGTTTGTATGTAAACTCAACCCAGTCACAACAGATGAAGACTTGGAAATAATATTTAGTCGATTCGGCAAAATAGTTAGCTGCGAAGTAATTAGAGACAAAAAGACTGGTAACTCATTACAGTATGCTTTTATTGAATTCGACAATAAGAAATCTTGCGAAGATGCTTACTTCAAAATGGACAATGTTTTGATTGATGATCGCCGAATTCATGTTGACTTTTCACAGTCAGTATCTAAAATGAGATGGTTAGGGAAAGGTAGGGGTGTCCAGTATTTTGATGATGATACAAACAAAAAATCTCAAAAAAACACAAATAGAAATAGTCATAAACAACCACAAACTGATGAAACAAACCATAGGAGGCGTTATGAAAATGATAGAAATGGCAAAGAAAGTCATAGACACGATAAAGAAACAGACAGTTATAGGGACCACAAAGATAAATTAAAAGATAAAAATATTAGAAGTAGTGATAGAGATAGTAAAGTTTACAACCGAAAGCATAGTATAAGTCGATCTAGAAGAGATAATTCACAGGATAGAATACATGAAAGAAGACAAGATAGGACCAGATATTCTAAAGACACAAGTAAATCTAGAGATAACAGAGAAAAGAAGAATTCACATGAATTTGTTCATAATAAGAGGGATCATCGTGATCATTATAATTCAAGATCCTCACCGAGTAAAAAAATTAGAACAGAATCACCTGAAAAACAGCATAGAGAGAGAGAATTAAGTAGAAGTAGAGATAGAAGTGACAGAAATAAACAAGAAAATAACGGTGTTCATCCAAGGTATAGCGAATCTAATAGTCGTAAACACAATAAAGAAAGCAGAAGTGATAAAATTAAAGAAAATACTAAAGGTGTAGAATCAAAAACACCATCGCCAGTTACAAAGAAAAATAGAACACAATCCTCAAAATTAAAAAAGAAATCCAAAAAGAACACAGTAGATTTAAAATCTAAAAAGAAGGAACGGAAAACAAAAAAACGTAAGCGCTCAACATCATCATCGGAATCATCAGATTCAAGTTCTAGCAGTGATAGCAGTTCCAGTGATAGTGATAGAAAGAAAAAGAAAATTAGACGAAAAAAGAGAAAATATTCGACATCTAGCAGTAGTTCTGATAGCACTTCTAGCAGCTCGTCGAGTAGTTCGGACACCAGTAGTGTATCATCTTCGAGCTCCGATAGTAGCTGCAACAAGAAACAACAGAAGAAAAAGCATGTAAAGAAAAACAAAAAGAAGTTATAGGCTTAACTTAAAATCATATAGTATTTTTAAAATTGATCTAGTACAATGAATTTTGCAAATGTTTTCATATTTTTTTTATAAATATCCTCAAAATAAATGTATAGTAATTGTTGGCTTTATCAATGTAATATTGAAAGAACTTACAGTGCCTTCATATTTAACTCAAAACCATTAATATACGCATAAAAGATTAAAAAAATATAAGCAATATGACCAGAATTGTATTTCATTGTTAAAAGTTTTTACATTTATAATCTGTGGCTTAGTACAATATTAAGTAATTGACACCATTGTTTTACATTTTATGTTGGTAAATTAAATTAAATGTATTATGTACCTAATTATTAAGATTGTTTGTTTTTAAAATTACAAATCCGTATCGAATTTAAAGTTTTTTCTTTCTATTCTTTCAATCAAATTCAATAATCGAATGTAAAGTTAATTAACCAAATTAAAGTAGCCTTATTTCTGGTTCTATGGGGTTTTTATATTTTTAAATTTCAGAATGTTACCTATATTACCTACCAATATGACATGTGCCATATTTTAAGAAAATCATAATTAATAACAGATAAGGGTTTGATAACCAAACCAGTAATTACATTTTGTTGCCTTTATTTTTCATTTGTCAAGATATCAAATAGCTATGACAGGTCTCTTAAGTTTTAGTATCAGAATACTTTTCACAAATCCTAATAATATTACGAGAAAACAACTTTGATGTTATTTTCTCATTTTTCTTAGTAACTATATGTATAAATTTGAAACAGTTACAATAAATTCAGTTTCTGTTAAGGTCAAGTCAATTTTTAACCGTAACAAGTAAAATTTTGACAGTTGTGTCAAAATATTAAAACTAGTTCTCTATTATAGTTGGCAAATGATTGTTAGAAAAATCCCTTATAATAATCCATTATTTTCGTTATAACGTGTAAATACATAATACGAAGTACCTAATTTGTTTAAATTTGATGAAATTCATAAAAGCATGATAATATTTCTTATCAATATTATAATAAGCGGCAACATGAATGTTTTCAATATTAAAAGGAAATCATAAAATACGTCGAGTTTTGAAGTGACATTACCTGATAGCAGGATGTCGCCGGCATGACATCGAGACCATTCTATTTGGCGAGTTTGCTTTGTGTGAGAATTAAAGCGACCAGAATGTCCGACTCTTGTATTGTATTTGTATCTACCTATAGATGCAGTTAAAATGATTCAGTACTTATAATATTATACCTATTGAAAAATGATTTTAGTTTATTGAATATAGAACAACAAATTTTTGTATTTCGTAGATTTTTAATTTAATATTATCTCCATTATAATTACAAATTTTTCGTTTTATATGATTATAATTTTTTTAATGACTACTCTCTTACTTTCCCGAATATGAATAGAAACAGCTAATTATATTTTCTTATTAGTAAATAAAACTGTAATTACAACCATAAGTACTTTTTAAGCAGTTGTCTTAATAATTCTGTAATAATGACATCGTTAAATTCATAGTGATTAATAAATGTAGACGCTAAGTGCCATAACCGTCGTAAACTGAGACATTGAAAATGTTTTATTGAACCTGTTTTGCTGAACATAGGTAAGAATACTTACCATTACTCAAATAGTAATGGTAAGTACAGTAATTAAGTAATATTAGTCAGTGAGAACAAACAAGACGAAAATATCTATTTTTTTCTAGTCCCCTAAAGCTCTAGCAGTAGGTACTTAATAATTGAATAATTATTAGAATCAGTATCAAAAAGAAATTATATATATACTCTTTATTGCACAGTAAGAAAAATTACTTAGTTATTTTATATCCAGAATTGTTGTTTACAAAGGCGGTTATATCATACACTTGAATTAAATTACTAAAAAAAACAATACAAATTACATAAATGTTTTCTTAGTTTTACCTTATTTCTTTAAGCATTTAAGAATACGTACTTTTTATATTAAGCCTAGGAGACTGAATCTTTAACTGAGAAAGTTTCCAATATCTTACATAAAACTTATTAATATACTTATTTAATACTCCTTCCATTACCTGATAAAATATAAGAGTCTTAAAAACTAACATCCTAAACAGCCCCTGGCAACGAAAAGTAATTATGTAATAATTAGTTCTGTTTCTACAGTTTAGTTGTTATTCTAAAAGCCTACCAGACATCTACGTAATAGTTCAGGACTGAACTCAGGGACAAATTAAGATAACACATCCTAAGTCGAACATCAATTCCTATAAAAGGTAGCTATAGCTGTAGAGTTATTTAGTGGTTCTGTTGAGCAAGACAAATAATGTTCATACATTTGGTCTTAAAATTTCGAAAATAATTCTTCATTATTTTCCATTGACAATGAAAACAATTATACATACCTACTTAACGGATGTATAAAATATGTATTGTTTGTTATTGTTCTCTTGCAAAAAAGTGGCTTAATGATTATACATTATAAAGGTATAAAAAACTTTTAAAGCCTTTGAATATAATAACATCTAAATTCGTCCCTGTTCGGGTTCACTGCGCATGTCGGGACTGTATCGACAAGCGTTCTGCTTTTCTCTGCCGACCGACCCGGTACCCGCCACTTGTCCTCGGAGTGTGGACCATTACGTCGCATTCTCATTCTTCGAAGGCGTCCCTTAAAACAATACCAAGAGAAAAGTTCTATAAAAACTAAGGATGTTATTCATCTCGCTAACCGCTTTTGTTGCGGTGTTGGCCTTTAGCAAAGCGGAACCCACCCCGAATACCAAGGGTAAGTATGTGATAGAAAAATATATATTAATACCTTATGTGTACCAAATATATACATAAATACATTGTTGTTAATGTTTGTTATATTGTTATGATGCATCATATCGATCTGACGGAGGCCGGGTCGTTCTATATTTAGCAACAGGTGGATCAAGCGCGCCGTTGTATCTGCGTAGTTCTTTCAGCTATAATGGCCGATCTTATCAAATAAATTCCAAAAACTTCTTATAATTACATATACAAACCAAAACAATTTTGGTAATATCCTAAAGTTACCTAAAATATTGAACACTTCGAATTTTTTTTTGGGTTTTATTTCTTTCCGTTCAAACTTAGGTATATTCTTTATTCAAGCATTATGCCAATTGAGTAATATTTTTCTTAGAAGGTCCCATAGCGGATCTGCCAGAGAATTGGGACCAAACTAAAGATGATACTCAATCATTGTTTCTCAATAAGAGTGACAAAAATGACCTCGAGCCATATCCTCTTGCATTGAGCGAAGAAGGTAATGGATACTAGTCTTAATATTATAATATAAAATTATTTTTTCGTATATGTATATAAAATTGTAGGTAATTCTGATGGATATGAACCCGTAATGGAACAACGTTACGGAGAATCTCCCCAATCACACGGCGAATTAGACAACCTCATCATGAGACCAGAATTGTATGGTGAACCGCCTGCTATGGAAGGTTTATCAAGCGGATACGAGTCTCGACGAAAGAAGCGCGGAAGTGGGACTAAAGTGGGTGGGGCTGGAGCTGCTACAAAGGTCGCTACAAAGTCAGGTTCCGGCAAGAAGAATCTTAAGTATGTACACCTCTACATTCAAATTAAGCTTTAGCAAACTTCGACTTGTTACTCTAATTAAATATTTACAAACAGAGCTGACGACGCACCGACACCTGTGGATTCTGTTAGCTTTGATAACAACAACAACAGACAGAAACGCGGCAGCGGCACCAAAGTAGGTGGAGCAGCAGCCTCCGCTAAAACTGCCACAAAAAATTCCGGTGGCAACAAAAAGAATTTCCGGTATAATTAATCGAATAAAGTTAATTTTTTAATTTCCCTTATCCCTACCTCATTTGTGTATTTCTTTATTTAGACCAATTTCCGAGCGTCGTAAGAGGGATTCCGGGCTTAGTGCTGCTGAAGTGAGAGCTCTTCTCAATCTGTGGGAGGCCCAGGAACGCAGGAAACAGGAGTGGAACGCCAACCAATGGGCTGACCGTTACTACGGCCACATGAACACCTTAGTCGAAGATCAGCCCGATGTAGAAGAAGAAGGCGTCTGGTATAACGATCCCATGGTAATGGGCCCCCGTGATCGAGATTATCCGCGTCACTCATACTTTTCGGAACAAAATCGCTTGGCTCTAGCTCACGGTTTGCCAGAAATCTACCAAGTAGATCCTAACGAACTGGCACAAAGATACGAGGAAGCCCGTCGTAAGAGAATGTACGCTAACAAGGTGAAGCGATTCATGGTTGCAAGGAAACGCTCGGATATGCACCAGAATAACTACCGACCCCGCGATGATCTATACACTTTAGCAGAACTCCTGCGCTCTTCACCTCGCGTGCAAGAACAGGACATACCGGTATACCGTCGTTTGATCCTTTAAATCCGTTTATAAACACGGTGTCCAAAAAACTGTAAAACATTACCACATTCTATAATAGTAAAACTATTTCCTTCTAAATATTATAAAAAAATATTAAGTTTCGATATCGCACACTGTCGAACATATTTACAACATTTAAAAAATGGAGATCGTCTTGCATTTAATTAGTGTTTAGAATATAGCTATTTAATCTAACTTTAGTAACAGTAGCATAAATATTTACATTTATTTTAACTATGGCCTAGAAACAAATACCTGTTTTAATTAAAATATATATACATATATATTTTAATTTTATTACAATCTACAAATCTTTACTGTTTCTACCTCGGTTGACCGCATATCTTTTAAATTTAAAACATATTAATTTTATTTTTGTTAGGAGAAAAAAAATCTTGAGAATTTCAAATATGTATTGCATAGTGATGTAAAACTTCACATTTTATAGCGAATTATGTATAAAATATATAAATTGCTGTATTAAACTAGCATTATATTATAATTAATGTTTTATTTTATCTGATACCTTTCCTGACTAAAATACACTTATTTTGATCTTCTACTTTTCTGTCCATTACTATTAGCCTCGGTTACAGTAGCCTTTCCCAATGTGGGCGATAACGCCCCTTGTGGCTGATATAGGCCAAAAGGGGGGATGTAGGAGATCTAGATGAAAATAGGGGTGATTTGTAATTTCATATAGCAATGATAAGTTATAGGGATTTTTACTAGATTTTAAAATGGGGGCTCGAAACAAATATTGATTCTCAAGTAGACAGCTCATAGCAATAGACAGGCAAATGAAAGAGATTAAAAATATTTCAATGAACCTTTTTGATATAAAAACGCTTCTTCTATTTGACAAAACAAATCATTGTGTAGTCTACTTGTGAAAAATATTTAGTTTTCAAACATTCCTTCTTTATCTTTAATTAATTATATTTGTGAAATCCTTAGAACAATCGCGACGAAGGCAATAACAGGGGAAACGAAATTTATTCTTCGGCTACATGTTTGGTGAATTTTTGCCACCCTTTGAAGCCCAAATGAAGCCATTTTATTTTAAGTGTAATATTAAGAAGATTTTCATGTCATTTATAAAAATCATCACTACCATCCCACACTGATAATAATACTTACCTATATTTGAACAAATATTAAGAAGATTGAGGCATCTACATTCTAAAAATATACATTCAAAGAGTCTTTGCTGTAACAAAGCCTGCCTACATATTGTTGTATAATATTTCAACCATTGTGTAAGCCTTGGCAACAACATTCCCCTTTTTTATATACGTTTACATTGGTGGTACTTTCTACATAGTTTCACAAATTTCGTATAACTATAAATCGACAATTTTATCGTCCCTTACTTAATTGACGTGATAAGAACATGTTTTTAGAATGTTGTATTAGGTACATCTATTATCAAAATATCGATTTTATTATCAATTACATTCATACCTTCCAAACTATTCGGCCAAATCAGGACTGTTGGATTCATTAGATAGATCTTGTAGTAAATAAATGTTTGTCAGATTTGTATGAACGTAATATATCTCTTTGGACTAATTTAATGAATAGCAATATCTATCTAATACATTCTAGTATTTTCTACTAAATTTATTCGCCGTGGAAATTACTGACGTATTTAGTCGTGGTGTTTAATATGCTTATCCCAAATTAAATAGCGTAATCGAGTAAGGACGCCAACAAATTACAACTAACATAAAAAATCCTGGCTGGCTATAAAATTGTTATGAATTCTTTTTCTGTCAACTAGCATGGTAAAAAAAATATTATATGATTATTTTCTTTATAACCTTTTACGATTCGTAACCTTTTTCTGAAAATAAAACTCAGTGTCAGTTTCATAATTCGTTATAAATTTTATACTGACATTAATCTTAAGTAAATTTTTAAGCTACATGCTGTAAGATAAATTAAATATTCTTAAGATAATATGGAAAATGATCCCGACCCTATATTAAGTAGAACATCGGAAAACATTTCACTACAAAGCAATATCGTATCTGAAAACAGTTCTGAAGATGTCGAAAACACGAAAAGGAATACGTATGACCAAATTTCTTCTTTGTTTCTATATTCTAAAATGTTTTTAACTCGTTTAGGTAAAGATTTGTTTTTATCCTTTATGGACTATTTTTCGGAACGCGTTTTACCAAATCATATATTGGATTTGATAAACACTCAAAAACGCCTACGTCTAGAACGTGAAATAAATAGTTCTACGTACACAAGATGTAGCGTTATTCAACATGGAACTCATACGTCTGTATTCAGAAACGATGAAGCCATGCAAAGTTTTTAGTTACGAGAACAGAAATGACGGAATCTAAAAGTCAATTCAAAAATATTTAAGCCCTATCTTCTTTCCAGTAAAGATGACATCAGCTTACAATGTACATCCCAAAACCACACAAACACGAACGTGGATAGAGAACCAGTGTTTGTATTAGTGGACTCAAGATGTGTGAGCAGTCCCAGCTCCAGGGAAATTCTTATTAATAAAATAAATGTTACACAAGATTCGACCACCACGACTCCTAAAAATAAGGTCATACATGTCGATACTCCTTGCACGAGCACAGCATATGCGGAATATATAACGACCCAAAGTCGGACCTCCGAATCCAACGATGAATTGGAGATGATTGATATAAATTTACAAAGCGACAATGATATTCCCATTGATACAAAACCCGATTCGATCGTTATGGCATATTTACGAGATAAAAGCGAAGTTTTAGATAAAGATGAACCAACTTCGACAAAAAAAATGTCGCTACTCGATAACATACCCAAAATGGAAACAATACCGGAAACTGAGAGGCTTTCAACGTTTTCAATTCCATCAAATTCAAGACATGAAAGTAATACTGATAAGAATAAAGTTGATTGATGTAGTGATCAACTATTTATTATAATTTAAAAATTATCTTTTGAATTAAACAATTTTATAACGATAAGTATTTTATTATAAGTTCTTCAAAATAGAAAACAACTGAATGTATATTGATGATCATTAATAGATTAGCTTGGCCCAAAATTGAAGTAACGGATCAAAACAATTGTTCCTATCAAAATAGTGAAAAAAAGTCAACAGCGATAGTGCAATGTTTTCTTACTAAACTTCATATATTGAGGTATGGTCAAACAGCACCAACCCTTTATAGTTTGTCCGTAGATCTTTGTAATTCTATTTTAATTTGTGCCTCTACTAACTTATGCTTGTCATTCATGGGTAAACCTCTATTCAAAAAAAAAATTATACATTCATTGATCATAGAAAGTTACCACTATTATCGTAAAATCTTTTAATACAAGCGTTCTTTTCAATACAGGTATATCAGAAACTTCATTGGATGTACATATTCCTTCATATCCTGGGTCACCTCGATCTATTGGTTTCAACTCAGCTACTTCAATAGAATCTATAAGCCTGCGTAACCCACAATTGAGAGACGCGATTGAATTTCTGCATCAGGACAAAGAATTTCTTATAGCTGCTGAAACTGGTAATGATAAGCTCCTTGCAAAGTATATAAGGTAAATATTTGATGAACTCTTTTCAATCTAAAAACATCAACATTTTTATATTTTGAGTACTGATAATTTCTTTTATGTGTTTTAAGACAGGGAACTGACATACATCAATTCGATCACATCGGAAGAAGTGCTTTACACTTGGCAGTCTGTTCTGATAACACAGATGCTGTTAAATTGCTGCTGGAAGCTGGTCTGAATCCAAATATCAAAGATAATTTAGGGATGACTCCACTTTCGCTATCTTTGATGAGGAGGTATGTGTCGCAAGAAACTCATTTTCTTAACTAAGAATGACCTGTTCTTAATATTGTAATCGTATATACAAAATTCTGGAATGTTTCATTCTGCATGTAAAAGAAAATTTTGTGTTGCAACAAATAAAAGTTTGAACACCGTATCACTAGGTTTAACTGACCATTTATAATATCAATTGACGAGTATAAACAGGAAATTTTCCCGTCTTAGAATATACAAAATCTGTAATATTTTTTTTTATCTCTACATATACAACAAATGACAATCTGATCATAACAACAGTTTGAGCCTCGAATTAAAAAAAAAACCTGCTATAAACAGGTAGGTATGTGTAAAAATTACTAAGCAAAAGAATTTGTTTTCAAAATGCAAAAACCACATTTTATAAAAGATTTTTCAATCAAGAATATTTTTCCTTATTTAACTGATTTTATTGTACAAGTTCAATTAGATTGTCTATCATTTTCTGTATATCAATGGTAATTCAATTATTCGATAAATATTTAGTCCGCCGTAAAAAATATGTTATTTGAAAAATGCCAGTCTTTTCAGTTGTTTCAGAGTTTTGTTGTTATATTTTTAGCTAAATTATTTCAGTGTTCTTCTTGGATTCGTATGTTTAAGAATATATGTATTTGACATATCACAGGCCATCCACTGTTGTAGCTAATCTTCTTTTCGAGCACGGAGCAGTTTTGATGCCACGAACAGACCCGAATGACACCGGCTTGTTTATTCGTAATTATAAATACTTTTATTACGGACAATATATAAAAAACAAGGGTAACTAATAAATTATTAACTGCAATATTATGTAATTATTGATTTGTCATCTGTTCTAGAATTTGTTATGATGTGCACGCCTACATCTGAAGAAGAGCATATTCTACGACTCCTTGTAGAGAAAGGTGCTGTAATTAATGATCCAGATGCACCGGGCAAGCGACAAGCCCTCCATTTTGCGGCTATGAGCAATAACAGGAGCTTAATCCGCATTTTAGTTGGAATGGGTGCTGATTTGTATGTGAAAAATCATAGAGGGGAAACGCCAAAAGATGTAGCCGAAATATTTCATTGTAAAGAAGCATTTGACTTACTGAACTATCTCGAAGAAACCGAAGAAGTAGCAGTAACAGCTAATTCGAATACTTTACTCTTTGAAGTCCCGAAAACATAAGTCTATCCATTTTGTTTGTGACAATAAAAAAAAAATTAGGATAATGAAAATTATTATTTCTGGTATATAGGAAAATAATTTGAACTCCCGATAGGAACCAAAACATATACATATACTTATCCTAAACAGTATTAATGATTAATTATAATCAACTTTAACAAGAATTAGTAGGTAATCTTTAAATTTGAATGACTGAGTAGATATACTTATAGGCGGTGAATTTTAGTAGACATTTTTAAAAATACATTCGCCACTCGTTACTCAAATACCATCGTTGCTGAAACTAGCCTTTAGATTTCCGAAGAAGTTTTAAGGGCATTCCAACTCATGATGGATTCCTTCCAGATTTTCTACATACAAAAGACCCAAGTAGTTTTAATATACACAAATTTTCAATTGTCTTCTTAACTAATTTCTTATTTTTGATTTTAATTTTAGATACATAAGTACATGTGTTTTTGTTAGAAGTGTGTTAGAAGTATAATTACGTTAAAAGTTTAAAATATTTTATTGAAAGAAACTAAAAAACTTTAATTTAAGTTGGGCTAAAAGTGTGTACCTACTTACTCATTTGTAATAACGTTAATATATACTAATTTATAAAAGAGATAATATTCAATATAAGGAGAAAAATACAGCAAGTTTAACCCTTAATTTTATTTATATTTTATTAAAAAGTGTATATATAATTTCTCATTTTAATATTTATCTTAGAGAGATTTGTTTAAACACCAAAGTATATGAATAAGTAAAAAGAAACAAAATATAAGTATAGTATTTTTAATTGGTCGCTATTTTACAGCAAAATGTAATTTTTGGTTTTATTGTTTTCTAAATACGGTTACTATCAGCTCTCATGGACATCACTATACAGCGATGTGACATTTGTTCTTCAGTTTCAAAGATGGCGACCTTGTCGCAGTTGCTATTCTTTGCTAAACAATAACGAGAATTGATATAACCAACTATTTTTACCACTTTTCTCAGAAATTTGTGCAAAACATTAAATTAATATTAGTATCTTCATAGGAAAATTTATTTGATAATGTGATATTAAGTGAACCCATGGCTTCCAATGTGCAAGAGTCGCCTGTCGTTCAACAGACGTTTGTTGAAGAGATAGATTATAATGAAATTCAAGAATTACAGGTATTTACAGTAAATTCAACATTATAAAATATGGTATTAAATTTTTAAATTAAATTTACCTTTATCAGGTCGTAGGAAAAGGTGCATTTGGTGTAGTATGGAAGGGACTGTGGCGAAATACTTTTGTGGCTGTGAAACATATCAATTCAGAATCTGAAAAACGCGAGTTTGCCATCGAAGTTCGTCAGTTGTCTCGTGTTTCGCACCCCAACATCGTGAGATTATACGGAGCATGCACGCAAGGCGCCCACGTCTGTCTTGTCATGGAGTATGCGGAAGGCGGCTCATTGTACAACGTTCTCCACTGTCGACCAAAACCCAAATACTCCGCTGCCCATGCTATGAGTTGGGCACGACAGTGTGCTGAGGTATTCCTAATACTATATCCACAAGAATACTATCCATAATATTTATATGGCCTTAGTAATTCAACCTATTCCCTTTAATTCCAGGGTGTAGCTTATCTTCATGCAATGAAACCAAAACCACTGATACATAGGGATTTGAAACCACCAAATTTATTACTAGTTGCAGGAGGGCAGAAGCTTAAAATATGTGATTTTGGAACTGCTGCCGATAAAGCTACTTATATGACAAATAATAAAGGAAGTGCGGCATGGATGGCACCAGAGGTGATACAAATGTTTAGAATTAACTTGTTATGTATTAATTATAATAATAATATGACTCCTTACTGTATATTACCTTACAATAAAATGAAGAAAAATCAAAAAAACAGCATACAAAAGGTTACCTTGTCAATAAAAAACAATATAAGCCAGGCCACCCAAAATTATTACATTACTAATTGAATAAAAAGTATCTATAACTTTTTTAATACATTGCCACAGAAAAATATTATCATGTTAGCTATTTATTTATCAAAAAAAATTTCATATATTCTCAACTTTTCTTCATATTACAGGTATTTGAAGGTTCTTCCTACACGGAGAAGTGTGATGTGTTTTCGTGGGGTATAATATTATGGGAGGTGCTATCTAGAAGGAAACCGTTTGAGGAGGGAGGTTCAGCATTTAGAATAATGTGGGCTGTACACACAGGTTCTTATATATTTCATTTAACATATTATATGATTTTAATAAATATTTGAAATGCCAAGGAATTTAATGAATAACAGTGTTGTTATTTTTCCCTTATATATATTCAGTGCCGGCGTAAGAGGGACTGACACCCTGGGCAAGAATATTTTGGCTCCCACTTGAAGAAATCAAAATCGAGTATTAATTTTTTTCTGAACCAATGTGAACACTGAACATGTATTAAGAAATCTATAGTCCATCTACCATCTTCGCCCCATAATCGCCCCCCCAAATTTGGCGCCCTGGGCCGTCGCCCCATCGCGCCCCCCCTTACGCCGGCACTTTATATATTTTAGTCTTAATAAATTTGTTTTAAATTGCAAAGAATTTGAAAAATACTTTTAATTTGAAAAATATTTAATAAGAACAACATTTATATGGGAATATTATAGATAACATTATGAAACAAAACACTTTATGGATTAAATAAAATGCTTGCTTAGATAATGTTATAATTTACACATATATTGTGCAATTTGTACATGCCATAATTGAAAATCCTAATAGTCTACATTACATAAGTAATTTTACTGTTTTGTATGCTGTGTTTTTGAAAATATAAAAATATACCTAAAACTGATGCTATTCTCTCAAAATGTGTATTAATTTTATGAATCTGAATTATACCTATTAAATAACAATAATGCAGAAGAATATAAGACACCCTACAACTTATTACCATAGTAAATATTATAATTGAATTATTGTATTGTCAATATTTCAGGACAGAGACCAAATCTCATAGAAGGTTGTCCAGAACCCATAGAACAACTAATGACTCAGTGTTGGCACAAAATACCCGCAGAGAGACCCAGTATGGCCAAGGTATTATTAATTAATTAATATTTGAAAATAGGAAATTATATATATTTATTTATACATATGTGAGATAACTTAATATTATATGTAGGTGTATATATACAGGGTGACTGGTGAATTACTATCGATACTTGAGGACGTGATATTTGACGATCATATAAGACAAAATAAAAATTAATATAACATAAATATTAATAAACTTCTAAGTAAAGTTAACCAAAAGTTATGTAATTAATTACGCATCGTGTGAACACCCTACAGATTAGGTATACACACACTCACACATACGCGTTTGGCGGCGTAGTGTTGTATCAGTACGCCGCCGCACGCGTCCACACTTGGAACGTGTCAATACTTTATTTATTTATATGGAAATTTTGTCAAAAATTAAGTGCCTATTTTTTTTACATAATTCGAATGAGAATCATGTACCGAGTATTCTCCTTAAATATTGATAGTAATTCACCAGTCACCCTGTATATATAAGTTTATACTTTTTTTATTTGTACTGCGGTATTAAAAATAATTTTTTACTTTTTTATTGTGATTAAATAATAGAAATTTAAATTATTTTAAAATCATTATATGTACAATGGCACATTTTTTTTTTGTGGCTCAATATAGGAACATATTTTTATATTGCTTTGATAATGACATTAAAAAGTATAGATGTTTTTTAAATTATTTATTTATTAAAATTTTACATTGTTTGTGACAAGCTATATTGAAAACCTATCTATGGAATGTAATTTAAACTTGAGATAATACTAAAGTATATCTAAAAAGAAGTATTCAAGTATTCATTTGTAGAATTTGTTTTTATGAGCTTATAATGAAAATATATATTTAGAAGGGAAAAGTATTGGAATAGGATATTAGTCAATATAAGGGAAGATTAGTAGTACATTTCTCTAAGACTCTATATAACCACAGCAGTTGTCTTATTAAAGATGTTTAATGGAGTGCTAGTTTACCTGATAATGTTATGTAACCATGAATATTTCTTTTTAAATTAAAACTTAATGAAAAAGCAACTAAACATAATTTATTCATAGTTTTTTCAATATTCATAAATTATTTACTATAATAAATTACAGGTAGTGGAAATAATGAAGGCGTTGTGTGAGTTCTTTCCTGGTGCTGATACACCGATAAACTTTGACGATCTTGAAGAGGATGATGACAGTTTGGAAGATAAATATGTTATGTACGACACACAGGAGAGTTTTGATACGGACATGCAAAGTGATCAAAGCAATCCCTTACAATATACTGACGATACAGCATCCAATCAGGTATATAGAAACACTAACCAATCATCACCGAGACCACGGAGCTTTGTAGAAACTCAGGTCAACAAACTACAGAATCTAATGGCCGATGTTCAAAAGTCACCCAAAGAAGACGACACCCACAGAGTTAGAATACCACAACAGATCAAGAAATTGGATCAAAATGAGGCCGGCACCTCTATAACTATCAATAGGACTTCAAGCTCACCGATAAATACTGATAGGAATGCCACAAGCGAGGGAAGCACTCCTCAGGACATATTACGAGTGTACAGAAGCCCTAATATATTCAGTGAGAGTTCATCACCACGAGGCATATCACCAATAGTTAATTATAACATAGGGAATATGAACCCTAGGCATATAGACATAGAGCAGTATTGGAACAGGGAGAATGATAAGCTATCACCATCAAGAACACCATCGACTTTGAGTAACACAAATTCTATAAAGAAGGAAGACTATAATCAGAATTATTGTGATGGACTGAATGCAACTAATAGTCCAATGAATCCTATCAGTGAATTCAACGGTAACTCTCCAAGGATGACGTTAGATCCTAGATATCAGACTCCGCTGCAAATAGAAGTTGATCCAGTGAGTAGATTCAGGAATAATTAATAATAATAGTTTATCTACAATTTACATACATACATTTCAAAGAAGCTTTTAATATGTTATGTAAGACTTACTTGATATATACATATGAGTGTAGAGGTCACTAAGCAGAAAATATTGAAAAAAAAAATATTATAGTATAATTAAAAGTAAATTACCAAAAAAAAACATAATAAATAATGTTATGGTGTTTACAAAGAATTCCCTCCTGTCCAAGCTTATTCAAATGTAAAATTTATAAGAGTAGATATTTACAAATTACATTAGATATTTCGTTTAGTAAAACAAGAATGATTTTAAAATTATTTTTATGATAAATAACAATTCTTCATGACATCACTTCCTCTAATGAATGCTGCGTTTTGAAGCTGCCAGTTCCAAAAAGAAATTTAATGTATTTTAAATTCAGATATTCATGTATTACAGATTAAAGAACTAATTCAGCAAAGAAATTTGGAATAAAATTAGAATTCATCATTAGTACATATTGACAAAATTAAGCTTCAATACATATATTAAATTATAAAAAATATTAGTAGAAAATATATTCCTATACAAAGAATATGCCCCAATTTCCACATAGATTCAAATCATGCCGCAGTTAGAATCAAATTATTTGACATTCGGATTTTAAAATCGTAATCTATAAAATGTTTACATTAATAAACTTTCCATAGATTCAAAATGAAAATGCATTATAAAATCAGTGTTGTTACCGAATATCGATTATAATATTAGTATTGCTATTGATATATCGATAATAATTTTCTTGGTATAAGCTATAAAAATTATCGTTTTGCTGTATGTAATGTATTATTTTCCAGAACGCGTGGGATTTGAAAGATTTCCGCGAACCGCTGGACTATGATGGTTACATTGAAGTGAGGAACAACGCCGGCTTAGACAAGTTTATAGCTGTCGGTGAGTCATATATACATATATATTTATTTATATACATATATAATTATATAATATGCTTTATCTTGTATATTGTATATTATATCTATTTATATCATCATTAAGGCAAATTAGAAAAATAGGTCATAAGAATAATTATATAATCGATTCATAATCGATTTTTATAAATTTGGTTTATATCAAATTGTATTTTTTTTTTGTCTTATAAACAATGCTACTAAGAAGTTTATGGCACAATATTGCATGGTACTATAAAAATAGTATTGAAAGAACAAAAAATTTACATATAAGCTATACAAATGAAAAACATTAAAATATCGTATAAGATTATATGCCGATATTAAATTATTTTAAAGCCCTGCATTACTTACATAAAAAAAAAACATTTGGAATACAAAAAAGACAGAGAAAGGAAATATGTATAAGCAAATTAAATATAATACGAAAATGTTACCAGCCATATGCTATGCATGCATATTCCAATAACCATACGCCGTGCATGCCCCGAACTGTTCGTCCAATAATATGCCAGGCCATGATTCATACGGCCTGGGATTTATTTATTTTTATATATGTATATAAATATAAAGCTGGCGTCACACGACCCAACACGTATATACACAACGCTTTATTATTCGTTTACTTTAAAGATTTTTTTTGTATCTATTAAAATATTCGAATGGATTTTATATGTGGTAATAAACTCGAATCACATAAGTTACCTGTTGCACTAAAAATCAGGATGAAAAGTAGGTTTGACTAAATCTTCTTCTACCTGGCAATTTCCCAGATTTAGCCAGGGTCTGCCTTATATGTTGTGAATAGTTTGGGCTAATTGTTTTTACGACCGGCCGCCTGCCTGACATCAACCCTCTTTTGGGAATGCATTAATCAGTGATGTCTAAATACTCTTAGAAAGTACATATGACTCGGAAAAATCACATTGGTAATTGACAGGACCAGGATCGAACCCGCACCCTCATGCATGAGAGGCGGGCCCTTTTAACCACTAGGCCACCACTGACTCTTCTAAATATATATATAAATTCGTGAAATAAATAAAATCAGAATTCTTGTAGTAGTTTACGGATGAAACAAGTAACAAACAAACAAACATATACATGTGTATTAAATACATATATCTGTATATAGTAATGATTATAATAATGTCAAAGTTACCGAATTATACACTTTGATAACATCATTTGGCTCGCTAGCTGTCCTCACGTGACTTTAACTTTTGGCATTGTATTGTACATTTGTCTTATCTGTTTTATAATTGAATCATATTTGTTTTTGTCAGTATCCGTCTATTTCAGATCTGAAGGAATACTAAATACATATATACGCTAAAACAGAATATCATCTACTTAGTTTTAATTATTACATACATACGTATCAATTATTTTCAATAGTAAGAAATAATAAAAAATATTAAAACTTTTTTTAATAAAAAAAATATATAAACCGAATGTCAGACGATCTTAGTGTCGTACAAATAAAAAAAAATAAACGTCAAAATTTTCTGACAGACACTTTTTGTACATCTAAATATAAAACCTCCATACATTTTTCCCGCGTAATGAATGAACGAAAACATTATATGGTGAGTATAATCTGTGATATTTAGTGCTTATTATAAATGTATACTAGTTTATATTATACGTTGTAACCAGATGTGGCCTGTTCGTCCCGCGTGAGTCAGTTCGAGGGACGTTACTATTTTAGTTCTGTGTCCGCTTACCTTCTAGGAAACATATGGGACCAACGACCGATGTATTGTTAGATCGCGGTTACTAGTTTTAATACGACGTTCATCTTGCTTCCTTGTAGATGAAAAGGAATGATTCTGAAAAGGACTGTATTTTTTATTTATTCTAAAGAATGTATATGGAATTATATTTATTAATTTAAAATTGAAACAAAGTAATTCTAATATCGTCGTTAGTAAATGAAGCAATAGATTTTTATACCGTTACGCCTCATTCAAATTAATAGATGCGTTCAATTCTATATAATAGTGATGTTACTTAGTGCAATTTTTTTATCGATATTATTAATCATAATTAACGATTCGATACAAATTAATCGATTTATATCCAAAGCAAGTTTTCGTCGAAACAGCACCATTTCTTACAAGTGTAAGTGTAACATATTAATCACATGTTAATTCTAGTAACGCATCTATTGTTATATAAATGCGACACATTTGTCGTGTGTCAACACACACGCATAGTGCGTTCACGTATGAATCAGCTTATAACATTAATCTAATTTAAGGTTATCGGGGAGGTATTGGGCTGGTGCGACGACGCACAGTCTCGCCTCGCACGACAGGCGCATCGCATGCACTTTATGCATACGATACGTACATATATATAAACATGTTTGAATGTTCGTTATAATATACCGATGTTAGTCCACTGAGATGCCTAAAACAGACTGTTCAGTTAAAGTTTCAATAACAGTGCAACCCGAACGTAATAAGTTACAAGTGTTCCTTGACGTTTTCATGAGTGAGTATGCACTATGTAATGTAACGGTTATGAGTGAAATTTATTATGAAAAATGAACGCAATATTAACAAAAAAATCACGTGATTATTAGGAATAAATTTGATTTTAAAAAAGGAACGCAATCGCATCAAAAAATCACGGGATCATTTGGAATAAATTGAATTTAAAAAAGGAACGCAATCGCATCAAAATATCACGTGAGCATTAGGAATAAATTTAATTTAAAAAAGGAACGCAATCGCATCAAAATATCACCTGATCAGTAGGAATAAATTGAATTTAAAAAAGGAACGCGATCGCAACAAAATATCACGTGAGAATTAGAAATCAATTTAATTTAAAAAAGGAACGCAATCGCATCAAAATATCACGTGAGCATTAGGAATAAATTGAATTTAAAAAAGGAACGCAATCGCATCAAAATATCACGTGAGCATTAGGAATAAATTTAATTTAAAAAAGGAACGCGATCGCATCAAAAAATCACATGATTATTAGGAATAATTAAGTTTGAAAAAGGAACGCGATCGCATCATAAATGGATTGATTGGATCACGTGATCGTTTTTATAAAAAAAAATACAGTCGACAGTGAAATAGTAGGCTGTCAGATGTGATTGCCAAATGGTATGGGCTAGCGGCTATCTAGCGCCGATTGACGCTGTCGTTGATGAATCATTGCTAATTATTTCGTGATGCAGGGCCCAGTAGTACGTAGTAAACAATCGCCCGTCTCGGATCTAAGACGGTGTCACATATGGCAACACTTACTCGGCGGCCATCCAAATAACAGCAACTAAATTCGTGCTCAATGTTAAAATCTTTTGTTGTACCGGTGTACGTTCTCAAAACGTAACCTCTTTGATCCAGAAATAATCCGCTGTTTACATTCAAACTAACCGGCCCTTTGAATTTAAGTTTGTTTATCTATTGAAACGTCTGTTCTCTTTGGATCTTGTATTGTTGGAGCGCTAGTAGTAGTAGTTGTTAAAAAAATATATATCCACAGATTGTATGATGAATAAATGGGGAGAGATGAGACATTTTGCAGACGGCGCTTGATCTGAATCATTTAATATCGCCTTTATAGCTTCGATGGAGCGTTGGCACGGCCACATGACTAACCCGCTCCACATACAATCGAATTATGCGACATGTTTATTTCTATACCACAGTTTGACCAGAAAGTTAAACATCTGCTAATTTTTTTTTTAATGACACAACTAGGTCGGGGCTCGCGTCTGCGTCACCAACAGCCAACGTTTACGCATTATCTATACTCTCGAGATTAAAGATCGTCTGTTACGTAGAATTTACGTTAATAGTATATATAATTAATAAATAAAAAACTTAAATATATGTAATAATTATTTAATGACTCATTTTTTTATATCGACAACATATAGCCCTTTGTTGCCTTATTATGTCAGACATATAAATACATATTGTATAACTTTGTATGACCATTAAAATTATTACATCGCGTTATACACGTTACAATAAGTACATCAAATCTTATATGTCATGACGATAAATTATATTAATTACATATAACAAGATATGTACAAAGCATTAGTGTTTGAATCTTGCAGTAAATTATAGGTTCAATAATTAAATTTGGGTATAATATTATCAGAAAAAAGATATAAAAAATATGATCGATGTTACCATTCGAAAATGTATAATTTATTTATGTCGTTAAAACATTTTTAATTGCTTTTAAAATCGCAAGTTCTTTAGTTTATTTCGTAAAAAAAATCAAATCTTTTTATCTGACTTAAAGCCTAAAAAAGTAAAAATATGCGTATCTTTAATATGTACAGTTCGGAAATTCATAATTATAAAATAGCCTCAGTAATATAAATAAGTGGCGATTTTATAGATGAATTTTAAGTACTGTTTTTTTTTCATTATCCATTTGAAAAGTGACAAGAAATACATTTTAATTCCGTATCAAGAAATAAGGTTTGTTATATTTTAATACCATCGAGATGTATTACATAGTGTAAGGTTTTTACGTAAGCCATACATTTTGCCATTTTTTCATTCATAAACCTCACAGGTGATATGTACGTATATAAGTGAGTGACTAAAAACTGCCTGCGTTTAGTTTAGACATACAAACTCTTACTAAAAACAAGTAATGAATGGTTTTGAGAGTGGGATGAGGGCGAAATCGGAACTTTGTATGGCCTAGTTGTTTAAATTTTCTTTAAATTTTCAAAGGTCTTAATAATGTTAGGTATACTGGTCTACATATAAATATTTCTTCAGAAGAGTTTTTAAATTTAACGATCATTTAAGTATATAAATCTTTAAAAAATTCAAAATGTTATCTTAAAAAATTCAAAATGTGTATTAGGTACAATAGAAGAAAAAGTATACTAAATTATATTACAGATAATTTCCTTTATGACATTTGTATTGAAAAAAATCAACCACAAAATTGCAGTAAATTAGAACAAGGATTCCAACAGCAAGATTCCAAGCATTCCAACAACAAGAAATCCTATATTATTAAATATTTCGGTACTAATATATACGAATTACCTTAAAATTTTGGTTATTTAGTGTAACTCATTTCGTAAAGTACTATGTAGTTATATTACACAAAATACTCCAGTTTATAAAGTCAATTCCAAGAGGCAGGCTATAACAACAAGCATTGCTCATATATCAATAAAATTTATATAAAATAATTCCTTCTGAGAAGTTTATATATAGCACAAACTGTTTCCACAAACCAGCTAAGTTATAGATATATACATATATCTTACTGCTATAAAACAAGATTATATTTTATTACTTAAGCATATAAAAAAATATATTGTACTAACGTGTATTATTCCCATTGATGCTAAATAAATCAATGATGGTAACTTGAATTAAGATTAATACTATAGAAGACATACTATACTATTTGTCAAGACGAAGTGAAAAAATTGTTAAGGAAATTGGATTTCATGAGCCCTAAAGCCCTTTCTTATCAGCCCAACCACATTATGTCCCAATCCTCTTTGGGTCTTAATCAACAACATGTTCCTATGACGACAAATATCAACGCTGTAATTCAAATAATCCACAAATTTAAAGCCCATAACATAAATATATATATGTACGTAACAAAAACATTTAAAGTTTTGTCCGTCTGTCGTGAAGCTAGTTAGAAACTATAAAATTTTAATTGTAAAAGCAACAGGAAACTATACAAAAGCCATTGGCAGAGGTATAGTTGTGAAATAGCCGTCTGACTCATAAATGTATTTCAGAGGTGTTCCGAACAAACTGCACGCTTCTTTAAAACTTAATGTTTAATTATTGTTCTTGTTGATGAATCAATATGAACGTTATGTATCACGAGATAATAAAAATAATATGTACTTGAACACAATAGGATCTGGGTGACGTGTTACAGAAAACAATAAAAACTTCGTAACCATTATTAGAATTCATCTTCTCAAGATTTTGTTTTGTATAAACTCTAAAGGGTTATTATGTGTAAAAAAAATGTTGAATTTGATTTAACAACCGTAATTTCTATCAACAAGAAAAACTCTGCCGTTGTCTGGATAAAATCATTTATATACACTGGCTCAAATACTGGTTTTGCTGTAGAAGTTGGCACGGTATTGTAAACTGCCCTCTTTACAATAACCAATTTATATGGTATAAGTTACTTCACACTATACAATTTGCTGTGATCTTGAACAACGTTAATTAAATAATTAGTCAGAACATATTAATGGTAACTTTATAACAGACGCCTTTGTATTAGAAATAACATTTGGTGTACAGAACGTGTTTAGAAATGAAATACAAAAATAGCTTCACATTGTCCCATCGCTACGTTTTAGCATACTTTTATTATCCTTTTTCTTATATTTATAATTGTACACAAGGACGCCTAAATTTATTCGTCAGATATTTCCGGATCGCATGAAACTGTCTCGGGTGAATCAGACTTTTTTAAAAGTTGGAAACACGTAATTCCCTGTCAACCTCCCAGCGTGATAGCAGCATTAAAACTTTGGACATCTCGTTGATTTTTTGGCAGTCGTGTTTAAAGTAAATAAAGACAGCACTTCAATCTCTCCACCCTAATTATACCTGTCGCGTGAAAATATCAAGATTTCTTTTATTCTATTCTTAGCTGACACTCCGTACATTTCCACTATCAATGTAATGCGTCAACGCCTATATTAGTTAGGTGGACATTTACCTAGCCTTTAAGTCTTTAAATACCAGCTAATAGAAAAAAAGTTGTCACTCCACGGCCGGATCCCGAAAGATGTCAGAGACTGACGTCATCACGGTCTGGGCAGCGTCCCGACGCCAAATCGAAAACATATTAATGCCACCGATCAAAGAGATATTTGCTTCAGCTTTAGATTTACGACATTTTTCGATACATCGACATATAGCACACGGCCCTAGTCGACTTTTAGTTTCGGATGTATATAAAATTTATATATGGTAATAATGTTCAATTCGCGTTATCATAAAAAAACGATCTAAATGAATCATCATCTCCGTCTTACCCGAAATAATATTATAAATATAAATCATCACACACAATATTCATACTTGAATTTATTTGTATATTAAAAAGACACTAGCGTTGAGAGGCACGCTGAAAGTTAACAAGAAAATGAGTGCATTGATTTATTGCATATGTATAAATAACGACGCTATGCATCATGCGACTGTTAAGATGCTGCTGCTGCCAAAATAAATTTCATTGTCATCTTAAAAGCCTATTTAGATGTGTTTGTGACACCTGAACTATTTCATCACCTATGACGTTTCAATCTCTGTTGACGCTGGGAAGTTTTGCGTCTGAATACCTTATCTGTTCCAATAAATCAACACAAACAATGGACAAGGCATTATTCATAATTAATTTTGACCGAATAAAGGTAAATTGTCCTAATTTTCATCAAATAAAATTGTGGCAGGATATAATTCTCTTGATTATTCGGTAGCAATCGTTGGTCCAGCTGTAGTATATTTATTACTGCATTTAATGATCCAAAGTTGTCCAGAGTTTGTTTGTGTGATGTGTCTGATGAATTAGTCACGATGGACAAACGACTCTCCGGAGACGATCCATCAACAACTCATCGTCATCACTACACCAAGTTCCTGTCATCGGCAGTCGTTAATTATAACGCTTGCTAGAACATCTTATTTGTTGAGCTTACCTAAAATGAAGCTTCATTAAAAGACCATTATTTTAAGACATCACATCCAATTTTTATAATACGTTTTATACTACATGCGCGATAATTTAATTCCCGAATAATAGCTTTGCATTAGGCACCGTTTAGGACGGAGTAAGTTAAGCTTTCATTGTAATGAGCTATTAAAACCTTGCAGTTGGCACGATGTGTCGGCTGCATTTATATATTTGTATGGCGTTATACGTCATTAACAAATACATAAATTATGACTTTAATGTATCTTCATCAGTAAAACTCATCGGGTTACTGAAATTGGGAAACATCTCTTACTATTCTCAAGCGTGATGCTTTTTACACATTTACAGTCTCTATAAGCCCTGTAATTTCTCAAAAGCTTACCTATTATTTAACTCAAAGTGTTCAATATTTTCTAAATTAAATAATTAGTAAGCACTAGCTAAAACCTTGACTTTTGTAATTAATTAGAATTTTAGATCGGAAGTAAGTTGTTTTTGCGCACTGCACTTTTGGCCAGTGCATGCCGTAAGCATTCTATGAATAAGGGGGGCAGCCTGCGATGCTGCAATCATCTGAACTCTAAATTATTCGTACGTAATGGGCACGGGAACGTAACAAACGTGCCTCTGCGTCTTTCATCCGATACTATAATGTAGTGTTTGTTTTGCGCGTGACGAAAGACCTTGGGTGTCTATAAACGAAATATTATTATGAGATGTAGGAAAATCACAATATCTTTGAAGTCCGTGAGCGATAAATTATAAAGATCTGAATGATGAGTGTCGTGTTCACAACTGGATGTTGACGTGTATTAGTGCATTAGGTATACCGGCGGAGAACGGGGTCGTCGACCTCTCGACTGCCCTGCCAGCTCGAAGCAGAGAACCTCACGAAGGGCGGCTGTACACGGTGTCCGCATTTAGCTCCGTCGGTTGTGAGTCACAGTACCACGAATAGCGGTTTGTTTGTTGCACCGCCAGCCCGCCCCGGCTCTCCCTGTGTTATTTCCATCGTGCGATGCCAGTGCTGTTCGCTCGCTGGCAGCGAATGGACGCGTCATGCCCCCCCTCCCCGCGCCGCCCGTGTTCGACGCCCCCGCAGCCATCCTCAGCGTCAGGGACACGGTCAGCTGTAGTTGGATATTTTACAGTGAGTGTCCGTAAAGCTTCCGTGTCATCGCTATAAGCGGAAGTGTTGTCGCATCATCTCGCTGGTAGCATTTTACGTCACAGCGTCCTGACCCAGTTGATTTTTTTTTTCTCGTATCTCAGTTCGAAACTTCCAAATGAATCATCGGTATCGGTTGTGGTCCATGGTTGATAGAAATTAGTGAATAAAATTTTCATGTACCCTTGAATATTTATGCATGGTTTTTGTAACTGAAAAATCTACAAGTGTCTAAATACAAATAACATCTTGGCCTGTTATGGTATAATTTTAAATCTTTCATTGTCTTGGAGCTGGTAGTGTGCGCTGATGCCATCTATGTGTGGGAAACGAAAATGAACGAACGCCGAAATCTAGGTGAAACGTCTGACATCAGCAGCCCGGAGTAAATTTAACTTATGACGTATTAACCCTACCGTAGTAGCGCTGTGACTTATTCTATAGGAATCGGGACTATAAACATTAACATTTCTGTTTTATAACAATATATAGGGAGGTTATTACTTGCTTGACTAACTGTGAGAAAAAAATTATTATATTTTTTATATGAAAAACTAAATAATATCTATACTCGTTATAGACAGCTTATGCAAGGAAGTCTAAAATATTGCAATATCATAAACATTGCACATTCAATTTTATCTTTGATTCTTCATCAGATTCGTTTCCCAGATTCTATAACTCCAAACCCTACGCATAATCGTCAAATACATTAACCAAGTCGATTACAATTTTCAAAAATTAACTAATACTATTAATATTTTGCGCTTCGACGAAACCAGAAAACTCAATAAAACTACCTAAAACTAGCTCATAACTCCAAATCAAAGCTTCAATCGTAGTAGCCTTCCGTTGAATCCTTACAATATATCCATATTACGTGGTTTTTAGCCTTGAGATGAATTTTGCACCCATATTACGTCGTTTAATTGCTCTAATGAGTTTAATTATGATCAGGTAACAGCAGTGGGTCCAACGCGGAGGGCGCAGCCCCGCCGCCGTCTGAACCAGACCCCGATTTGGACTCTATGCACATGATGCTGGACCCGCACCTAAGACCAATATCACCAGACCTCACCAACGAAGAGTCCAAACGGATCTTCGACGAACATAAACATCTAGCACAGGAGTATCTCAAAGTAAGATGATTTTTAACAAAGGATATATCATGACCATTATATGTAGAGCTCTAAATTTATTTGTAATATAAGGACACGATAGATTAGAAAATTCTAGTTATGGTTAATAAACAACGGGTTCGATTCCTAAACATTTTTTTTTTCTTTTGTTTCCAAATGCAAATGTACGTAGATTTTATTATTGAAAATAGTGTTTCAAGTAAATGAATTTTCAATATAAATATTCTGATCATTATATTCTGAAGATTTGTGTCTAATAATAAGAATTATGTATTGTTTTGTACAAAGAACAGGCCGTGTGAAACATTTAGTCCACAAAAAGACTTACGTAAACAAACGCTTCGGGTCAAATGGACATAACCGACTATACCTACATACAAATCTATTTAAATACAATCTAAAACTATATCAGAACTTCATACGTCTCAATTTAATATATTTTTCGTAACCTTAGTCATAGATCAGGAAATAAATTGGAACGCGGCATTGTCGTTATAATCTATAATTGGCTGTTATTCAAATAGAGAACATTGTTATTATATCTGCATGAGTATTGAGTCACTATGACGTATGATAAATTACATTCGACTCAAAGATACAGATTATATAAAAATATAGTTATAAAAAACCACAGACTAAAAATAATAGTTTTTTACTTTTTTTTGCAGATACAAACTGAATTGGCCTACCTCAGCAAGCACAAGTCAGAACTGGAGGAACAAATGGATGGAGAGGAATTGAGACAGAAAAGAGAAATAATACAGTTAGAAAATGAGAAGGTAGGTTAATATTTAATGAAAATTGTTAGCAGAACATTCATATAGGAGCTAGCACTGATTTGATGTAGGGGTAGGTGGAACCATAGAATGTATGACTGTTCTTAATTAATTTAAATAACATATTATATTAAAATGAATTTGTTAATACAGTGACTGTTATTTAATGTAATTCGGCCAAAATAAAGAACCTTTACTCTTTAAAATCAATTGATGTTTTCTTGAACGAATCGGATAGTAAAAAACAGTGCCCTCAAGCCATAACACTTGCACGGGTTTCACAAAAATACAAATATTTCCTGCATTCAACAATATTCAATTGCACTCGTACATTGTGATTTTCTAAGGCAACATTAATTTAAAACAGAAATAAAGTTGCAATACTTCAAACTCGTACACACATTACCAAAAATTTTATAATATGTAGTATATATTTAACTATAGAAACCTAATACTAATAATGTGTATTCCCTGTTTCAGGATTCTTTAATAAAATTGTATTGCACGCTGAAGAAACAACTCACGCGCGCTGATAACGACAGCTGGCTCTTACCGGAGAACGCTCCGCACGAGTGACGTCATCAACACTCACACGCAGGGACCACACACACACACACACACACACACACACACATCCATACGTACAACACGCACACACGCAAAATATGACTTTGCACACACACATGTAGGCATTTTGTGTACATACGCTCTCAATGTGTGAATATACACATTTTTTTGGTTGTACTATGTAATAAATACGACGAATAGATTTTTATACATACATATTGAATGTTAATAAAATGTATCATGTAAATTATTATCTAATGACAATAACTAAAGGTTAGGTTGCAATATATATGTGTATAAAATTTTAAGTAGTGCCTGTGTGTAGTGCGATATTTGTTTAACAGACTCTTCGTGTCTCATCAAAACCTTGATCTCAAGTCGCCAAATGATCCTTCATCAGAATTACTCATATCTTCTGTTTTTTGTCCGAATTGACACAAAAATAATGCTTTATTTTTATGATAAGGAATGACTGTTGACGAATTTAATATATGTTTCTTAGTAGCTTTCATTTTTGTTTGTCACTAATATTAAATACAATTATTATTTGTTCTTGGTTCATTGTAATATGAATTGTGTTTTATATGCGGCACGTTTTAGTGCTAAATAATACACTCTCTGAGGGTATGCAGGTTTTATTTATATATTTATATGTATTTTTTTTTTGTAAAATCTCTACTTAATTATGTTGTGTATTAATAATCATTTTAATTTATATAAGATAGTTTTAGCAGTATTAAGTATTGTTAAGTTTAATAAATGATTTTGAAATATGTTTTTTTTTTATTACTATGTGGCCTTTCTCTAATGAAACAAGTGATTACCACGAACAGACTGATTTATTATTCTAGGTGGAGATAGATTCATTACTGTGGTTACACATTTACCAGCAGAGATGGCGCTACTAGTATTTAAATGTGAAGCTTTCTTGTAATTAAAGATAAAAACTACTAGTAGGTATTTATTTTACAATATAATGGATAACAATACATAATACATTAACAGGGTTTGTTCATATTTGTGCCAAATTATCTAAAAAGTTGAAAAAAAATTGCAACCCCGTACCTTATTTTGAACATTAAGAAATCGATGGTGGTAGGAGATAAAATAACAAGACCGACTGACAGACACATCTCGTCTGCCCGTGATCACGGTTGCTATAAACTGTAAAGTATCCGAAACTTCGGTTGTATGTAGTTTATAGTCAAATAAAAAATCGCGTAGTAAATCCGAAAATATAAGTTTCATTTAAATGAGTATTAGTGTACTTGGTTCTCTTTTGAAAAAATAAAATTTAACTACTTTAATATTCGCTTGCTTTAAATTTTAAAAAGACCATAATAATGTGAAAGATCACTAAGTTACTTAAAAATATGACAACGATTATTTGGTAAGTTTGAAGCGGTAAGTAACACAGATAATAAATAGCGCGGCTTGTCGCGGGGTAATACTTCATGGAGAAAATAATGGAATACCTATGGATATTTCTGAACGGAACAAACATAACCAAAAAAAAATATCTATGGATATGTTTTGAGAAAAGAGGTCTAACGTACAGTAAACCTAAAGATGCACTTAGGTGCTATAGTCATATAATGAATAATAAAGTTTATTTGAAATTCACTAACAGTTATATTTGGAGCAAAAATATCTTGACCAGATTATTTTACGGATCTGTTGACGCTTAAGAAATAGCGTAAAAAATAACAAGCATCAAATTTTGAATAGGTTTAGAAACTAATTGTTTTTTTGTACTGAGTCGAGAAGACTAGAAAATATGAATGAAGCCAAAAGAAGACCAGTAACCAGATGCACCCCTTTCGATGTATTTGGTTATTTAACTCATATATTTCCAGATATTAGTGAAAATTATATAAAATATAACGTAGAAAATGTTGCAGGGTTGATTATATATTTAAGAAATTCACTTGTATTTATAGTATGTATTATGGCACACTCTAAAAAATGCGAAGTTAGTTAAATTGTTTATTTTTGTAAGAGTTTTTAATCAGTTAGATAGTTATGTTTTATGATTTTAATTTTGTTTTAGTTTTAGAAAAATGATATTCATAAATATTTAACAATAAAAATTGTTAAAATCTAAAAGAACAGGTAGCACTCTTTTGCGTATGTGCCGTCATTATGCATATTCCATTCAAATTTATTCGCGCCAATTCTCTCACAGCATGTTTTTAATTTTTATAAACACGTGGCACGCCTGATAAGCTGGCGTGATTGTGTGATGAAAGCAAAAATATATTTTTTATAACTTTTTAATGTGTCATTAAAAACAATGGTTGTTGGTGTATTGTATCATTATGTAAAAATATTGCTACATCTAATCCAAATAAAAAAAAAAAAAAAAAGTTCCATCACATAAGTTAAAACAAAAAATGTGTTTGGATAAATCTACGAAGAAAAGTGATTATTCTTTATCAAGTCGACGTTATTGTTGTGAAGATCATTTTAATGTATTATTTGAAGTGGAAAATGAAAGGTCGTAACAAACGGTAAGAAATAATATTTTGCCACACAAATACATTGAAAAATTAAAACTTACAAGTGCAGATGTCTCTCCATTGAAATCAGATCACCAAAGTTCTGAGAAATCCAGCTTCAATTGTAAGGATGACATGATAGGTTAAAATTCAAGCAATAATATCGATAATATGGATCTGGAATATTTGGATACTGTCCATTCTTCTGCATTTTAAGATTTATAACCAGTGCATCTAGTACCACTCAGAATTATGATAATATAGAGTATAATATGATCATAAGAGTCGGAAGTTTCTAACGAATTTGTGTCCGTGTTTTTATTGAATTATTTTATTTATTGTGATTACTGTTATAAAATATATGTATAAATTGAATCATGGATGTACATTTTAAGCCTGTAATAAATAAGTTTGCCCGGAAACGACAGAGAAACTCAGAAAAATGGAAACAAAACTTGGCAAAGAAACTCAAGTAAAATGTATAGGGCTGTCACGTCACGACTAAGACAAAGTGTATTCTATGTTTTTTAGCCCTAACAAAAGATGAGTGTTATAAAGTTGACCGCTATACTATGTGTATATGTGTGAATGGATTTTCACGCGGTTCTTTTAATATTCCTGAACAAAATCTGAAAAAAAGTTACACAGTTTTAAATTATAATTGTCAGCTTTTTTTAAAAGACGCGACAGGATTATAGCTTCTCTTTATTGGGTGAAGGATTTTTAAAATTTTAATATATTCTGATTGTTTCTGGTTATGGTTTTGGTTTTATGTTCTGAGCATGATTTATATAATTTTTTTCTAGTTATTCTGCAAAATCAGTACCTGAAAGAGTCTGCATGCATAACACAAAATCGCTTAAATGTGCTACTTGTGCTGTGTTGTTGTGCATGCCGTGTAGTTTCATTATCACCACTTGATTTATACAAATAGAATCCTTAAAACAAATTTATAACATTTTTTTAATATCCTTTTTGACAACCCTGAACGAGTAAATTTTTTTGGTAAGTTTTATAAACGGCAATCTCGACATAATTTGGTATCAAATACGGCATTCTCAGATGTTTGGTTTCAAATCCGACATTCTGCAAAATTCTTTTCTAAATTTCTTCAAATTGTTATTTTTATAGTACACAATGAGAGTTTAATATTAAGCGCACTGCGCATCAATACTTATATTACTTAAAATAAAGTTACGTAATATTATTTTTGAATCGGACGACACAAACCGAAAATGTTCAATTCTCTGATTTCAGTCTAAGTGTAGATTGCCGCCTTTGATTCTATACGACTCTGACTAGATGTTAATTATTAACATCTATGCTAATTATTCTTATCAGTTTATAAAAAACTATTAATGTTATTTTCAGCAAATTTTGGTCTTAATAACATAATATAAGTAAACTCATTGTAAATAAAAACCAACGACATTTTTTCAATATTTTATCATTCGTCGTTCATCATGAATTCAAATAACGCGCCAATAAAATTCACAATGAGGTCAGTCCAATCACGTCACGTTTTACATCACCTGATCATATTGGACCACTTTCATTTATATATTTAAAAATTTTGGAACAATGAATTTAAATCTTATTTAAGTATTTTATGTGTAAGAAAGAATTTCTTACCAGAACTTTATTTGCAAAATCATTTTCATTCAAAAACGCAATTCTTTAACATCTTTATAAAAATATAATTTAAACGTATATACTAGTAAAGTTAACAAAACTTTCTTAACTAACAAAATGCAATTAAGTTAACAAAAATATAGCAAAATCAAAAGAGAGTTCATTGGATGGTTCAATTGCTTATAACAAGTAAAAGAAAAACTACGTTTCTTTCGTACAACATCATTCTTAATATTTTTTCAAATAGGCAATACATAACACGTCAAAAGTTAAGCGGAGTGACAGTCTATCGCGATTTTGACTTATCAATTATTTACAAAATACATACTTTACAACAAATAATAAAACTCCATTGTTGATTTTGAACTGAAAAACCTTGAATGTTTTATTAATTGTTAGCTGGATGTGGTACCTAGTCAAATAGATCAAAAATCGTAATTTTGTATACGAGCTGCACGGCCATGAATAAAGATAGTTATTGAGCTGAATTAATACGAGCTTTCTAATATTAAATTGGCAACAATATTTTGGCGATCTTTAACAGTAAGTACCAGACAAAATCGCATATATGGTAAACGAAGTATACGGAAGTTGACTATAGAAGCAACTATTACGTTCAAATTAAACTTGTAAGACTTTTTTGCGAGAGATTTCTTCATATTAAGTAGAAAATAATTATATAAGATATTGTTATAATTATTACGACAATTATTAACATATGTTTCTTTCTATAAATGTAAAATATACTATTTTTTATAAGACATTTTACAGATACTTTGTTTTTTTTTTTCCTTTAAGGATAAAAATGGAAAATTATATGCAAATGAAAATGATGGCGAATAAAGAACTGGGTAAGGAGGTCTTGCCACATATATTAAAACGTCAGAGCTCAGCCAACGATAATGTGAAAAAATTTTCACCAGAAAAAAAAGTTTGCTTGGAACAAAAGACTGAAAGTGGTGGGAAACCATCCTCGAATGATAACCATTTCGATGACAACTCTGTAGAGGCAACAGAACCATATAACATACCTAAGAAAGTGAAAAGAAAGGATTTTGTACCATCAAAGGAAATACAAATCGAAAATATTCCCATATTTACATCACCCGACTCATCACCGATGAAAGTGTCCGTGGTGTCAACTAAGATGACCCCAATCAAACATACCAAGCAAATATCTATAATAAAGAGGAATCTTTACATTGAGTAAGGAAAAAATTCCATACAATGCTATATACAAAAAATATCCTTAAGATAATTGCATTTTTCTCTTTATATATTTTTATTATAAAGAATAATTGTTTTAAAGAACAGTTCCAAATAAAACTTGAATCTTATGTAGCATTTAGGTTTTAGTAAAAAATTTAGTTCTAGGTCTTTGTAAATATTATTTTTATTTCTTAAGTAAACTGTAACAATTTTTAAGGTGTTATATAACATTTTGAATTGATCCAATAACTTGCCAGTGTTGTTACAATAGCATAATCAATATTGATGTAGTAGTTTTGAAATTTTCAATATTAGAAACTTCAATGTATGTTATGAACCTATTAAAAATATGAAGAGTAATAGTGAGCCTTAATTAGTATTTTATTTCCCCTCATTCCATTTCCCAGCTTTAGCCAAGGTTGTTTTTTGCGACCAGCCGCCTGCCTGACAACCCTCTTTGGAAATAAATTCCCCTCATTCATTATAAGGATAAATAAAACGATTTAAATCAGTCATAATATTTAATATCATATTAAGAAATCTCTGTCTATTGGAATGGTGAATGTGTTTAATAAAACAAATCTATTTGGCACCTTAAAAACATTGATCAAAATAAATTCCGAGATTCGTTTCTTAACAAATAAATGCTTTTAATATGTAAATATTGACATTATTTAATAAAAACATATTATATTTAAATATTTATATAGAAGCTGTAAATTACAACAGGAAATTTGAATCAACATAAATGTCACAATAACAGCTGTATATATATATCAGAATAATAACATTATGTACATTTGTGATAAATCATCTCAGCCAATATTTTGCATTAATAAATTACTTCTATAATCTATGTGTATTGATATGACAATAAAATCTAATAATAAATAAAGTTATGCCAAAAATTTAAACATAAATCACTCTATTGAAAAAAATAATAAATCTCCAGTAAATTCGTTAATACAGATAATATTAAGATACCTGTAGAGGAATTAAAACGAACATCATTGTTACACTGAGGTCGGGAAAATGTTAGGTATTATGACTTAGGAAATATTAAATGTGTAAAAATACATTTCTTAATCTATTATATAGAAGATAATTATTGATTTTTTTTATATAGAGATTTAAGGTAAAGAGAAGATATAAAACATAACCTCAGTGTTACATTAATAATCATAAAATCTATCTATGAATAACATTGCCCAGATATTTGTATACACAACGTGAGATTTTTAATATCAATATATATTATTATACATATAATTCACATACAAACACTGGGCAATTTTCGTTGTTATATATTTATCACTTCCAAACTTTTTACATATGAAAATAATAAAGTTCAAATCACATCACTATACTAAGATATGCACTAAAGGTGGCACTTCACTTGGCCTTTATTTGTTGTGTTCGGCCAAATAACACTATGTGTGGACGATTTATTTGTCTTCATTTGACATATTTGCACAAATAAGCGAAAACGCGTAAAGACGTGTTTTTGGCGTGCCAAGTGTGGATGTCTTATTTGCGCTATTTGGACAAATGCGGCGAATAAACAACGCCAAGTGAAGTGCCACCTTAAAATAATATTTAATTGGTTCTTACAGATTATACATTTGAGACATATTTAAGGCAACAGATTATTAATCACTGGTACTAGGATGAAACTAAGCTATAGCAAGAAATCTATAGATAATTGTGCATGAAGTATTAACGTGATAATTCAAATTTAACATTAATTTCAACATTTTATGTGATCTGTGGATTCCGTTCTTACTAAACGTTAACACTATTGTCAAATTACGACTATCTATTTTTTATAAGGACATTTCGAAACGAATGAAGAAATGAATGAAAAATATACAATATATACGGAATATTATTTTAGTCGTTGAATTAAATTACAGAGCTTATATTCTAAATAAAAATTTTGTTTATATAATTGGCCTACGTTATTTTATATCGCTTGGCAGATTGACAAAATGGCGTCCTACTGTCATCTAGAATTAACCTTTAGTTTTTTTATTAACAATTACAATTAAGGCAATCTCGAATATAGATCAAACTGTATATATAATTCTTAAGAGAAATTACTAATTGAACTTTCAATATTTTTGGAAAATATAAGGCGTAAAAAAATAATCAAAAAATGGAATAACGTTAATTCGGTACACCCGTAAATATAGCAATGAAATTTAATTAATGAAAGTATTTAAACAAATATACAACCAAATTATTAGAATCACTCTAAAATGAGTTTAATTTAACGAAATTTCATTAAATTAGCAATTTTTTTTTTTGACAGTTTAAATGCCGATAATAATCTCATTATGTCAAAACGGGGCTAGCATGTACTATGAACCAACAACTCAAACGGCTTATGTCTAAGTATATTTTAAATAGAAAAAAAAATCTATACATATCAGACATCCTATTTTGAGCAACATTATAATTACTTAAAGTATTGTCAATTATTCACAGGACAATGCCGATATCATCTATATAGATATAAAATATCAGAAATAGGAATATGAAAGTAAATCTTTTATATAACGACAGGGGAAGACAGTTATGGTCTATTGTTGTTGTTCCTGGAAAAGAAAAGATATGGATTAGAACAAAAACAACAAAATTATACACGTATTAGTATAACACTTGTATTATAATAGAAAATAAAATTTCATATTTTTGTGAACCAAAAGTCAAAGATTTTCCGATTACAATAACTTAGACATTCCTTAGTGAGTAAAGAAAATTTTAATTTAATTTATTATTAATTTTTGTAAAATATTGTGGGATTTTTGAATAAGTTTATTTATTAAGTAATTTTAGGTACATACTGATAACAATATTTTTTATTGTTTTAGAACGTTTAAACTTTTCAAGAACAAAAATTCCACGGATTAGTCCCGTTTAATATAATAATCTATACAAAATCTATGGAATGATATCTATAATTTTCGTGAGTACACATAATGAAACTGTGTTTTTATTGTTTACACAGATACGAAAATTATATACATTATTTATAGTTTAAAATCATAGTTTCATTTGAAATCTATGGAGTGTTATTGCTAATAAAATATTATTTCTATGAACAAAAGCCATGGAGTGTGCTTACTACATTGTTTACCATCTACTAGCTGGTACGCCTCGCCTGCCACTTGAAGTCGACCTGCATCAGCCACTGTTGGCCCCTCGATCTATCGCAACTCCTCAACACAGGTTTCCACACGTCCGCGGACTCCGGCTTGTCGAGACACATGCCTGTGTTAGTGTGCTTTATTGTACGACTCTGAAAATAAACATTTGATATAAACATATATACTGAAAATATATTACAAATACTATATATTTATATATATGCATACAATATACTTTGAAAACCAAACATATATAAGCTGAAAAATAATATAATATAATATACAGGGTGACTGGTGAATTACTATCGATATTTGAGGACGTGATATTTGACGATCATATATGACGAAATAAAAATTAATATAACATAAATATTAATAAACTTCTAAGTAAAGTTAACCAAAAGTTGTGTAATTAATTACGCATCGTATGAACACCCTACAGATTACTCTACACTACACACTCACACATACGCGCGCGGCGGCGTGTTGTTGTATCAGCACGCCGCCGCACGCGTCCACACTAGGAACACTTGGAACGTGTCAACACTTTATTTATTTATACGGAAATTTTGTCCAAAATTAAGTGCCTATTTTTTTTACATAATTCGAATGAGAATCATGTACCGAGTATGCTCCTTAAATATTGATAGTAATTCACCAGTCACCTTGTATATAAAAATGCAATTCGATATAATTTTAATTTTTGGAGTGAGTCTTCGTATGGTATTTTTGAGAAGGTTGCGTTAAATGTTTTACGCTCTTGGAGGAGGGTGAAAAGAGATATAGCGAGAGAGAATGTGTGGTTCTCGTACGCATGCGGGCAATCAATTGTAACTTGTGAGTAATGTTAGTAAAGTTAGTCTTAAAAAAACCCTAATAATTCCTAAAAAATCAATTTCTATCCCTTTCTGTTTTCATTCCAATATTACGGAGTTTCACTTCTTCAGCAAAAAGGGAGTCCACTCACATTTTTTTATTAGATTTTTAAATTCAAAAATTTGTGGTGTATATAATCTTTATATTAAAATTTGTCGATCAAGATAAAGTAATAAGTATAACATATTCACGTGTCAAACCGTATAATATAGTTTTTATTTCAATTATAGAGCGTGTCATTATATCGTTTCACACTACACGCTTTTTCTACCGTACAAATAATATTTGGAGAAAAAAATCACTAGTGTAAAATAAGTATTTAAATAAACATAATGATAACATACAGATATGGTTGATTGAGGAAAAAAAAAATAATATGAAGGAGAAAAAATTATGGATTAATTTTAAATTTAAGGATAACTGTGCATAGGCACATATAAGTGATTGGACATAGAAAAAAGAGAGACCAAAATAACGCATAGCGAATGTGAATCTTGTCACGGATAGTGGAAAGAAATATAAACAATTGTTTTAACATCACTCGCTGCGGAACCGATTGATTAAAATAGTTATATTCCGTATAGAGGATTTACGGATTTAGATTTTCATATCTTTATACATATATATAATTCTTCTGTGAGTGTGTATGTCACTGAACTTCTCTCAAACGACTGGACCGATTTTGATAATTTTTTTTGTGTGTGTTCAAGGGGATCTGGGAATGGTTTAGATTCACAATTTTGTCCGCTGGACAATGTTTCTTTAATTAATTTTTAATTTATTAGTATTTGTTGATACAAACGTTTTTTTTGACATTAGATTTCACAACTCACTAATATGTCAAACATTCTGTCGCACTTCAAAACACGGAGATTTATGGCTTTAATAGGTAAACTCCAAAAATATAAATAAAAAACGTAACAGATATTTCTTGATTATAGGGCGATACGAAGTTCGCCGGGTCTTCTAGTATATAAATGTATTTGTGTGTGTGTGTGTGTGTCTATATCTTTACATATAAAAAAATAGTCGCGTTAGTTACACTATATATAACGGAAAAAATTCTGTACGGGTTTGGCCGAAAATTGGTAGAGAGATAGCTTAGAACAAGGGAAAGAACAAAAATTATTGATAAAATTCAAAATCTTCTAATCTACTGTCTTTATGTAGAAATAGAATTCGTCTAATCAGTCACACACTTTAATCCTGAAACTAACGCAGACGACGTCGCGAGTCAAAACTAGTATATAAATACCTTAGTATCATATGTCCACTCTTGATTCCCCCTCATTCCGTGACATCGTATCAGCTTGATTGGTCCGCGAGGGTGAGCGGCGTCCAGACAATTATCATCTGACATGATCTGCTTGCGTTTAGTATACGCGAACACCTGACAAATAATATAGTAATGTCGTACAAATAACTTAAATACTTCATAATAATAGCATAACGTATATGGTTCTCTATATGTGTTAGCACTTGGCCTTAATAAAGTGGTTTCCACTTAAGTGTTAACTATAGAAATATATACTACACAACTTGTCGTATTCTCGAGAATTATTAAACTCTTTCATAATATTAATTCTATCTGACATTAAACAATATAAGACCAAATCCAATAAAATAGTTAATATACAATTTAAGGTTAAATAAGTACGAAATATTGAGGCAAAATTTTATAGTAAAGAAGTATAAATAATTCCTAATCCCATTAATGTGCAGCCTTTCCCAAAGTGGGCGATAATGCCTACTTGTAGGAGCTACAGACTTTAAGGTTTTAAGAGACCCAAAGTAAAGTCCTGTCGTTGTAAAAGAATTGGGAGTGATTTGTGATTCCTTTCAACGCTTTTTTAGTAGGTGAAAATTTCACAATATAGACAGTAGATAAAATAAGTTTGGGAATCCCTGCATTGGAGATACTCATCCCTACTAATATTATAAATGCGAAAGTAACTCTGTCTGTCTGTCTGTTATGCTTTCACGCCTAAACCACTGAACTGATTTTAATGAAATTTGGTACAGAGATAGAGTTGACCTTGAGAAAGAACATAGGATAGTTTTTATTAGACTTTTGAAAGGTTCTCTTGGAAACGCGGTATAACCGAACTCGACGCGAGCGAAGCTGCGGGCGAAAAGCTAGTAAAAAATAAATTATTCCCAAAGTGGGTAATCGATATAATAAGTTTGGGAACCTCTGCATTAGAGGATATTTATTGTTATAAGTTGAGATGTTATTAATTCCTACCTGGTTTCCTCCCATTCCGTGACAGTAGCCCATACCGAGCGGCTGACCAGCCTTCCCTCCCAGTGTATCCAGACAATTTGATGTTTCTGCGTTCCGTATCTAGAAACAAAATACATTTTATACATCTCAGTACTAAGTTAGGACATTCTTAACCAAAAAAATCACATAGATGATATCGAAAGAACTTCAACTTAAGTCTATACAGGGTGACTGGTGAATTACTATCGATACTTGAGGACGTGATATTTGACGATCATATATGACAAAATAAAAATTAATATAACATAAATATTAATAAACTTCTAAGTACAGTTAACCAAAAGTTATGTAATTAATTACGCATCGTGTGAACACCCTACAGATTAGGTATACACACACACACGCCTGCGGCGGCGTGGTGTTGTATCAGCACGCCACCGCACGCGTCCACACTTGGAACACTTGGAACGTGTCCACACTTTATTTATTTATACGGAAATTTGGTCAAAAATTAAGTACCTATTTTTTTTACATAATTCGAATGAGAATCATGTACCGAGTATTCTCCTTAAATATTCATAGTAATTCACCAGTCACCCTGTATATTGTGAGTTCATTTTAAATATTTCAAACTAGAACAAAAGGAAGTTATTTTTAAATATATTCCAACATCAACCAACCTCTCCCAAATAGTAATAATCCAAAGGCATTTGACTCTCCGGATAGATGTTTTCTAGATACCACCTGAAGCTTTTACACTTGAGACGCTCACGGAGCGCCTTCCTCTCGCTCACGTCGCCCACGGGCACGTTAAGAGCGCCTAGTTATACGATTAACTAAATTAATGATCACTTAAAAATATGAAGGGTAGTTCGACTTTTTTTTGAAACCAGTATGAGAATAAGGTCTCATTTAATTCATAAAAATATTAATGATAGCACTTAATGATATAGATAATATTATTATTATGTCATAATATTTTTATTGCGGCAGCATTTATGTCATACCAAGCTGTTCAAATGATTCGCAATGATACCAACAAAACATTAGCACACCTCTGTTAATATTGTTAATACATTTCATATTAAAAATACATATAATACGTATCGTGCATCGCACTGTTGTTACTGATAGATCAACAACAAAATCATCAGAAACAACAGTAGTGTTAATACCCAATAAGACGCCTGTTGTCATTCAATACAAATGGAGTCGTATTTCTAAACAAATAAAGTATACAATCCAATAGACAAGTTAAGCCTGCTTGAGTAGGTACCAGAAATATTTGCGAAGTTCTACTATAGAATGAGAACAGACGTCTTCAATACAAGCGCTATGAACCTGGGTTAATATTGTAGTAGAAATGTTTCCAGTCATCTAGCCAGACTTCTGCTAGCCGGGCGTTGTTGTGGTTGACGACGCGGCCGGTACCTCCGGGGAAGGAGTACGGCGTTGTCTTCCTGAACACGTGACCCACGTGCGAGCAAGGAGCTATCTCCAGGGTACCACCGCACATCCACACCTGCTTGGTTGGGACCAATATTTTGCGACCGATTTTATCATAGGACTCTATTTGGAGGCGATTTTTGGGTCTGAATATTTCGAAGCGAAGTTTGGGTCTGATTTTATGTTACGACTATATTGGCACAATTTTTTTCGTGATGGATTTTATCATAGGACTCTATTTGGAAGCGAAGTTTGGGTCTGAATATTTGGAAGCGAAGTTTGGGTCTGATTTTATGTTACGGCTATATTGGCACAATTTTTTTCGTGATGGATTTTATCATAGGACTCTATTTGGAAGCGAAGTTTGGGTCTGAATATTTGGAAGTGAAGTTTGGGTCCGATCTTATGTTACGGATATAATGGGACTATTTTTTTGTAATGGATTGTATATCATAGGACTCTATTTGGATTCTACATATGTTAAGACTATATTGGCACAAATTTTTTTGCGACCGATTTTTTCAAAGGACTGTATGTGGATGCTATATTTGATTTTATGTTACGGATATATTAGAAAAAAAATTTAGGGCTGTTTTCATCGCACAGCTACTTTAGAAAAAATAGTTGCTATTTGAGAAATAAATATTTGGTGGTTGACAACTATTTGCAATTGATTTTATTAGTCGCTGTTTGAGGCCAACGTTTTAATAAATGAACCAAATTAAGCAATTCACGGGCTTGGCGATTTTATTATTACGATATTCATAAACCAAAAATTGACCACGAATGGTAAAACTTCTATACGAAGGGACGATTTAGAGAAAAAAAATATATAAAAACGTACCAAATTTATCTTATAACTAAACATAATTGAATGTAACAGTTTTACTGTGATACACAAGAAATTTTTCCAACCGATAAAAATCCTATTAATTACTTTTGGGTAGCGAAATATGCTATCGCATACAAACAAACATACCACCTACCCTCATCTATATAACCGAAAATGTGTTAGTAAAAATGTATTAAAGTGCTATAACGATATATAAATAACACGTCATAATATTAAAGCATAATATTAATACGTTAATAACCCAATTTAAATATATAATTAGTCGTGATTATAAAATACGTAAAGACTATTTGGTTTTAACAGCTGTATAAATATATCAATTATATTATTGTGACATTGTGGAAATTTACTTTAAAATTAATATTCGTTAATTATTTATTAAAGGTTATTCATAATCTTGAAGATTATTTTTTTTTATTAAAAATCCCTTCTATTCCATATAATTATTGATTCTATTAAGCCATGAAATATTCCAAATGGCAGATATATATAGAAATTAAATTATCAGTGCATTATCATATTTCTAATTAAACGCTACGTTTAATTTTTTTTGGAATTAAACACGAGTTTTTAAAAAAACGCTCAAATTAAATATAGTGCGTTAAGTTATTATTAATATTATTAAAATTCTATGTAATAGGTCACGTGCTCAAGCACGCTCGCGTCATGACCTCAAAAACGCTCTAAAAACGCTCGTTTGTAAGGTACCTAAAATATTTACTCAGGTGTAAAGTTATTATTTCAAATTAGCAGGAACTTAAACGTTTTCAATATAATTCATGTCAATAATTACACAAATGTTAAAATACGTAATGATGATATTTGTAAATATCCCAAAATAAATACGACTTGCATTTGGAAAATTACCAAACATAAATTACGGAAACATTGTCAATATTGAAATTACTCGTGATTCATAAATATATCTGCCATTTGTTATCACAAAAAGTATTGCTGTGGGTAAAATTTATTATTATATTATCACAAAATACACTTCATTGCTTCTGCATTAAGAAGCTAAGGTATAAAGGAAACATAAAAAAATACAGCGAAATAAAACACACTTAGATAATAGAGTTATAAAAAAAATATAAAAGGAACTAAAAAAAAGATAAAAAGCACAAAGATCATGCAAAGGCGATACCCGCTTCCAAACGTGTATTTCAATTATGTTCTAAATTCAAATTACTTATTTTTTTTTTTTTATAAACTGTCAATTATATTTCAAATACACGTTCAGAAATCGGTTGAAATAGGAAGACGAATGCAGCCGCAACGGTTAATGTATATTAGGAGGTTATGTTAATGACGTCACACAACACGTGATCATGTTATCCCAAGCCACAACAAAACTTTATTAACGTGTACCGGCTGCTTGCTCACGGACTATCTATAATGATTCGTAAATTACAAACAAGATTACATTTGTACGATAAAATCTAATTCTCCGAAATCGTACAACCAATTAGGCGATAATATTGCCGACATTTAAAAGCAATTAAATATCTATTGATTTGTTATGAGACGAAACCTCTTAGCATTTAATGCGTTCATCGTTGTAGTGAGAGGAGCTTCAACAGTGACTGGGACTTGTGACCCAGGTGTAGGTTTAAGACCTTATCTAACGCGTTAAACGCTCACCTGCACTGTCCAAGCTCCTCTACCTAATATATGGAACAGCCTAGCCATAGCCGTAGAGCAAGCATCCGTGAATTCACACCTGGGTTCATGGCGTAATAGAATTCCCCCCATTCGTCCATCCACACTTCAGCGACTCTGGCCGCGTTCTTCAACACCACGGCCTGCACCCCCCCCGGGAAGGAGTAGGGGGACTTGTCCCTGAACACGTGACCCACGTGCGAGCACGGAACGATCTCCAGCACGCCGCCGCACTGCCATACCTTAGCCGCGGATTTTATGTTGGTAACACTGCTACATTTGTATCGACCATTTTTTTTTGCAAGGAAACTCTTTTTACGAGCCGTCCAACCGGAATTGGTGGGACATTTGTATGGACCATGGAAAACCAGCATAGCAATGTTGGCAATACGACTTTTTACATTGACGCTAACTCCATGATATTAAACCCAAGATAAGAATTTCTTTAATAACTAACTCGGAAGTATCAGTATGAAAAAAAAAGAAATTTTGGTAGTCAATACATCTAAATTCAAAGATAATAGGAGTAAATATGAAATGACGATTGTATAAGAATTCTAATGAATGGTCCAGCAAAACATGAATCAGTCTGATATTTTTGTAAGAAATGTCATGTTGAGTCCATCAAATATAAAACAAAGGTAACCAAAGATTATACGATACCCTGAAGCTCATCTCCAAGTTCTCCCCACCCCATATATCCATCCCTTCGTCATAGGATCCTATCTTGTAGAAGTATTCACGATCTATGGCGAATAGACCACCAGCCATAGTGGGTGTACGGAGAGGCGCGGTGCGGTCACCACCACGACGCTGCATCTCGCGTTCTGGGACACGATACCTATAAATAGAAATATAACACTTAATTAGCATAATAATGTATATATGTATGCAAAAAAACGTTTTACTATGGTCTTATATGCCAATAATCTGATTATAAGTTGTTAAAACTTATTAAAGCAATATCAATCCGTTCTAACTTCTGCCGTTCCTGAGCTTGAATGGAACGAACGAACATATATTTTCTATAAAAGAATTACATTTTGTATGTGTTTTTTTTATCTATAACAAAAGTGATTTTCATTTATATGTAATGTAAGAATAACGAGTAATATTGCGGTGTATAAGAAAACTATAGACAGAACGATTTTTTCATCCCTGAGCTAATTAATTTATTTAATTCTATTAAAAATGACCATATCATATATATATATATATATATATATATATATATATATATATATATATATATATATATATATATATATATATATATATATATATATATATATATATATATATATATATATATATATATATATATACATGTGTGTTTCTATACATCAAATACTCTTACATAGACTCTGTATTTCCGTATCAACTATCAAGAAGCCCTAATCGATATGTGATTTCCCAGAATTGTGTTATTTAAAACGAAACTATCAAGTTTCTCAATGACATTATAAAAACCCTTTTTACGAGTATTTAAAACTTTATTTTACTACATGTTTAGTAAATATGCAGTTTTTAATTAAGACTGTATGGCTGTTTCATAGCACACAAAATAATTAAATAGAGTCACAGTTAAAATATACAGAGTCTGCCCGTGATCACGGTTGCTGAAAAGTAGCCGAATCGTCAGGAGTATGTAATTTTTTGACAAAAATAAAGTCGCATAGTATAACCCGAAAAATAATAATTTCATTTAAATGTACAGTTCTTAAGGGCAAGTTTCTTTTATAAGTATTAAGGGTAAGAGTGAACTATACTTTGGCAATAATTTAATATTATATACAAAGATCGTATTTTATTTTTAGTTTAGTTAATTCTGGATATGTCATAACTTGCTTTAGGAAACACTTTTATAGCGTTGAATAAGTCTAGTCCAACTTTAAATAGAATAAAAAAAATACCGACTAAGTATGTATTATTCTTACGATATTAAGATTTTTCCCTTTACTTGTTATATAACATTATTGATTGTCACGTCATCGTTCTAAGTCAAATGCAAATAAATTAATTTAGATATTTTAAATAAATAAATGTACGTTTATTTGCAGATTATATGGTCTATATAGTTTGTATTTTAATTAATTAGTATGATTTTTACAGCTAAAGTAACCATAGACACGAGTGTATCTTTTAATTACGCCTCGACACTTTTAGCGTTCTCGTGACAAAGGTTCTTGACAGACAGCCAACAGTCAACTTGTAAGGCTTCCGTTTTTTAAGATACGGAACCATAAGAACATCTTGCATTAATTTGGCAAGAAAAATCAAGTAAAGAAATCGGCTTATGTATGACGAAAATATATACTACCCAAAAATCCAGACTCCACTTAGAGTAATGTACTAACATATGCTTAAAATTATTACCATACTTGAAATAGCGATCTAAGTCCAATATAAGGTATTTATCCCCTATTATTGTAACTGCATAATCAAAACTAATAAAGAAATTTGTTCTTCTCTAATTAGAAGTTAAAAAATACCATCTATATATCCCTACTAATATTATAAATGCGAAAGTAACTCTATTTACTCTCTCTGTCTGTCTGTCTGTTACGCTTTCACGCCTAAACCACTGAACTGATTTTAATGAAATTTGGTACAGAGATAGATTTGACTTTGAGAAAGAACATAGGATAGTTTTTATCCCAGAGTTTTGAAAGGTTCTCTTGGAAACGCGATATAACCGAACTCCACGCGGGCGAAGCTGCGGGCGGGAAGCTAGTAGGCTATGAAAATAATTCAAAATTAATTTCAACAAAACAATTTCAATCGATTATTGTTGTAACATCATTATAACATGTATAATCTCTGATTAATTCTATAGATATTATAAAAAACATAATTTTTATAATACATTATCGTGTTTTCTGAGAATTAACAAAGGACATCATTATTAAGATATATCATATTAATATTTTGGAGGCCGTCTATTTATATAACCGGGAAAACGACTTTGTAACATTTCTTCAAATGGACGTGGGAAATTAGTATTTGGCAAAATTTGTGTATAGCACGTAGAGGAATATGAAGTTATATAATATAGTAAATATTTTTATTAAAGAAATACTACATTACTTACTTCTGAATTTACTAAAAAATTATAAACATTTACAAATATATGTGTTCTGAAATTTAGTCTCCATTATTGTAAGCTTTCAGATATATGAATGCTGAAAGGGCATAGCCGGATAAGTATGGCTTTTTTGACCAACACTTAGGGGATCGATTTGGAATCAAATAAAAATAACTCAAAGTTCGAGATTTTTAGAAAAACCTGTTTTTTTAATATACTGAAATTCAGAGTTAATCTATGGTGATTTTTTTCTTATTCTTAGGAGTCTAAAACATAAGAAATCGTAAGATCATTGTTTTTCAACGAAAAGTCGTTTTTTATCGAAGGAAAGAAAATTAAAAACTTGTTTTTTTAAGGGTTTTTAAAATATGTCATTCATCAAAATTTTTCAGAACATGTATTTTACACCCCTCGATACTCTGGAATTATTTAAGATTTATTGAAGTGGTGGAATAATATCAAAAAAATTAAAAACTCATTTTTTTCTAAAATTCGTCGTTTTTACGCACTTTTACTTTTATTTCTATGCTTGAAAAAATACATGGAAAAATACTTTTTACAGAAAATATGTCTTTTCAAAAGATAAACATAATAAATCACGAACACAAAGTATGTAAAAAGGCTATAAATAATTCAAAACACATTTGGAGGTACATTTTATATTTTTCCAGACAAGCGGAAATAATTTTGAATTAGGTAAACGATGAAAAATCAGAAATACCTTGGTTAATCTAAAAAGTAAATGTATTTAGTTTGATCACACGAATTCGTGGTAAGGTCATTGACATCTTCTAAGTCATTAACAATATACAGGGTGACTGGTGAATTACTATCGATATTTGAGGACGTGATATTTGACGATCATATATGACAAAATAAAAATTAATATAATATAAATATTAATAAACTTCTAAGTAAAGTTAACCAAAAGTTATGTAATTAATTACGCATCGTGTGAACACCCTACAGATTAGGTATACACACACACTCACACATACGCGGCGGCGGCGTAGTGTTGTATCAGCACGCCGCCGCACGCGTTCACACGTGGAACACTTGGAACGTGTACACACTTTATTTATTTATACGGAAATTTGGTCAAAAATGAAGTACCTATTTTTTTTTACATAATTCGAATGAGAATCATGTACCGAGTATGCTCCTTAAAAATTGATAGTAATTCACCAGTCACCCTGTATAATAGATTAAAAAAAACACGATTTTATGAAAAACCCTAACTAAATACAGTAAAATATTTATTTAAAATTACATTAGTGATAAAAGTTATATATAAAATAAATTATGTATTTTAATGTAAAAGAGGGGGGAGGGGGTTGCCGGTTTTCATGGATTTGTGTTTTCTTGCTAACAACGAAAACTTTCTTCATATAACTAGATAGACATAGAAGTAACATGAAAAGATATTTTTCATAAAGCACTATTTGCTTCAAATAGTGCTCTAATATAAATATATTGAAAGAGTGATGTTTTTCTTTAACATACAACAAATTTGGTGACATACGAGTATAACACGAACTTGTTCTTGGATATCAGCCAAGTTTATCAGAAAATTTGGATGAAAATAATAGGACTCTAACTATCGGCTTTTAATAATAATGAAAGAAATTATACGAAACGAATTTACATCGAAATTTCTTTCCGAAATTTGTCACGAACAATTTAAACATTCTTTTGTAAAAAATATCTATAGTACAAGAGTATAAAGATTTTTTACATTTCTGCATTAAATATATAGAGTTTTGCTATAAAATGTTTATCGACCGACCTTATCGTGTCAAAGCACAATAAAAAATTAATTGGAACGCTCATCAAATTTAGCAAATCATTTCTGTTAGACAAATACACGTAAAATTTAAAACTATTTTGAAGACTATTAGAGAAATGAGATTTATATAATTGTATGTATAATATGTATTTAAATAGGTAATGTGGATGAACGCCTTAGTAGAATGTTCAAGCTACTCGGTCAAGGCTATGATGATAAGAGTTGGGTTTTATTTGGTAATCTGGAATTCCCCCCCCCCCAAAGAAAAGTAATAATACTCTCCCTAATATCTAAAAAATATATATTTTACACAATAAAGTGTTCTTTACACGTGTAAATAAATTTTTGTACGTGTGAAGTCAGTGGGGGCCTAGTGGTTAAGAGGCCCGCCTCTCGTTGCCGAGTGCGCGGGTTCAAACCTGGCAAGTACCAATGTGATTTTTCGGAATCATATATATTTTCTGAGAGTATTTAGACATCACTGACATACGGTGAAGGAAAAACATCGTGAGGAAACTTGGACTTATAGTTTCACAATTATAAGTTTGAAATCACCAACCCGTCTTGAGCAAGCGTGGTGATTAATGCTCAAACCTTCTCCATGTGAGAGAGAAGCCTTGCTAAGCAGTGGGCTTCTGATAGGCTGATGACACAACACGTGTGAACTCAGGTATACTTTCAAGCCGGGTAAATTGATAAAATTATGAATAAGTAATAGTAAAGTACGTAGTCACACTAAGTAACAATTATTCATTCATAAAACTTCGTTCTTATAGTATTATTGTTGCTTATAGGAAGAGAAACGAGAAACGCATCGTATGTAGTGCAGACACAAACTCGTGCTAAGCACCTGTATCAGTAAATTACCGTAACGACAGAAGTAATTATTTATTACAAATAAAATTGTTTGGGGTAAAGGGGTCATAATTAATTGGTTTAAAGATACATTTCGTTAGTCGTATTTTCGAATGTTGTTAACTAGAATATATCATATAGAGCAATCTAAGTTAAAAAAGGCGGGCGAAATCGCGACTAAAAACTATCCTAATATCAGTGAAACCGTTAGTAAGGAAAACGGACACATTAATAAAAAAATAAAATGACGTTAAAACTATAGGAGATTCAGTCAATGATATGTATGTAGGTATACATATACCTACAAGTATCTTCTTCTTCCTGGCATTTTCCCAGCTTTAGCCAGGGTCTGCCTTACATGTTGTGAATAGTTTTGGCTAATTGTTTTTACGACCGGCCGCCTGCCTTACATCAACCCTCTTTGGGAATGTAAACTTATAATTGTGAAATTATAAGTCCAGGTTTCTTCATGATGTTTTCCTTCACCGTCTATCAGTGATGTCTAAATACTCTCAGAAAGTACATATGACTCGGAAAAATCACATTGGTACTTGCCAGGATCGAACCCGCGCCCTCAAGGCGGGGCCCTTTAACCACTAGGCCACCACGGACTTAATACCTACAAATATATGATATATATTTGGTTATAATAAGCTACTCACGGAACCCACAATAATATGAACGGCACCGCTTTATCCGTTAATCGGCGAATTAAAATCACGACATGTCAAAACTAATCTATTAATGTAATATTTATCTGAACAACGCAAACACAGCACATCCACGATAATGTTATCAAAAACAAAAAATCACATTAAATCACTAAGTATTATAGTATAATCCGATAATATACGAAACGCTATTTTTCTTTTAATCATAACCGACATCATAATTAAATGATCGATTTAATAATTTAAACTGTGTTTTCTGAGAATAGATAATATTTATATGTTATTTTTTTATTCAGTTTTAAAAACCCAAAATATCTATCGCATAAAATGCATTCTATAACGATGGCCATAGTCCATTGTGAACAATAAAAACAAAAACTATATTTTAAAAATTATATTTTATAATAAATTGCATATTACAGCATTCAATATACAACGACTTAAAAAAATGTCTTAATATACAAAAGAGGTTTCCATAGGAAGAACTGTCATTTAAAAATATATTACGTCAAAAAAAAAATCAAACGTCAACTTGACATAAATGACAGGTAATAAAAAGTATGTATATAAAATACATTTCGCATACGAAGCAGTTTCATTTGTACCATACATAATAAACATGTAACAATGTACTCAGATTGATTCTTGTATTCAGCGTGACGAGAACAATAGAAGTACTAGCTACAACCGAAAACATCGATAACACTAGGCCTTGTATTCGCCACTTTAGAAATATAACGCGATTCTGTCAAATTAAATTGTAAGATATGACGTCATCACTTAACGTGTTAAATGTGTCAATAGTAATATTTGAATTAAATTAATTTATTTCTGTATTCTTAGAACGGTTATAAACATTTAATGTGTATTGTTTTACAAATAACTTTAAGATAGGATATACGATTTAAAGTAAATTTTACGTGTAGAATTACATAACTATCTAATAAATTGGCGCGAAAGCTTTGCAAATGGCGGACAATTTCGTCCAATATATGAAGTATGTTTGTTTGATTTAATTAAAATTGTAATTAAACATCCCCTATTTATTTGTTCAAAGCAAATTGAGTCTTATACTCACCATCTAAAGTTCAGTTTCCAGTTGAATCCGCCCCAGGTCATATCAGACGCCTGTATATATTCGAATGTCGTGTCCGATATAACATCTATAATAGGACACACCACCGTACTTCTGTCCTCTACGATCCTTGATAACAACGGTTCCAGCCATCCCTCTGCAAAAAATAATAATATTATACTAAAAAAATACTGAATCATCAAAATTAATGAACAAAGTCGCGTGTTAGAACTAGTCTAGGTTAATAGTAATTTATTAATACGTAACTCACCGGTACATTCACAGTGCGCATCCAAAAATGTTATGACATCCCCTTTAACGTGTTTGGCTCCTAATAATCTGGCTCGAATCAAACCCGACCGGCTCTCTGTACGGAACAACCGGGTAGAAACTGGCAAAGTCTTTATATAGTCCTCCAATTTCTTACCAAGATGTTCTAAAATCAAAAAAAATATCAAAAAAGTTTTTATATATATCAATATCAGGTAGGATTTAAATTTGACCCAATTATTCCAATGCCATACGAACTGGAAATCTAGTTGACTATTATGTAAAACTGGTTTTGGTGCAGACCAATTTATTAAACTACACGCAATATTCGACTTTATTTATATAAAAATGTATGACATTAAGTACCTTTTTCGCTGGCATCGTCGACGAGAATGATTTCCTTCAACAGCGGTCTGGGAGACCGATTGATTGTACTCCATATTGTCCTAAGTAGTGTAGTCCACGCTTCATTATGGAAAACTATAACTACACTCGTCGTCGGCAATAGTGTCGGATAGCGTTTGGCTTTACATCTATTACGAAAAAAAAAACATTATCCTGGCTGGCAAGAAAATAAATGAAATAGTAAAAAAAATAATTATAAACCAAAAAGTTTATATATCGCTAGTATTAAAAAAAAGAAGTTTGCAGTTGTTTTATAAATATATTATAAGTCATTATTACGATAAATTTTTGTTCGATTTTCAAAAGTTGATTTTTTTTTATAAAAAATACCTTGACCTTGACTGCCTTACTCATAAAGGTATCCGTTGATTAACTCACATTATTTACAACGGTTAATATTGAAGATACATTACGTGTTTTATGATTAGCGTTTATAAAACTCGAATCCGTGAATACAGTCACATGACCTCGGAGCAGACATTCTTATCATTGAAAGAATATGTGTTTAACTTGGATGATTACTTTGGTGCAAATGCAATGCTTGAAATGAGGAAAAGGCATTTCCAAGGAAATAATAATGATTCACATTCCCACTACCCCGTTATGTTAAATGATTTATTTACCTGGCAACATCAAATATGTTTTTAGAGTTACCTACTACATACATGTATTTTAATATAATTTTCTTTTTTAACAATTTTCATAAAAAATAATTAATGAGAACTCAGTAATGTTACCATAACTATTTAATATTTATTTAATTCTATCAAACACACCATTAAAATTACAATCAACTAAATGTGCACGCGACTTCATACGCGCCAAACTATTATTTTACTTATTTATATAAATAAAAATATATATATTTTAATAATACGTATGAATTTCACTTACTCGTCACTAAACCAATTTGTCAGTCAAAGTCAGTTCAAAATCGGATATTTAGGATTTTTGCACGAACAAGGACAGACAGGCAAAAGTATATAAAGCTTTCTATATATTCTATGTATATACATTTAATAAGCAACGGTTGTTTTCATTTTAACAGACGGACACACCAAGCTTATTTATTTGTATAGATGTGAAAGTTACTATGTCTGTCTAAAATTTTTACGGCTTTACCGTTGAACCTTTTCAAATAAAATTTAGTGTGGAGATAACTTTCAATGATGGAAGATAGCTATAATTACTATCTAAGTGAATACAAGTAAATTTTATGCGATCATAATTGCTAAGTTGATTGGCCATACATTATAATCAATACTAAAATATTAATAAAAATTACTATTATGGTGACCATTCATCTATATTTCAATAAAATTATAAATGTCCGTAGTTATGTACAAATTATGGAAATACTACTGGATGGATTTTAACAAAATATTCTAAAACTTATCTCATACACTCTGACCCTATATAAAAAGGTCGCGATCTCTTAATTTAATATAAAGTAAAAAACATATAAAAAATAAAAATTACTATAAGCACAACCTAATAAGTAATCAATATTTGATTTCATATAAAAAAGTTTTTAATACGAACAAAGACGCGGCAATTGGATAGTATACAATGTAATTACGCGAACGTCTTATTAAAGCTGCCTACAAACGAGACAGACATCGATAGATGTACGACGTCACATAAAAAACATTTACCGTAAGCCACGCTAGGAAATGCAACAAAAACTATGACTCATTAAAACGATCAAATCAAATAAATATAAAATTTTTAACATATTTATTTATAACCATAGAAAAATACAGGCCATAAAATATTATGGTCTATTTATTTTACGAGTTCTTAACGCTCAGTTAAATATGATTAAAACTAACGATTTCAGTTAACCATAAACAGATCATTTAACAACGAAACGCATTTTTATGATGAAATTAACCAGCAAATTGGTTGTGATAACATTTTTTCCCAATCACGTATTATTGGCCATTAGTTGATGTCAAATTACGCTTTCATTTACTAATACGTTAATTTTAATGTTCCTTTTTAATAAATATATATATTTATTAGACTAATTGATAGCAATAACTATACTTAAAATAACGAATTAATTGTTCATGATAAAAATATGGTAATAAATAATTATTTTAAACAATTTCGGTTTTTAATTGTATATTATGATTTATGAATTAAAATAGCAATTTTTAAATATATTAATCCATTTTTATATACTTTAACTGATGATAAATTATTATTTGACACTAAATTGTACATTTTAAATATTAATCTCATATTTTTAAAGTGTTATAATTTTAATTTATATGGAATATTAATGTTAATAATTATAAAATAACTTACTTTTCAAATCTAACATCAGTGAGTGATCTGTTCAGTGAGATCATATCACTCGCGAGCAAATTGAACTGATTCTCTTGGAACTTTTCCAACATAACTTTTTCTTGTTCAATCGGTATGTTAACCGCCTTACCTGAAAATTATATTGAATGTTAAAATGTTCTTACATTTACAATAACTTAAAAAATAATTACATATATATAAATTTTACAAATATTGATAGTTGTAACCAAAAAGTTTCATATTCAATTATCAACCAAATGCTAATACTGTACAGGAAAGTGAATTTCTAAATCTATATACAATAGACTATCAAATTAACAGCCTTTTAAACTAATGATGAGGGGAATACCTCATTCATTACAGATTAAATATATTTTAATATGTTTATATTAAATTTAGAATATCATAGATAATGAAAAAACATACCCATTTCACCGGGAGTTTCTTCTTGTGGTTTAACAAATGGTGCCGGGGCCCATCTCCTTAGCTGCGATTTTGGATAAGGCGGTAATAATAAGCCATCATCACCCATATCATGTTCCACTTCATTCTCTTCTAAATTTGCCTCATCAAAATCTTCATCTTTCTGTAAAGCTGCCGCTATGGCCGCCTTCTTTCCTTTGTACTCATCATTTGTCTAAAAAGGTTTCATATAATTTTTAAATATATTAAAAGAATATCAGATATGAAAATATTATAATATAATATTGCTTCTGCAATTTATTTAGGCGTAAATATAAAAGAAATGTTCTAAAATACAAATAACTTTCGTATTTACCTTTATCGTGTAGTCATTATTTAGATTTTTATTTTTATTGCAATCCCAACCATCACCAAAACAGTCTGAATACAGTGCTAACAAGGCAACATCAACTAATAACCACACTAATGATGTGAGTAAAATTATTCGACATGTGTGTATCCTTATTTTGCTTCTAAACATCGTAACTAGACAAAGTAGCGTCAAGTAAACTTTATTTTATTGCCACATGTCAGTCTAACACTAAACTACCTCTCTTTGACCTGCAAAAAAGTATGATTATAATATAAAAATAACTCTTCATTTTATTCAATATTTCCAAGAGCATCCCATTTCAAAATCCAAACAATGTTATTTACTGTATTTAAAATACTATTTTCTTAGTTTAAAACACTTAAACGGAAGTAGGTTCCCGGACTTTAGTTTGAATACATTAAAATTGACAGCACATAAAAGTATAACAAACACTATTAAAATATTTATAGTCTTAGAAACCCGGGTTAATAAACTTACGAGTGTATATAATATGTATTTTAATAATTAATCAGATTAAAAGGTAGCGGTCGACAATCTCCAAATGTATACGTACATATACTATAGCTCTGAACGTCAAACTTTCTAGTTTCCATCGAGACTGCCGTGTCCTCATTTGTTCGGATACATTTCCTAAAAATGTATTGTTTTATATTCGTCTATTTAAATTTATATATATATTAAAGTTATACATAAATATTTTTTTACAATTATGTAGGTTATAAAAAAAATATATAATATCGTTGTAACTAGTGATAAGTCAAACTTTATTAAATATTATACTTTGGTGATATACTACACACGTCAACAAATCAATGTCATATTATATCAGTGTCCTTAGTTGGTTGTAGATAAATACAATAAACATAATAATTGAAATCTATTTTTATTAGCTGCTGTCGGGCTATTTATATTGTTAAAACACGTATTATACAAGCCAATAAAAGTATTAGTCTATCTTAGTAAATAATATCCAAAGTAACACGATTGTCCAAATTAATAAGAATCTTAATGGATTTGAGGTTTTGTAATTAATGTTAATTGATAACTACATTTGTGATGAACAGGACAAAGAATAATAATGCTAAAATGGAAAGAAATACAGAGTCCCTAACTACAACTGAGATGAGTGTGGACGCGTATAGATTAATTACAAACGACGAAAAACCGCCCGATATTAAATATGGAAGAGAAAATTCATGGGTTGCCGGTGTTCAAATGTTTGTGTCCTTTTTGCTTGCTGGATTTGGAATGGTGGCTGCCAGTTTATTGCTCGATGTGGTGCAACATTGGCAGGTTTTTGAACAAGTATCAGAAGTGTATATTTTAGTTCCTGCACTGTTAGGCCTAAAGGGTAATTTGGAAATGACATTAGCATCACGGCTCTCAACACATTCACATTTGGGACATCTTGAAACAAGTTTAAAAGCTTTAATTGTTGGTAATTTATGCTTAATTCAATGCCAGGCTATACTGGTTGGGTTTTTAGCTGCAATGGCCGCGGTAGTGATGGGATGGATCCCAAAAGGAGAGTTTGATATACATCATGCTATGTTGTTATGTGCATCAAGTGTGTTAACTGCTTCCTTTGCAAGTTTTGGTCTGGGTTTAATTATGATTGGAGTAATTGTTGTTTCCAGAAAGATAAATGTAAATCCTGATAATATTGCAACACCAATCGCAGCTAGTCTTGGAGACTTGACAACATTGGCATTATTGTCTTGGATAGCGTCTTTGTTATATAGAACAATTGGCACGAGTGTTGTGTTACCATCTATAATTATTATTTCAGGCTTAATTTTAGTACCGTTATGTGGGTATATAGCTTATAATAATCAATTTACAAGACAAGCATTAGATGAAGGCTGGGTTCCTGTTGTGTCTGCTATGGTTATAAGCAGTGCTGGAGGTTTAATTTTGGATTATACTGTGTCTAATTATAAAGGTATAGCAGTATTTCAATTAGTGATAAATGGTATTGGAGGCAATATGGTTGCTGTTCATGCATCAAGGTTGTCGACATTACTACATACTGGGCAACCACCTGGTGCAGTACTTGGCAACACAACAAGACTACTGCTCGTAATGGTTGTGCCTGGACAGCTAATATTCATATACACAATAGGCTATCTCAAAGCAGGTCATACATCATTAACTCCTATATTCATCTTGATTTACATGACGGCAGCTATGTTGCAAGTTTTCTTACTATTATGTATTAGCCATTATTTGGTTGTCGGTATGTGGAGGTTGGGTTTAGATCCTGATAACTCTGCTATTCCATATTTAACTGCCCTCGGAGACTTACTCGGAACAGCACTACTCGGTATTGCTTTCCACATTTTATATGCCATAGGAGACAAAGATAGTGACTTAGGTGATTAAGTATATAAGTATTCATGAATTTATACAAACCCATATGAAGCTACTTTTAAAATTTTGTCATATGTTGTATTCTCTTTACAATTCATAAATATATTCTATTTAAGTTCACATATATAATATTGTATTAAATATTTAGCAATAGAACTGTTATGGTGCTAATATGTGTACTTGCATATCGTTAACAAATAAATTATATTTTAATAATATAGCCTGTAAACTGTACTTAAAATAAAATGGTCCAACATATTTTGTATATAATTACTGAAACTTTTTAAGCCGAATTTATTTGAAAATTTTGTAACTATCTCTTTAGAGCTGGTCCAGTAAGGGCGAATACGCCGCGATCCTCTCGTGCGTATCACGCGCGACCGTTTCGTCTAGAAAGAGTGTACCTACGTGCGAATATTTAGGGACAAATTTGCCCTGGATACAAGCACTCGCTCTGGAATTCGCGCGTTAGCTGAATGCAATAAGGCGTCTCTAGTATCTCGACTTTACAAGCGTGAAGCGAATCAGTCAAGTCTGGCATAGTGCACGCGATTTACGCGCGTATTTTGAATGACTTTGCCCGAAACTATTCGCGGCAAATTCACCATTTTTGGACCGGCTCTTGACAATAGTAATGTCATCTCGAATTTATAATTATGTTTTTCATTTTTAAGTCAAAATTTAAGTCTCAAATATGACGAATATTATGTTTACTATTTATTTAAAATATCTGTAGATATAACTATTAAAGTGAAAATGCACAAAAGTGGAATAAAAATCTTATATTTAAAATGAAACAGATGTTAAAGTTTTTGTTATTTATTCCCTTATCCTATTCATTTAACTTCACGCAACCTTCTGACTGCTGAACGGCAGGAGGAGGCGGCTGTGGTTGAGAAAACCCAGGCACCGCCAGCGACGGTCCTCTTACAACGCTTGCATGACCAGATACCGACGCAGCTGCGTTTCATGGCATCCTGAAACATTTTATTTGGTATTTAATATAAGGAAATATCTTTACTATTATTATAAATGTGAAAGTAACTGTCTGTCTGTTACGCTTTCACGCCTAAACCACTGAACTGATTTTAATGAAATTTTGTACAGACAGAGTTGAGATAGAACAGGATAATTTTTATCCCAGAATTTTGAAAGGTTCTCTTGGAAACGCGATATAACCGAATTCCACGCGGGCGAAGCTGCGGGCGGAAAGCTAGTAATATATATTCCAGCTTTAGACAGATGAGTGATAGAATATTTTGTACCAATAAAGATTAGTGTTTTTATATACATTGTTTTCATGAGTATATGTCAGGGGGTTTTATAATGACATCTAAAATTAATGGAGTACAGAATGTTCAAGTCGTACATATTGTAAATCATAATAAAGCATCTACTTTTCTCACAGGGTCACAAGTTTAGTCCATTTTATACCACCTCATCTTTTAACAGATGTAATAGCCCGCAATTAATGTATATTTACATTTTGTATATCAATTCTGTTCCGACTAAAATGAACAAAAATATAAGTAACTGTCCATTTCATTTGAAAAAACTTAAGAACAAATGTAAAAACAGAATCTTGTAGGGAGTATAATCTAGTCATATTGTAAGACTTTAATATTAACGAAAACTAACCTTTCCGCAAAAAGAGCAAGTGTACTTGGCGTGTTGTGTCACTTCCATCTTTTTGACCATTTTACGAAGTGAAGCACCGTAACGTGTGCCATATTTACCAGTGATTCCAACCTTTTTCGTACGCTTAGCCTGAAAACAACGGAACAGCCTATGAAATACGAAAACATAACACTACTAAGAAAACTTATATAGCACTAAAATAATTTTCACTTTCAATTCCTCGTGTTAAAAGCACTTAAACAAAGATAACAAAATAAAATTATGTATGAGGATTGCTGAAATAATTTACAATTTAATTCTCACCATTGTAAAATAACCTGCCTAACAGAAAAGTTGACAGAAAAAGAGAATGTTTGACAATCGGCTGCCAAAGAATTGACAAAACGTCAAAACGCCAAAGGTTGTCTTTGGTTTACATTTCAATTTACGCATGTATAGACAAGAACAGTTTATTTTGAGTTTTAAACTTTTGTTTTTAAGAAAATCCAGTTTTTTAATAACTTTTATTTTTTAAATTGTGGTTCTTCTTAAATTCTTTGTGTTTGCATAAAATTTATAGTTTTAAGATTGTTTCATGTTGGGATTTTTCTGGTTTTTACTAAATAGATATTGATCTATACATATTTTAACAAGTTTGTGAACCCATTTATTTTGTAGTGAATGAATAACTTTAATAAAATGAAACGTAAAATAATTAATTAATAAATAAATTATTACATGAGCTAGAACAAAATTATACCTTTTCTGCCGCGGCCGGTACTTAAAGAATGTGTAAGAAAACCTATTGTTGACTATCTATTGCACTAGCCTGTTCTGAACGGAACGAACATAACCAAAAGAAGAATGTCTATTGCACTAATTTATATTCTTTAATTATGGTTGAACCCAAAATCATAATAATAATACTAAGTTTTTGTTTATGTGTTTGTAAATGTTAAGTAATTGTTATTGCGATTACTTTAATATAAAGTCTAGTTTTAATTTATTTATTTATTTTTGTTTTGCTTAAACTTCCTGCAATTTAGATTGTTGAAAATATAGAATGTAATAAGTGGGTATCCATATATTAAATTTAATGTTAAGGGATTATTATATATTTTTCCAAAAGAAATGTGATATAAATATGTATTCTGTAATTCTGTGCCCTGTCACTGTCATTTAAAACGAGCATTTCAACGACCTACAAGTCGATAAAGGTCAATCTCCTGGTTTAATAAAATTCGTCCTGATTTTCTAGACGTAATACTCAAAATTATAAATCAAAAATGCTACGAACGATTTTAGTGCGAAACCAAGTATTAAACGATACAGTTAAAAAAGCTATTCGGTGTAATATAACGAGATGTTTAAGCACAGAATTGGCAAGACGAAAGCAGCCAAATAAGTAAGTTTTAAGAAATTTTCTCGTTATAGAGTTCAATTTTCCTATAATTTTAAATCGAATTGGACAGTTTTCCTTTGATTGTTTTTAATAAGAATATACAACAAATGATAAAAGCTTTATAATAATTTGAACATAAATTGCATAACCGAAATGTCAAATCTCTCATTGACAACTCGCCGAAAATGAAAACTACTAAAATAGGGCTTAATATACTATTTGTTTTACGTATTGGTTATTTTTTTCATATAAATCATCATGATCTAGTATTTTGCAAAATATTTTACTAACAAAAATGATATTTACGCGTCATAATCAATCATGACAAAATATGTATTCTACCACATGTGAACATAGATTGATAGTTTTATTTAACATATGTATTAATTTTAGTACACATAATATCCAGTAAATGAAATTAACGATTACTAATAAGTAAATATTTTTAGGCCAATAGGTGTAACACAACATAAGATAAAACCAGAACACAAATGGGGGATTCAAATCAGGAGTTATTCAAGTCTCCCATCACATTCAAAGGTAAACCTACCAGCGCTATCACCGACTATGGAAAATGGGTCTATAGTGAGCTGGGAAAAGAAGGAGGGTGATAAATTAAGTGAAGGTAACTTAAAAATATTTAAAAAGCTAATATATTACTATAAAATCATTGTTTTATATATATTTATATAGATGTATGATTTTTTTACTCAATATTTTACTAATTAATGATCATAACTAGTAATTTTCATATTAAATTCTGATACCGCCATATAAATATAAAATCAGCAATAAAAAACAGATTTCTTCTATATCAAAAATATCAGAAATCTCAGTAAATTTAATGTCATATATCCATAAATAAATAGAGACACATTTTTACCGCATGAAAGATGTTTATCTTAAAGCAGTCTTATCTGTATTCACATTATATAATAATATTATGACAAATATGACATTAATTTGTATGAGTTATAATGAAACTATTAAATGTTAGATAAAAAAATTATAGTCAATATAAAAAATAATTACTTACGATGTATTATAGTAAATTTTTGTTTATTAAAACTATGCTCAAATTTGTCAATGAAATAAATATTACACAATTACAGGTGATCTGTTATGTGAAATCGAGACTGATAAAGCCACAATGGGCTTTGAGACGCCAGAAGAGGGTTATTTAGCTAAAATCCTTCTACCCGCCGGTACAAAAGGTGTTCCCGTCGGGAAATTGCTATGTATTATAGTTGAAAATCAAGCGGATGTCGCAGCATTTAAAGATTACAAGGATGACTGTAAGCCACACATTGATCCTAATTTGTTTTAATACTGTGAATGTTATGTCAATTGGGGAAAAATAAGAAGTAATTTTGGTCATCAAATGGTTTAATTTTTTGCTAATATATTTTGAAATTCACTATATTACATTTTTAATATATCATTCATATAAAATAAACAGAAATATTTCAAATAATAGACATTGTTCGAAAATGCATGAATAACATGGGATTGTATGCTAAGTTGTTATCATTAATTAAAAAGGTTGAATGATACAATATCAACTAATTTATTAACTGCCTGCTACATTTAACGTTTTTCACACCAACAGCCACAGGGGTGCCATCGAAACAACCGCCGAAAAAAGGTTATTATTAACTTTTGTTTGTTATAAGATTTTAGTACATATTAATAAATTAACATGTTCAGTAATAGTGAAATATTTTACTAAATGTTTTGTTTAAATAAATACTAATATTTTGCGAATTATACTACGCGACTAAAATCTACATACAAATGTAGTTTTTTACAAAAATAAAGTCATCTAGTATAATCTGTAAAATATTAGTTTCATTGAAATGAATGAAACTCTCGAAAATCTTACATCTCATTATTTTGATTTGTATTATATTTTCACCTATCATAAAGTTTATATACTGATTTTGTCATATAGCCGCTGACGCTAAGCCGGCTGCTGCACCAGCACCTGCACCACCAGCTGCGAAACCTGCAGCAGCAGCAGCTGCACCTGCTGCACCTGTAGCTCAAGCTGCACCAGCTGCTGCAGAACACGGCAGGTTGTACGCCAGTCCAATGGCCAGACGATTAGCCGAGCTCAAGAATATTAGGTTGGGTGGTGAGTTGTATTATTATTATAGAAATAGATTGTATAAAACTAAAGAATATATAGTCGGGTATAGTGTAAAACCATTGGATAATTCCGCGTATCTGCTTTGGAGCAGATTATTATAAGAAAGTTTGAGCTGAAATATTTTCTATATTAATGACTTTTAAGGTAATTATTTCACAATTAGCAATTATAATTTAATTTTCATTCACTACTAATTTTGAAAAAAATACCTTAAAAGTGGTTAATATAGAAAATATTACAGCTTAAACTTTCTTCTGATAATCTGCTTCTAATAATAGTTATGCGAATTTGCATTATTCCCGACGATATAGTACTTATATAGTTTCAAGCTTGAATAACTTTGCTATGGGTAATTATAGGTCAAGGTTCAGGGCTATATGGGTCATTAAAGAGTGGTGACCTCGCCGCAGCGGGTCAGCCTGCAATGACTGCTGCTGCACCAGTTCCTGGCTCTGCATACACAGACATACCATTGACAAGTATGAGAGAAGCTATCGCCAAGAGGTTGTCGTTATCAAAACAAACGATACCGCATTACCAATTGACCGTCATAGCTAATGTTGAGAAGTTGCTCGAAATGAGGAAGAGGATCAATGATAAGTTACAGGCTGATAAGTCTGATGTTAAGGTAAATAATAATAAAAAAATGCTTTTTTAATAAAAAAAAATATTTTTTTAAATTTATAATAATACTACATATAAATTTTTATGTAGGGTTCGGTTAGCCTAAATATCATATAGATTATAGGCATATAAGTTTTTGAGTGTCTCTTTTATCGTATTGATTTTTACTTGCCCGAAAAAACAAGGGAAAATTAGTAAGAAATATCTTTCTCTTACTGTTAATGCTACTTTTATAACAATACCCGTTGTTCTTTGATACAAAGAGTTTGTTTACAAGAAGTTATTGTTTGAATCCAAACAGCCATTGTGCATCCTGTGATCATATTAATTGATTTTATTGGAATTATACTGCATTCCTTTGTCTTATTAGTAATTTGTTTTTGTTTTTATAGATTTCAGTCAACGATTTCATCCTTAAAGCTGTAGCTTCAGCCTGTAAAAGAGTACCAACAGTCAATTCACATTGGATGGAAACATTTATTAGACAGTGAGTTTTTAATACACTTTGCAAACAAATATATAGTTAGTTATACACATGAAAAAGTTTTTATAAACCAACATACTACAAAAAAAGAAGAAATCAAAAGATATAATATTGTTTTATATTTAATGTAAACATAATATAACAAAATAAAAAATGAACAGGTTACATTATATCTAAAAATAACATTTTGTTTTATAAAAAATCACTTACTAGTTTTTTCTGAAGGAATAATTTAACATACAGACATTTTACTATTAAAATATAATAGTTACTATAGTATTCAATAAAACTATATTAACATTGTCATGTATGTATTGTATTGTGCAAAACTGAATGACAGCAACTAATAAGTAATCTACCTACCTACATTACACTTGACATTTTGTCATCATATTATTATTTTAACAATATCAAGCAAGCATAACTAATACATAGCAGTTACAAAGTGTCATATTCATTCTTCTACCTGGCAATTTTTCCCAGCTTTAGCCAAGGTCTGCCCTTACATGTTGTGAATAGTTTTGGCTAACTGTTTTTACGACCGGCCGCCTGCCTGACATCAACCCTTTTTGGGAATGCATTAATCAGTGATGTCTAAATACTCTTAGAAAGTCCATAGTACTCGGAAAAATCACATTGGTAATTCCCAGGATCGAATCCGCGCCCTCGTGCATGAGAGGCGGGTCTTTTAACCACTAGGTCACCACTGACTTCACACACACCGCACCACATCAAGTGTGTGTCATATTCATTATATTATGCTTATACATATATATTTAGATAAACGTAAATAACAATAATATCAACCAATTTCCATACCCCAGGTTCAACAATGTGGATGTATCAACGGCTGTAGCAACTCCCTCGGGTTTGATCACACCCATCTTATTCAACGCTGACTCCCTCGGGATCATTGAAATATCCAAGGAAATGAAGAAGTTAGCCGCCAAGGCTAGGGAAGGGAAATTACAGCCTCAGGAATTTGTTGGAGGAACTGTCACTGTTTCCAATCTAGGAATGTTTGGTAAATATACGTATTTAACTTAATTATGTGTGTGCAATTTAGTCATTCTTAAAATAAAACTAAAATTTTTTGCATTCACAACACCTTTATAATTATTTTTAACAACATACTGCCAACATTTAGTTTTATTTCAATGAAAATTTAAATCTTAGATCGCATTAAATTATTCTTTTTCATTTCAATAAAGTACAGTATACTAGTGGCTTTGATAGTGGCTTGAACACAAATAGGTCACAATAGCTTAGTTACTAAATAGACTGTAATCATATTATGTGATATCCCAATAATGGCAGGTTCAATTCCTAATCAGAATTTAAAATATATATATATATAAATATTCATTAAAAATATTTAAATGTCAAGATTATAGTTGTATAAATGACTAAAATTCCTGGTATTTCTTTCTCAGGTATCGCAAACTTCACATCTATAATCAACCCGCCTCAATCTCTGATACTGTCTGTGGGTGGACTACAAGATATGATGATTCCAGATAAAAATGAACCACAAGGGTATACATTATATTATTAATTAAAATACATAGTAACTTAACTAAATATCTAGGAAGTATAGTGTGTTTGATTTAAGCTGAGCTTTGCATTTGCGTGAGTGTACACGGATAGTGTAGGTGTGATGTCAAATTTTTGAATACAACGTTCTTTTCTAGTTTTAAACCGGTTTGTACTGCTTTTACTTCGCCCCGCACTTTCCTCACTTCGCCTTTTGTACTGATAGCAAAATCAAATATTGAAAACGCAATGTCAAGTGAATAAGAATTTGTAGTTTTTTTCAAAATTCTTATTGATCAATAATTTTTTTCCACAATATTCAAAATATTTCCATCTGGACTTTTACAAGTTTTGCTTATTTTATAGCACTTATGTTATGTATCTATTTAAAATATAATAAAAGTTAATTTTATAAGTTTTTTGGCAAACCCTACTTTTACTTTCACTCACATAAATGCAAAGCTTAGCTTAAGTCTAACGGACTATAGCAGGTTCTATTCCTGTTTGTGTCAATGAGTTTTTCCATCTATATTTTCTACCTGATATTAATTCAAATATACTCTAAGTATTGCTGTAAAAATTACATAATTATATTATAAGATTATGTTAATTGAAAATACTTGATGGATGATACATATTCCATTATTTTAATCATTTGTACATAGAATAATATGTCCGGAGCTAAATTTTATTTATATAATATACTAAATTTATTGAGCAAAAATAATATTATGGTATATAGATAAATGAAAATCTTAAGAGGATTTACATTTCATATAAGAAAATTATTATAAAAATGTTGTAAAAAATATTTTAAATATGAAGATGGGTATATCGAAAATCAACTGTTATGAACAATTCAACAAGATCAACAAAAAAAAAGTTAAATGAATAAATCCGTATATTGAGGTAGTATTTTTTGGTTTCACTATATACATATGTTTCGCCCAGGTTCCGCTTCGCCAAGGTCATGACATTCACCGCGTCAGCCGACCACCGCGTCATAGACGGCGCGGTCGGCGCTCAATGGATGAAGGAATTGCGAGAAAACATCGAAGATCCGGCCAACATCATCCTGTAAACAATACTGACTGACTTACAATACTATGAGTTTTGATATACTTCATTTATATAGAAAATCAGGATTGTCAAAATATATAAATAGTTTGACAACCCTGAACATATGTATGTACGTTTTTCATATTGTGTTTGACAACCCTGAACATATGTACCTATAGTCTGGCCTAGTTCATAATCTCAATAATTCAACAAATAATCAATCAAAACTCACAGTATGTTAATATGTCAAGTTTGTAAGGGTTGTTACAGCGAATAGTGTTTCTTTTATCTGTTTTATGTTATTGGTTGTACTTGCTGATTGTTACTTGTGTGTCGTATAATGTTACATTTATATAATGAGGAGATTCTACTGTAACTGTGGTATATTTGTTATTCATGTAAATGTAAGTTTTAATTGAGTTTTAGTTGAAAATTTTAAAATTTTATATATAAGTTCAATCGGCAAGTTCTAATTATGAAATTTGAAGCTCTATCCTATACTATGTTATTGTTTATATTTTTTAATATAATTTATTTTGTTTATAGTATAAGAGCAATTAGTAAAAAATATATACATTTATACCACATTTATTATTGATATCATGGGATTAATTTATTTATCATTAAGTTGAAATCATGGGAATCTATCATGTAAATTGTAATTTGCCATAAATTCTGTAGTTATTTTTTTTGGTAAAGCAAAGAGTTTTTATTGTACTTATAGTAGCTCTGTAAACCACACCTACTTCATTCTGTCATCTTGCAGTCGAGATATTTTTTTTAATTATTTATTATTATTTTTATTATCGTATATCATTATATGTAAATAATAGTAATATTAACGTTGAATATGTATGGTTTGACGCTAGCTGAATGGAAATTTAGTGAAAATATATTAATAATAATACCTTTATATTATTTTTTATTTGTTTTTTCTTTGTTTACAGCAGTTTGATGATGGAGATGGGATGATTATTATAGATTTCATATTTTAATCTTCAATGTGTAGTTTCTTGTTATAGTTTTATTAAATACTGAAAACATTTGAATATAATTTTTGTAATGGTTATTGATATTCAGTAAAAAAAAGTTGCTACGTATTATAATGAACCTACAACTGATAATATTTTTCAGACATTTGCTGGCTACTTTTATAATTTTAGCAAAAAGGAGGTTATAATTAAATATATTTTGATCTATTTCGTCATGGCCGCAAATTGTTACAGTTGCGTGCGAAAACCTGAGAGGGGCTCGTCACGGCCAAACTGTCACGAACCCAAGATAGCGATATAATTAATTTATTATACCAATTAAAAGAACATTGCTATTATTTAAAGGTAGGCGTGAATGTATTTTATTTTTATTTTCTGTTTGTTAAATCGATGATAGTGAGATGATGAGATACAAAATAAAAGTATTTTTATAGGAGTTTTCAATGTTTTTTTGTTATCCATAAAACAGTAAAATAAGTTGATAAACCGCGATACATAATAACGTCGAGAGTTTTTTTTATTAAATAGATGGACACGTCTATCGATCCGGAATCTGAATTAGATGTTAAACAAGTGAAAGAAATTCCTATTGTACAAGACACGGGTACCTTTAAACACGATACGGGAGATGTTTACGATGGATATTTCGAAGCCAAGAAAAAGGATCGCAGCGTTAAAATGCACGGTATATATTTGATAAAATTCATTAATAATTTTTATCCAATGGAATGTAAGTATATAAAATCATTCATTCATAAATTTTTACTCTCGGACGAACAAAAAATATTACCGACATACATAAAAATCAGTTTTAAAGACATTCATTCATTCATTCATTCATTCATTAACGGTGACCCTTAAACTAATAATTAATAGCGGCAAGCCTGTTCAATATAATATATAGACGTACTTATCACAGTCGTGAATCAAAGAGAACAAATTTCCTAATCTTTGATAAATGATACATTTATAACAGTGATTTGGGAATTTAGTATTAGGTACATTATGTTTCTATTAAACCTAGTCTTGGAATGAAATGTTAGTATCGGAAAGAACTTGTTGCTTGTTCAAGGAAATAAAAGCTTTGTAACATTGCGTAGGTATCGATTCAAATCAGAAAAGTAGTTCACTCATACACAATACGTATTAACTTAAATAGTAAAATATTCCATAATTATCTAAATTCTGGAAATCTATTAATTTTGGTTTTTATGTAATAGGCGAATATGCCTAAAATGCTTTTTTATGTACGTTACCGTGTTTCTATCTTTATGGTTTTATTGCAAAATCAATAAAACAATAATATCCAGTTTTAATAAAATACTTCCAAATATGTACGCCGTATTTTAAATCGACAACACTTTTTTTGTGATGCTTTTGTTTTACGTCCGCTATTAAATAGTTAAAAGCATTGAAGTCGGTGAAGCGTTACAGACCATTTTTGTCTCATCGTAGAACTTAATGGGATGTGCCGTCATCCATCGTACTCGGCGTCATGCTCTGATTACTCGATTTATGTTCAAATTAAAATAAAGCTGTCCTATTAATAGTTTTAAATCGCTTCCATATTGGCTCCAAGATATATATTTGATATGATTGTTAATTTAAGGGCCCGGCATTTACACGACGGCTGAAGGCGATGTGTATTCTGGAATGTGGGACGCCGATCGTTTGGGTGCAAATGAAGAGGTTAGAATTAGTTTCGTGGAAGGATCTGTATACGAAGGACAGTATAAGGATTGGTCGTATAGCGGCCGCGGGAAGTATGTTTATCCCGACGAGAGCGTCCTTATAGCCGATTTCAATGACAATGTACCTGTAGGAAATTTAACTTTGGTCGATCCAAACGGACATATTTGGCTCGGTAGGGCCGAGCAGGGCTTCGGATGGTTTGACCCCGTCAATCATTTCTATGACATGTTGGAAAAGACGAGAGAAAGCAAGGCGAAGAAGCATCGTAAATCTGACATCAGTTCCAATACACTGCTTATAAAATAAACTGTCAAAGTTATTATTTTATAATACAGATAATAAATTATTTGATTACATTATTGTTTTTATTATTTGATTTTAACCGAAAATAATCAGCTCTTAAATAATTACGAACGTCAGATTTATTCTGATTCGAAGCTAATCTATGCTTGTATAAAATGTAACGGTGAAATTTTGTACGTCAGTTGTGTTACAAGTGGGTTATTAAATGGAACGTGACAGGAAACTATCGAAAATGGATATCAGTATGGTCACGAGTTAAATGAATCCGTCGACAGCTTTGTATAATATGACAGAACAAAAATTATGTAAACATTTTATTTGTTGATAAACAAAAGGGCGTTTTGTATTATGGCTCTTAGGAGTTAAGTACGCAAACAACTTAAAATGTTAAGATACGCGTTTGAACTTTTAAACTCTCGACATTTTAAATACTTTTGCACTTTGGTGCGTGATAGTACTGAGCTATTTAAATTTGTTTAAGTGTCGTAAATTACATCAAGTTGTCCAGTAAGTATACTGATTCTAAACAAAATAAGTGTCTCCCTATTTAGATACATAAACTCATTTAACATTAAAGCATTTTAATTAATTATTTCACACGTTATAATATTAATTGCTATACATATCCCTTTCATATTTATTATTTCCTTTACCCGTTTTAAAGTAGGTAAAACATGTTTCTTGCTAAATAAAGTCGTGAATTTTTAAGGAGAGGTTAATTTTTGTTTGGTTAATGATGCAATTCTCGTCATATAGGATTAAACGAGCTGTCGCCCACGAAATAAAACCTAAATGTGACTGTAGTTACGGCCTCGACTGTACGCCTACAGGAAACGTAGACTTACACAAAAGGAGCGAAAACTTCGGAATGCTTTAATATTTAAATGCTGATCAACTAAGTTTTATAAAGTTAGTAATGCAAGATTGTTTGTTTCTAAGTAGCTTCCATAAACGAGTAGATTCGTTATACATACTTAAACTGCAATAAATTACGATCCAAATGCTATGGGAATTGAGACCATTTAACTAGTCTCAGGTACTTAAAATTATTTGAAAAAGATATGTCTCAAGAGCAAATTTTCTTTAAAAGTTACTGATTTTTGTAAAATGTAAAGTTCTGAATGTTGTTAACAGATAACTTAAAATTTGAAATCTCGTTCCCAACATATAGTAATGCAACGCTTGATAAAGAGCACATCCTGTCCGATAACGCTGAAAATGTGTTATCATACTGCAATTAATTCATACGGCGAGGTACTTTCTTACTTCATTTCTTAAACTTGAGACTGTTACAGATTAATCGTCGTACATTACATGTTTTATTCGTTCCAGTTTAACATAGCTCCATATAAAATCGGCAATCGATACAAAACAAAATTTCCCATCACGATTTTTCCGCTCACGTTGTTTGAGCAACAGTCAGTCAGTAGATTAGAGTTTCGGCAGATGTCGAGCGAAAGAGTCGTCGGTGTTGGCCGCGCCGGGAGCGCGCTGGCCGCGCCTCTTATCACCTTATCAGTTATCAGCCCTTATCATTTACTCATCGCGAAACCGATCGACTAGTGCCAGTTGATTTACGTGCAAATACATGCGATTAACCGATCATGATCCGCATATTTATTGTGCTACAGTTTTTGTGTTCTCTATATATAGGCTTCATAACCGGACAAGGTGAGAATGTTTTTCATATATAATTACTTAAAAAAACATTATCGTAGTAAACATAATCACCAGATTAATGTGATTTAAAAGTCACGCCTTAATACTATTCATGACGCTAGCAATTTGAATATATATTCTATTCAACGTAGTGATTTGTATTCCGTTTTTCATTTGCATTCGTTTTCCTAGTTATTTGTAACAATTGAACATTAATTACGACATGAAATTAAACAAAAAGGTACGTACAAATACAATATTAAATTACAAAGCAGCCACATGTTAAGTTATCAAACGAAATTAAAATAACTAATGCATCTAACATATGTAATAATGAAACAAATCCCTTATCAGACCATAAAAGGTTTGTGGCTTCAAAAGGGAAGATTTATGTGATGTAGATCGTAACATACTTAAATGGATTCCGAAATAGCGCCTGCCGGAACACCTGTTGGATGTATATAAAAATAGAAGATTTACTTAATAAGAGTGACAGTTTTATTTAAACAAGACAAATAAACACGTCCATGTACAGAATTAGTTCTATCCGTGAGCTATATTTACTCTGAGACGATACAAGCAGAAATATTGTTGTGTTTGAAACTATATTTCCTGAACTTTATTAGTTCGAGTTTAATATGAGAAGGGAATTAATAAATAAAAATATATTTATATGTTTTATATGTAATAAAACGTTTAAATATAACTATTTTATTATTATATATAAATACAAAATTTCTTTTGTACAAATTAGTTCTTTAAGCAATGTTTGTTTTACTTTACAACTTATTAATACTTAGGTATGGTAGAATAGTCGCAATAAGTTGTAGCTAAATGTATAATTGTATGGATTTCAGTCAGTTATGAATCGAAAACTCAAAAGATTGATTAAAAAACTTTGCAAAATCATGGTAAAACATTGTTATTGGTGCTATATCTATACTAATATTATAAAGCTGAAGAGTTTGTTTGTTTGTTTGTTTGTTTGTTTGAAAGCGCTAATCTCCGAAACTACTGGTTCAAATTGAATAATTCTTTTTATGTTATATAGTCCAGTTATCGAGGAAGGCTGTGGGCTATATAACATGACGCTATGACCAATAAGAGCAAAGATATAATGGTAAATGTGTAACAAACGGGAGAAATTTTTTCATCTTTGAAGCCTTCCGTTGCGTGCGCCGTGAAAACGGTTCAAGATACACAAAAAATATGTGTTAAAGAATAATAGCTCTTTTAATGATCTAAAAAACAGTCCGCGACAGTATATGTCTATCTTTTAAGATTAACTCACAAAAACCGTTTTTATGGAACCTAATTTGGTCGAAATAATTTGTTTAAGTTGTATCAACATAATAATATTAATCTTTATTCAAATAAAGAAATAAATATGTTGTTGGTTAAGAGTACTTCATTGTGAATAAAAAAAACATAGGTTTTATCCTGAAAATTCTACGGGAACTCGACCATTCCGAAAACCCCGCAAGAACGGGAACTATGTGGGAAGAACCAAAAATCTGCCGAAAGTCACTATTCCACGCGGACGTAGTCGCGACAAAAGCTAGTATGTACATAAAACAAATACAATTCTATCATGCAAGACTGAAGTGAATTAAATCTCGCTGTTCCTTCAAAATAGCTTCGTCTACTCCAAAATATTTTGGTGTACAGCTAGTCTCTACTATAAACTTCATAACATTTATGTTAAATCTGGAAATCTGAGTTCTGGAAAACCATAAATAGACTATGAGAATAACTTGCTCCAATTACAGATAACGTATCGATTTTCAAAAATAAATATGTTTTTTTATCGATAACACTAAGTACCTACCTCTTGTAAATAAGTACTATTCTAAAAAAAATGGAATTAAAATTGTAAATTAACAAAAAGTAAATTAATAAAATATTTACTGTTAATGAACCTAGTAGTAATAAATAATAATGACAGAAACAATATGTGTACATTTTCACAAACTTGGAATGTGATCTATAGGTACTTAATATCTCTTTCAAAAGAATCTAAAGAACAAACTAATTTAAGAATGTTTTGAAACAACTATTTTAACTGGAAAATAGCATGTTAGTGTCTGTCAGCGAAACAGGTAGGTACATACCTCCAATGATTCCCAAACAGTACAGTGTTTAGAAACCGAGAATTCCGTTAAAACTCGTTTTATTTAAAACTTAAAATCATTGTTCATTTCCTTACCTGTCATTAGATGTTAAAACAATATTCTAGTTTTAATATCGGGTATATAAGAAATGACTAGTAATAATTGTAGAACGAAGGCCGATATTATTAATACTACGGGCTACTGAATCTACTTACGATTGCCAATTTCTTATTGATGTGTAATTAAAATAGATATGAAGGTGTATTCTCAAAGTTTTAATACAATAGAAATCATTATAATAGATAATAAGTGTATCAATGTTTATTAAATGTAAATGTGTTATTTGATATAAATTAAGTATGGCCCATCTGTGTTCCGATACAAACAGTATTACGCCCACTCGGATAAAATAACACGTATGAAACAAAAGAATAAGTACATTTAGATTTTCTGTCAATTACTATGAACAGTTATTTTCTAGGTATAAAAAAGAAATTGTTTTTATAAATATACATAAATGTAAGCCATTATATTATTAATTTGATACGAACTAATTAAAATTATTTACTCTTTGCTATTTTTTACTCTATGGTCTTGACATATGTCAAAATACATCAAAATTATTTTGTTTTTTTTTTTATGGCAAACATCAAATGTTTGATCTTATTCTATTTAGGTCATGCTTGGTGAATGGTGATCATGTAAGACGGAAAATTACTGATAAACAATACTGTATTCATATATAAACCTTAAAATATAATAATAATATGTTTTAAAACATATTATTATTATGTTCTTTATAATATCGATTCAAATTAATATATTTAGACTTTTTACAACTTTCACTTTGATTGATGACTTATTGTTTAACATCGTGTTTTCAATCAGAAGATATCTAATAAAATATAATGGTACTTAATCATTGGATATTGTTTGTTAATTTAAAACCTTTCTCAATACAAAGGTCCCAAACTAGTTTTCGCAGTTGTCTTCGTTCAACATAATAAAAGATTGACCTTCATTTTATAATGGTAAGGAGGTTTACTAATATTTCCGGTTCTGTCTAAACTGTAAACATTAGATGTAGGTCAAATATACAATAATGTCTTTTATTCATTACCAAATATGTTTTTATGTTATTTTTACAACTGAATTATAATTATATGAGTAATACTAAAACTAAAGCAGTTTTAAAAATATTTTTCTCGTACCCACTTACATATTATATCTATAGTAATATGTACGTTACTTACATTAAAAACATGTCCTCTTTTCATGTGGATTGATTTATTAATTAATTGATTGGTAGGTAAGTCATTCGTATAATTTTTTTTATTAGATATTGTAGCCACAATATTTTAGTGTATTTTGTAACGAACATTTGGTGTGAATTGTTGATTACACGGATCTAAAATCCAATAACAATAATCACTAACAATTTTTTGAATTAATGAAATGGCTTATGATTGTATTCATTTTTCAAATTACTTTTACAATATTCTGAAATGCTCTGATATGCGGAATAATTTACTGGTCTTATTGCATGTAACTTGTTTTCTTATAATTGAACAAATTGAAATTTTTTCTTACGTTACTGAATACAGTAAACAAAATTAGAGCGTACTTTTGTTTCAAACTTTAATATGTCTTCACGCAGATTATTCGTAATAGTTTTTTACTGATATTATAAGTTGAGCCTAGAATTAGTAACCATTTATACTATTTTAAACATCTACATATCATCCCGAACATAGCATATGGTCCGTTAAATAGGTTGTGATTTCGATTGTATTTCTTCAAAAAGGATTTCTCTAATCAATCATATATTTCATTGGTTGTAGTTGAGGACCAGTTGCTCAATAAGTTGGTGTGTGTGGATCATGATGAGTGTGGACCGTGTCTGGCAGCAGCCGCTCATTGCAGGTGGTGTGCGGATCCATACTTTAGATCTTCAGCTCCGAGGTGCAATGATGATGAGAGGTATGCAGTTTTATATGTGTATATATAATTATTATTATTATGGGACTAGGGTGCTTGTGATAAGATGATGAGAAATATCTGATAGAAAAACTGTGTGCTCTAATTATTTACGATATAATTTTCTTATTAATGATTTTATATTGATATTTTCCGTGTTTTTAACATCATGTATTTATAAATATATACTTAAAAGTGATGACTAGTTCAAATTAAATATTTTACCATACGATAAAATATTAAGTATGGAACATAAAATTTATTTCAAAATTTTTTAGATATGAGAGATATACGTAGAATCTTATTTTTTTTTCGTTGAGTACGTCATCCTAGACGTACAGATTTTATTTTCTCATGCCTCACCCCTTTATCTGATCTCAACAAAATTTATATGGAACCGACTTTAGAGCTTTGAACCACAAAAATGATCAATATCACTTCATAAACGTAGAATTTATGTGAACTTATTTAAAAACACATATCTTATGTCAGTCACATATAACACACTTTAAACAACTTCATCGTAATATACAGGGTGACTGGTGAATTACTATCAATATTTAAGGAGCATACTCGGTACATGATTCTCATTCGAATTATGTAAAAAAAATAGGTACTTAATTTTTGACCAAATTTCCGTATAAATAAATAAAGTGTGTACACGTTCCAAGTGTTCCAAGTGTGGACGCGTGCGGCGGCGTGGTGTTGTATCAGCACGCCGCCGCTCGCGTGTGTGCGTGTGTGTGTATACCTAGTCTGTAGGGTGTTCATACGATGCGTAATTAATTACATAACTTTTGGTTAACTTTACTTAGAAGTTTATTAATATTTATGTTATATTAATTTTTATTTTGTCATATATGTATGATCGTGAAATATCACGTCCTCAAATATTGATAGTAATTCACCAGTCACCCTGTATATAGTATATACATATAGTATATTAATAGTTAATATAAATATATATTTTAATTCTATAATATTTACTTATAAAACCGTTACTTATTACTTTCCCACGTGTTTCGGTCACAGTATGAAGACATCGGTATGATTGATAGTAAGGCGACCATGACAATGTTAATACTTTTTCAATTTGCCTTATATGGAACCCGCTCAAGTAACGTCAGTATTGACGGACAATCAACAACGCTTTTGTAATTTGTGATGAGATGGAATTTGTTTAAACTACGATAGATTCAAGGCTTCCATTCACAAATCTTAATGTTTAAAGTTTAGGTGTTATATTAAAGTTCATGATTAACTCGAAACCCACCTGTTTATATTTGGCTAAAGAAACATTTGTGTTTCTACTTTTCGTTATAGTAAATCGACTCATAACAAGTATGTTTTAATTTAAATGACTAATGGTATAAGCTTAATTTCCAAGTTGAATAACTTTGATTATATTAAAATATGTATTTCTATTTAACATAAAATCAAAATAGGTAGGTACATTTAATTAGTAATTTTTTTTTTCCTGACTTCTTCTAAAGATCACGATGTTTATTTATTATTTGTATTGCTAATTTTATAGTTTAAGGCAACATTTAGGTGTGTTTCATTAAATTAAATTTAAATATGTTTAGAGCAAATAAAATGTATGTTATTAAGTATTTCTTAAATTCTGCTTAGTAACAATTCTGGAGGTAAGATCAAATATTAATAAATGCTTGCTTTTATTTTGTTGAATGAATGGCCAAGAGAACGATCGTTAATTTTTTCTTTTGCCATAGAATATTTTCCCATTTTTAATTCTAATAGTTTATTTAAATAGTAATATTGTTGTTTCGACACGAAATTCTATTTAAATTCATAATAAAACTGACCGTTTATTTAAGCTCCCGTGACTTAACTGAAATTATATAAATATTTATTTAACTAATCTTGCGGCTCGAGCTAAAGTATATTTAAGATGACATTACTTTCATTGTTTACTCTCTAGTAAATATCAAAGTAATTAAACCCATAATACAACACGTGTGACAAGAAAAATACAGAAGCCGGCAAATCTAAATCCCATAAGCCCTGCTTTAAGATAAGAATTGTAAAGTAGAACTATTCCTAACAAAGCAAAACAAATAGCTAACACTATGGGATATTAGTCACGCATATGAGTAACACTATTTAATATATAGCATGTATTTTTATTATTATAACCACATCCGCAACATCAAATGAAGTAGCTAGTATGAATCAGATGTAATTAAAACACCCTGTATTTTTAGCCTGGTTGCGACAGGTTGCAGTCAAGGCATGATCCAAAGACCAGAAAAACCTGTATGGGAGGTAACTGAAAACAATACGCTTCAAGACATATCACCAGACAGTCATGAAGCAGTTGTGCAAATACAGCCGCAAAAAATAAGGCTATCATTGAAACCGCGTACGTTGACTCATTTCACACTCACCTACTGTTTAACTTATTTAAGATTTCATAATGTTGTCATTTAGGTTAAGTAACATTGCTTCGTTTACGCTGCTATTGGTATATGTTTTGAGATAAAATGTTTAAGTAGCACTTGTTTAAGTTGGAGAATGTTTTGGTGTTATAATTTTCAACTGAAATAATATGTTATTAATTTAAGCAATATCATAATTTATATGTATCGAAAACTTCATTTTCTTTCAGGTGAAAGCAAGAAAATTAAATTCTCTTTTAGACCGGCTAGGAACTATCCTTTAGATTTATATTATTTGATGGACCTCACTTGGTCTATGAAAGACGATAAGGAGACTTTGGTATCTTTGAGAGACGATCTGCCGGCGTTGATAAAAAATTTGACTGACAATTTTAGGTAAATATTTCAAACCAAACTATAGTATATGTATTTCGATTAAGTATGATAAAAGCTGTTATGTATTTCAGGATAGGTTTTGGTAGTTTCGCTGAGAAACCAATAATGCCGTTCATAAGTGTTGACGCGCGGAGACGTGAAAATCCTTGTACAGTCGAGGAAGAGGCTTGTGAGGCAACTTATAGTTATAAACATCACTTATCATTGACTAATCAGGTAAGTTCTGAAGATAAATCTATGTATTGAGCTATTTTCTCCAAAGAAATTTAAAATGAACTGTTCTACTACTACTCTTCTATCATTTGAAGGTTTTCTCAGTTTCCTGGTCTTAGAAGTCCTATAAATAATCTTTAATTAGTCTAAACTTTTCGTATAACATGAGTAAAAGATTATATACTTACAAAATCTATCAAAAACTGGGCGTTTAGAAGAATTACGTAAAAGATATTGAACGAAATATTAATTTTATTTTTCCAATAGAATTAGTTTAATTTTGACGTCCCATAAAACTTTTATATGTACAAATATTATATACAAATCGAAGGTAATTGAAGCTGATTGTAGGTAACAGATTTTAGATTCAAAATAAGCTATGTCAATGTGTAGTACATGTGCTGGGAGAGATAAATTCTTTGATTTATTTTTTATACGTCATAAGAGCACTAAGTACCAACGTGGAATAATATCTATAAACATACTTGTATATGGTTTATAAGCTGAAATTTTGACTAGTAATATAGATATGCGAATTTTGTACACTAAAACTCTACTCCGTCACTTATAATTACAGGTGAACGAATTCATAAAAGAAGTGAACAGTAGTTCTGTAACAGCCAACTTGGATAACGCGGAGGCTCAACTAGATGCTCTGGTACAGGCGATAACATGTGATAAACAAGTCGGCTGGTCGACACACAGTCGGAAGATCATTATACTGCTCTCAGATGGCCTACTTCACACTGCGGGTGACGGAAAATTGGGTAAATAACCACTCATTAACTGGTTAGGGACTAGTAATGACGTCATCTGACAAATAAGCTTTATTGAATATGTTTCTGTGTTTAGGTATTAATTTTAAGACTTTTTTTTGAAATAATTTGTCACTCATTTCTTTTATAAAATTGATATAATTTTTATATATAGTGTTCTAATTTCAAGTTGATTTTAAAGCTTTTTTTTTGTGATAATTTGTCACTTGTATTTTTTTCTTAAAATTGGTAATATGTTTATATGAATTGTTCTAAAAACAAATATAAATGTATATGAGTGTTCGTGAGCAAGTATGTACATATACTTATGTATATATTTTCCCATTCCATACAAAACACAGGCGGGGCATCAATCAAGAATGATGAAACTTGTCATTTAGATGAAAATGGATATTACTCGGAAGCCGCTACTTATGATTATCCATCCATAGCGCAAGTGTACAGAATATTAGATAAGTACAAGGTAAAATTATATGGAATTTGAAAGAAACTTTCACATAATTACATTTTTAACCTTTAATATAATCCATAGTTTCGTAATTCAACCAAAGTGTGTTGTATATATCTTAATAATAAAATTTATTTATTATTCGTTTTAGGTCAACGTGATTTTCGCTGTGACAGAAAACGTAAAGGCCCATTACGATAGCTTGCACCAACTGCTAATAGACTTCACTCGTGTGGCTAAGTTAGAGAGTGACAGCTCAAATATTTTGAAGCTGGTCAAAATGGGGTACGAAGATATCGTGAGCGTGGTTAACTTCGAAGACGACGCCGGCTCTGGTCCGATAAAGATTAAATACTTCACCGACTGCGGAGTGAAAGGTTCAATGGTTGAGGCGAAGCGTTGCACAGGCGTGGAATACGGCATGACGCTTAACTTCGAGGCACACGTCAGTTTGGAATCTTGTCCCGAATACAAAAAGGTTTGTTGGCTTAAACTTTAATTAAACCTTAAGTAGTTTACATAAAAAATATAGCCCGTTATATTGAACAATTTGTGAACCTTTAGTTTTTATCGACCCTAATTAAGATGTGCATGGGTCATAGCATATTTTATCGTTATTAAAATCTTGATGGATTTAAACTAAATTAACTATAGCACCATTTATCTATTTAAAGTTTTATAACAAAAACAAAATATGATACTAAATATTTAGCGTGTGTTTTCAGTCAAATCAAACTATAAGAATATCGGAAACACAATTGGGTGAGGATACTTTAACGTTGGAGATCCAGCTTCAGTGTGGTTGTAACTGTAAGAGTGATCTGGTGGAGAATATGGACCTCACGTGCCCGTCTAACTCACACCTCGTGTGCGGCGTGTGTCAGTGTAATAAAGGATGGTGGGTATTTTAGACCGTAACATATACTAATGGACATGTCGTACGCGTATAATCTGCAGTAATTTTTTGGTTTGAAAAGAGTGAGAAAGATGGCGTATGCTTTCCGTCTAGCTCTATCTCTTTTCTCATAGATGATTGGCGCTCAGTCAAGTATTTTGAGAGAGATAAAGATAGACCGAAACTTCGTTTCATCACTTTCTTTCGGAGTGCCACAATTCTCATCTCTAAGACATGTCCATTAGTACCTATATGTCGATGTTTTAGACATGTCGACGTTTTAAATGTGTCAAATCTATACTATCTTGAAAACCCCTATTGAAAGATTTTTATATATAGATAATATGTTATAGCGTATTAATGCTTAAATAAAAAATATTTTCTTTGCTGATACGATCGTATGTTGGGAAATTATTCTTGAAACGATTTAATTTTTTCATTATTAATATTAAATTATTACCTATATTTACTATTACAGCTATTGTTATAAAGAAGTAAACAATTAAGTTGAACATTTATAGGTCTCTACTCAAAGTTTATAATAGGTAAGACGTGTTACATAAGCGATGGGGCAACCCCCTTAAATAGGTAAATTAAAACGGGTTCAATATCGTGTTTTTTGTTTATGGCCGCGCACCGGAAATGAATATCGTAATGAAACATTAAATAGTGCTTATATTAATTAAGTGCGAATATTGGATTCATTTTTCTCCATTTACACTTGTGAAGCGGATTGCAAAAAAACTATATTTTGAAGAGAATTCTCTTAAATATTTTAAGATGACATTGCAGTTTTGCTATCTCAGAATAAAGTAGACGTAACAGATATATTAAAAGAATTAAATATGGTAAATAAAGTTAAAGAAACTAAGCTACTTTTATTTATGTAAAATATTAATTTATTTCAAATTTCAACCAGCTTACTTATTAAGTTTCTCACTTCAAATTCCTGGAAACTATACAGGGTGTATGAAAAACTGTGTCAACCCTCTTAACTACGTTATCAGTATCGATAATGTAACACAATAAAACAACTTACATTTACAAAGAGTAACAAAATGTTTGTAAACCCTGGTATAACACGATGGCACGCAATGACGTCATCACACCTGCTGCGCTACTAGTGACGACCTTGAAGTTACTTTCACATTATTGAGAATATCTATATTTAAAAAATCATAACAATAAATAAATATTTAATATTCATATTATTTCGATACTTATTTTGATATATCAAACATTAATATTATGTTTGATTGTAAAACATCATTTTTAACAGAAATAGATTAACGATTTATCCTAATAATACAACATATGTAGTTAATTTACCTGAACAAGTTTCAAATTATAATATTTATTATTAATAAAAGTTATTTTAAATGAAATTATTTTAATGTGAAAAGCATAACTATTTATACCAATATTGAAAATGTCGATAGATTATTTATCGATATAACTAATTTTTACACCTTCAAATAAGGCGGCCAACCGTCCCGCATTCTGCGGGACCGTCCCGCAATACTAGACGAAATCCCGCTTTGAAATTATTAGTAAAATAGTCCCGCAAAACGTTGTATGCGTCCCGCATGTCCCGCATCCCAATTTTTCTACCAGACTTCTACACAACACCCATACGCGCCCACGGTCAACAGTGCAGGAACACAGATTACCTATAATATGGACAAGCGTAGCGCGCCCGCGTCCCGCGCTAATCTCGTTTTCTTTCTTTTTACTTAAATTTAATATGGGCCATTGCGAAGATTTTTATGACATACCCAATCCTTAACACACCCCCCCACCCCCCCACCCCGCCATTCATGAAAGGTTAAGTCCCGCATTCAGTTTTCGGAAAGTTGGCCGCCTTACTTGCAAATTTCTATTCGAAACACTAACATAAGACGAATGTGCCACGCCGGCGGCCGGCGCCTGCGATCAAAGGCCGCGCATGCGTCTTCGCGACGATACGGTGTCTTGACCTTGTATTGCGTCATCATAACTGCTGCGCTACTAGTGACGAACTCGAAGTTACTTTCACATTATTGAAAATATCGATATTTAAAAAATCATAACAATAAATAAATATTTAATATTCACATTGTTTCGATACTTATTTTGATATATCAAACATTAATATTATTTTTGATTGTAAAACACCATTATTAACAGAAGTAGATTAACGATTTATCTTATAATACAACATAGTTAATTTACCTGAAGAAGTTCCAAATTATAATATTGATTAATAATATTTATTATTAATAAAAGTTATTTTAAATGAAATTATTTTAATGTGAAAAGCATAACTATTTATACCAATATTGAAAATGTCGATAGATTATTTATCGATATAACTAATTTTTACACTTTCAAATAAGGCGGCCAACCGTCCCGCATTCTGCGGGACCGTCCCGCAATACTAGACGAAATCCCGCTTTGAAATTATTAATAAAATAGTCCCGCAAAACGTTGTATGCGTCCCGCATGTCCCGCATCCCAATTTTTCTACCAGACTTCTACACAACACCCATACGCGCCCACGGTCAACAGTGCAGGAACACAGATTACCTATAATATGGACAAGCGTAGCGCGCCCGCGTCCCGCGCTAATCTCGTTTTCTTTCTTTTTACTTAAATTTAATATGGGCCATTGCGAAGATTTTTATGACATACCCAATCCTTAACACACCCCCCCACCCCCCCACCCCGCCATTCATGAAAGGTTAAGTCCCGCATTCAGTTTTCGGAAAGTTGGCCGCCTTACTTGCAAATTTCTATTCGAAACACTAACATAAGACGAATGTGCCACGCCGGCGGCCGGCGCCTGCGATCAAAGGCCGCGCATGCGTCTTCGCGACGATACGGTGTCTTGACCTTGTATTGCGTCATCATAACTGCTGCGCTACTAGTGACGAACTCGAAGTTACTTTCACATTATTGAAAATATCGATATTTAAAAAATCATAACAATAAATAAATATTTAATATTCACATTGTTTCGATACTTATTTTGATATATCAAACATTAATATTATTTTTGATTGTAAAACACCATTAAACAGAACAGAAGTAGATTAACGATTTATCTTATAATACAACATAGTTAATTTACCTGAAGAAGTTCCAAATTATAATATTGATTAATAATATTTATTATTAATAAAAGTAATTTTAAATGAAATTATTTTAATGGGAAAAGTACAACTACTTATAGCAATATTGAAAACGTCGATAGAATATTTATCGATAAACCTAATTTTTAAACTTGCAAATTTCTATTCGAAACACTAACATAAGACGAATGTGCCACGCCGGCGGCCGGCGCCTGCGATCAAAGGCCGCGCATGCGTCTTCGCGACGATACGGTGTCTTGACCTTGTATTGCGTCAGATGTTTGAAACATTTTTTCAAATAATGTCGATTTTAAACTTATTTAGCCTATGCACTGTAACTGACCTCTGCTTGATTTTTTTTAAGTTATACTATTTTTTATAATAAGCTTATACCTATATGTATACATGCCTTCAAGGGTTGACACAGTTTTTCATACACCCTGTATATGCATATATGTTTATACTTTAGAGAGTCTGTTTGATTTTAGTAGTATTCGGAGGGACATCATTTACGTGCAGTCATATGTGGTTGCAGTAGTAAACTTATAGTAAAAATTATCTAAAGCGCGCTCGGCCACAGATTTAGCACGTTCAACCTTAACAATATTACAGAAATCATACAAAAATATAATGAACATCTTAATTCGTTAAAGTTTAATACTGGTTATAAATTATCAAAGTAAATCTTTGGGTACTAACTAAAAAAAAGCAAATGAATAATAAGGTTATGCCTAACATCGAGTTTGTAAATGTGACTCTTTAATTAAAAAAAAATAGAAATTAGATGAACCCTTCATCTAACTGTCATTATTAATTACTTCATCCATAGGCAATAACGATCAGTGTTCTTTCGTCTTTTCTGTTACAAACCTATTTTATCGTCACCAAAAATTTAAAATATATCAAAAATACGAAAAACAATGATCTTTGATGTACAAAACATTCATAAATATTTATCCTACCTTAATTTCTTAGCTCAATCGTAAGCTAAGATTTAAGCTACGTTTTCATCGTAACTTTTATATTTCTGTAGGTCTGGTCCATCATGCGACTGTTCTATAGAAGATGAAGCAGCCTCCGCGGCGTTGTTGTCTCAGTGTAAGGAACCGAACGCTACACGGCCCATAGCTTGTTCAGGGGCCGGCGACTGTCTCTGTGGGAAGTGTCAATGTGACAACGGTTTCAACGGCAAGTACTGTCAGTGCAAGTCCTGTGAAGTTAGTATGTGAGTATTATGGCCATTTACTGAATATTATTAAAGGATATCATTACTAATATTATAAATGCGGAAGTAACTCTGTCTGTCTGTCTGTTACACTTTCACGCCTAAACCACTGAACTGATTTTAATGAAATTTGGTACAGACATAGAGTTGACTTTGAGAAAGAACACAGGATAGTTTTCATCCCAGACTTTTGAAAGATTCTCTTGGAAACGCGGTATAACCGAACTCCATGCGGACGGAAAGCTAGTAATGCATAATATATCACTACGCTGTGTATTTTACCACAAACCAAACTAAAGATTCTGAATATTTCTTCATTAGTATTCTTAGTTTTTAGTCCAATTATAATTATAGTAAATACAGCATGTTCTGAACTTTAATTTATGAATTATAGACATTATTACTCGAGCACCGTACTATGTAAAACAATTTTAAGCAACTTTCCGTTTCCAGAACGGAGTTTAGACAGTAAATTATTATGTTTTATCCGCAGAATAAATCGTTTGGAATGCGGTGGCGCTGAGCATGGCGTGTGTGCTTGTGGGCAATGCGCGTGCGTTTCTGGCTGGGCCGGCGAAGCGTGCGACTGTACACTCGACACTGACATGTGTATCGCGCCAGGCAGAGAAGATGTGTGTTCAGGAAATGGGGAATGTGTCTGTGGTCAGTTGATATACAAAATGGATAGATATTTGAAAGAAAAGAAAGAAAGAAAACACATTTATTGACATACACACAAAAAAAAATATTTAAAAAAGGACGTAAAAACAACATTACAAAAATAAAGAAAATAAATATAATTGATATAAAACTTGTGTGCAGTCAAAAGGAGACAGCTCAGGCTATGAGGATTTTTTTATCCGTCTGCTGATTTTCAGCTGTCTCCCTTCTTATTTTATATACATATGTATATGGCTTTTTTCCCGGATATGTATGTTATTCGATTTAAACCAAGACATTCTATAGCACTTGTTGTTGTGATACATTGATAGTACTCAACTTCAGGACGGCTTTATTCTTATTGTATATTTTAACAGCTTTCAAACATATCGTCATCAGCCTATCAGAGCCCACTGCTGACCAAAGGCCTCTTTCTCACATGGAGAAGGTTTAACATATATATTGCAAAATGAAAGTAAATCAAACGTCGGGAGTATTCAGTTTTTACAATAATAAAAATACGCATATTAAAATCCGAAAAATAAGTTTCATTTAAAGGAACACTCACGAATACCTTACATATCATATATGTTTCAAAAGTATTTCGTTTTCAATGACTATAATCATTTTTATATTTCTATAGGAGTAAAAGTATTTATAATTTATTAAACATCTGCTATTATTTCCAGGTCGTTGTCAATGCAATAGGTTAGAAGACGGGACACTATTTTCAGGCGCCTTCTGTGAGACTTGCGAGACCTGTGAAAACCCGCTCTGTGCAAACGCGGAGCCCTGTGTTCTGTGCCATTTAGACAGTAACTGCACAGACGCGTGCTCAATAGGGAATATGAATTACACTGTCAGTGAGAGACTTAATGAAGGTTTGTTAAAAGAAATAACGTACAAATGTTATAATTGCGATAATTTGTATTTAGAAAATAAATATGATATGTTTGGATTTCAATTTGATGTTAATATTTACAACTAGAGCTATGAATTATCAGAATATGTATTAAAGAGGAACATTTAGTAAACAGTTGTAGTCATCAGTTCAGGAAATAGTTTCAGTATTTGGTCGGTTTGTAGATTCAAAGCGGTTGTAAATCTATTAATATTTGCGTTCCAGTGACCAGGAATAGCGATGATGCATCTTGTATTCTGCGACGCGATGAAGACGGTCTGGAATGTGAATACCGGTATACATACAAAGCCGGCGTCCAATCTATGATAGCCATGGAAATTGTCATTAGAGACAAAGTCTGCTATCAACCTACTAGCGCTAAGATATTGACTAGCTCTCTCATCATAATGGGCTGTGTCATACTCGCCGGTTTAATAGTAATCATGGCAGTAAAAATTGCACAAATCTTCTCCGATAGACGAGCTTACGCAAAATTTTTACAGGAAGCCCAAGAAAGTAGGAAAAATATGCAAGAATTGAATCCCATATATAAATCACCGATATCTGAATTCAAGTTACCAGAATCCTATCCTAGAGATCGGGCTGATTTATAGTTTATTATTATTTAGTTTTAACTGAAATAGATATATAAAAATGTGGCATTATGTACTTACCTCAGAATAACATAGAGTACAATTTTCTTTAACTAAGATTCTTGATTTTTAAGTTTACAACTTGTACATAAAGCTTTATTAATATATTATCAATAAAAATAATTATAACCTAAACTAAATAAACCGTTAAAATGCTAGTCTCTGTAATATATTTAAGGTTTTTAAGACTTATTTTTATACGACAATCGTATGTTGAAGTTGGCTATTGAGTTAATATGGAATAAAACAAATAAATATAACTTTTTCATATGTTTATTAATTGACTTACATATTTCGTTTCTTCTAACGTGTTGATCGATATTGAGAAAGTATTGTCATATGTAAATAGTGTTATTATTTTAGAATGGCAATATTTATTCTGGCCCCAATTATTTGACATTAACAGTTAGGTTGCAAGATATTTTTTTTTATTTACATGATTTTTTTATTGTAGATACAGTACATCTTAATTTTCCCATCATATGTATATTTTGTATATCTATAGTATAAAGTTTAAGTCTTTTCATTATATAAGATTTATTTTACAAACTGCCATAACTGTTGAATACAAAAACTTATTTTAACAACAATACCTCTCCAAGTTATACTTGAGCAATTTCGCGGAACCTTAACCTTTTTATGAATTGAGGTTATTATCGAGGTATTTCATAACTACTAGCCGGTTAGTAAAATATAAAGAAGACTTCAAACTTAAAATGTATACGATTTATATATATTTAGGGAACATACATTTAATTTGAACCGAATTTTTCAATTCCCGAACGCACCCGAAGTGATGTCAAAGCGTTGGACATTCGGTTTGTTCACTTTTAGGCTGGAAAGTATGTATTTTGTCCATACGATTTGTATCTTTGTAAATTGAATTTAACTTATTAGTTTGTTTTAATTAAGCTTTGATTTGTTATTTTAAGTATTGGCTGTATATGACAACTACATATATTAATGAAATATTTTGTTAAAATCCTAAATATATATATAAATCGTATACAGTAAGATACTTTACATTTCTATCACAATAACGATTGTTATATTATTTTCTATACCTACAAATATATCGAAAAACCATCATAAACCATAAAATTATTTCACTTATAAAGAAGACATACCCTTTTTACACTAATGATCACATCCACGACAATTGCATCTTATGTGACTAAAAAATATGCTATCGAAGCAAAAATTTATTATATATTAAATATTTAAGCCTTTTAGGTTTAAATATTTATTCTATATCAAGTATTTAATTCATATTTCTCGAGAAACCAAATACCATTGATAAAAATGAGTAATAATATTAGATTAATGTACGGATATGTTTTATACACGACATAATCTATTCGATATTAAAATATTTATCAGAAAATTTAATTTTTTATAAGTCTCTATATATGTACATACATGTAACGCTATACATACTATGTAAGGCTTTTATAAGGCAATCACGATTAAGGCAACTATGTTTTCAATATTGCTTTAACATTCAACATTGCTTATATTTACAATGCTGATTTAAATCCAATGTTGGTGATTGTGGCACAAGTTATAAGAGACATAAGAGTTTGATTTGACCAATTATTGGATTGGATTGGATTGGACAAAAATTGCTTCCAACATTGGATTGGAGATGAAAATCCGTTCAAACTTGACGATCGTGTCTTGAAGGTGGTGTGAGGGTCATCGGTCGTGAATCAGCCTTGCTAGGTGTAGCGAGTACAGGCTTCTGAAGTGTATCTGGCAACGGCATAGGCGCTGGGACCGCATCGGGGACTAGACCTCTTATCAATTCTGATATGCACGCCCATGGGACGATCCTGGAATAGATAAAACAAATATTGTTTTAATACAGTCCACATTTATTATTTAACCTTAAAATTATGGATAAAGAAGAAATAAGTTATACAAGTTAAGCTATTATTCGGACTTTATCGGCATAATAGAACCCAGAAGAATTTTGATAGATTTTTATATTTATTTGAATAATTTAATTGGCTAATCTCAAAAACGGCTTATCTTATGTGAGTGCGTTTGTCACATATATATTATGGTAGTCGTAAATTTGGGATACATAGCAGTAGTTATTGCAATTAAAAAAATCACGTTCGCACAGAAATTTTTTAAGTAATCTTCTATATATATATATATATATATATATATATATATATATATATATATATATATATATATATATATATATAAATGGATTGCTGTTCCTTAGTCTCGCTAAAACTCGAAAACAGCTGAACGGATTTATCTGATCTTAGTCTTGAAATGTTCGTGGAGGTTCAGGAAAGGTATAAAAGCTGAAAAAAATTGATTAATTTCCGGGAAAACCATAAAAACAGCCCTTTTCTATTTCCCATACAAACGTTTTCTTTGACATTAGATTTGACAACTAACTAATATGTCAATCATTCTGTTCGATTGAAACAGGAAAAACCTGATTATTAATGGCCTCTAAAACGGAATAGAGTTCGCCCGGTCAGCTGTACATATATTACTAATGACGAAACTAACGCGGACGAAGTCGCGGGCAAAAACTAGTTATATATAAAAAATATATATTTATATAACAGTGACGTGTGCATCATTAAATGAAGATTGCCATAATTATCTGTATTTCAAACAAAAAACATCACACGCGAAGGTATGAGCAATTCATTTGTTGTTGAGATAAAACAAATACAGATTCTATAAAACCTCCTCGCTAGATTTTTTTAAACAACAAAGATTTCTCATATGTATGAAATGTAGATCGTAATTTTCACAGCATTTATATAATTTTTTTTTATTTATATATATTAAAATACAAGTATTTATTTCGGACAATTTTAGTGACGTCATAAGTATCAACACTATCAAGATTGCCGTAAACACGGTGTCTGAAAACATTGAGTTAAAATTCATGTATGCACGATCTAAATGTTTATATGTATTTTCAGTCTAATTTCTAATTTTCATGAACACCATGTATAAGATTGTGTCCCATTTATAGCGTCGTATGGTTTTTATCAAAGCATATGTGCTACTCTAGACTCATTGACGATAATACATATATTGCTATTGTTATATTCGGTTAAAATTATTATATTTGGTACGTCATACACATGATATTTTACACAACTAAATATTTACATTATGCTAGATTAATAAACAAAATATTTAGATTCCTGAGACTGGAAACAGAATGAAATGTTATTATTTAAAACCTTTTGTTTTGAGTTCAAGACAAATAAATAAAATATGCTTGCAATTTAGTTTATTAATAATAAATAAAATATTCTATAATTACACTGGTCTGCAACGAAAAACTCCTTTAAACAAAAATATGATAAGTATGAAGTATTCAATATCCTGAATCTATATCTGTTTTTATTTTTTTGCTATCAGGTATATATTCCTTACAAAAATTTTTTTTTGAATAGCTTAAAATTCCATATATTTTACTGTTGTTCATGCGTTAGCGCAACTGTGTTTAGTTGTGTTAGTGGGTAAGCACAAAAAAACGACTCCTACTGATAGAAAGAGAGCGAATGATACCGACTGAGTCCTTTTTATACGAATACATTGAAAAAAAAATTAATATTCCCAGTATATGTGGAATATTTGCGCTGATCTTAAAGTTGTAGCAATGTTAACTGGCCTGCAAGGAGGATATGCAAAATATTGTTGTTTTTTGTGTGAGTGGGATAGTCGGGCGAGAGATAAACACTATGTAGTAAAAAGCTGGCCACGAAGAACGAATATGATGCCTGGTTTCAAGAACATGAATGAAAAACCTTTAGTTAAAAGTGAAAAAATTTTTCTTCCTCCACTCCATAAAAAGCTGGGTCTTATGAAAATTTTTGTCAAAGCCATAAATAAGAATGGTGAAGGCTTTCTGTATTTAAAGACTGCTTTCGTCGAAGTGTGCTATAATTTTCTAGGAAATAAAAAAAAGTGAAAACTACCAGGATACAGAACTTATTTCTTCGTATAAAGACCTAGGGTGTAACATGTCTTTAAAAATTCATTTTTTGGACTCTCACGGGGATTTCTTCCCACCTAACCTTGGAGCAGTATCAGATGAACACGGTGAGAGGTTTCATCAAGATATTATGCACATAGAGAGACGCTACAACGCAAAATGGTCAGAAGGAATGCTTGCTGAGTTTTGCTGGTTTATTTGGCGCGAAATTCCACTTCAAACTTCAAAATATAAAAAGAAAGCAAACTACAAAGTAAAATAATATTAATAATAAGTAATAAACATTTTGTAATATACGTTTTAATGTTTTTTCATGGTCTGTATCCAAAATTATGATAATAAATAAATATATGATTAAAATATAATGCCAAAAAAGCTATTTTATTTAAAAATTATATTGTAAAAAAAATATACGTGATAGAAAAATTTTGATACCATATTTCTATTTAGCACTATTGAATCAATAATAATAATCCTTAGTTCTGTAAAGGAGACCAAAAAATTTTTTTTTTGCAGACCAGTGTTATCTAATAATAATTTCTTGATGATAACGATTCTAATTTTAAATATACACACATATATACATATATATACCGATGTGTTAATTAACAACTGTAAACGAATATTCTAGTAACACGTAAAAATATAATTTGAATGCTCACCGATGATATATACAGCGGAAAAGTAATCGAATTCAAACGAAACAACGGAAATATGGTTCTTAAACAAAACACGCAAAAATCTGTACAATCCTTGAATTGTTATATTTGAAACAATACTGAGAATTATTTAAAACTAGCTGCGCCGCGCGGTGTTACCCGCGGATTTCCGGGATGTAAAGTAGCCTATATGTTATTCCTAGACGTGAGCTTGCTGTATACAAAATTTTATCAAAATCGGTTAAGTTACAAACATACACACACACTCACAAACTTTCGCAATTATAATATTAGTAGGATAAATGTGATCGCAACATATGAACCATAATAAAAACTTTTACAATGACGTTCTTTGCGAGAGTTTGTTAGTGATTAAACTTAACCGTTAGTTAAAAGATTTCTCTTAATTAAATGAAGTTTATTTTAACAGCACGAATAGGATTTGTCATCGTCGAAACTATTTTATTATAAGTTTATATTAGAAATCGACTGTACGAATTGTGTATTAAAAAAATAATGAAATTTTTGTGATGTGACGTAAACAAATGAAAGTACAATCGTTATGACTTCATAGACAAAATATTTTATCATAATACATATTTATATCTATGTTATAATATTTATCTTGAAGGAATTTTGACAAAATGATAATCGTAGCCAAAAAAATTGATTTAAGGTAACAATATTTTTTTTTTAGTTTTTTTTTCAATTAAGAAGAAAGTGGCATAAAATAAAAGAAACGGTTAAATGAAAACTAATATATGTATATATGAAATTCAATAAGTATTTAATAGACATAATAATTGTCAGTCGGAAGCGCAAGTACATAAAAGGGAAGAACAAAACATTATGTACGATTTCTAATATCATTTAATCTTTGTATCGTTTATTTAGTTATTTATCAGTTAACATAATATAATGTTTTTAAATTTATTCAATTTATTATTATTTTATTAATATTGAAAACGTTTTATATCAATTATAGGTTATCAAGGTTTTTCCTGGATTCTGTTGTAAATTGTTGGCATTTTGTAGTTTTTTATTGTTGTATATATTTAAAAATATATATATAAATTGATTATTTATTATCTGTTATATTTTTTTATTATCTTTAATTGTATTATATGTAAAATATTTCTTGTAAAAAAAAATCTTGTTTATTATTTATTCTAGAAAGTTAATCAAACTCTATGGTAGATGTTCTTCCCGAAAACCTTGACCTTTTATTATATCAGGAAAATAAAATGCAGAGGTTTCAACTGCCGTTGACGTGTGTATTAATTAATACATAAAAACCAGTTTAAAATGACACCTCAGTATTTAGTTTTGCGTTTTTTTTATTAATAAAAATTATTGCAGAACAAGAAAACCTTACCGTGCGTCCTTAAAGTTAGTGAGGTCAAAATGGCGGTCGAAAGAAATAAAATAATCTGTATATATACTTATGTTTTCTTTACATCATATTGCCAGTGAAATTTAAACCTTATACATGTTATAATGCGTCCAAATATTAATTATAAGTAAATCTTAGTATAAGTGGTCGTAAAAAGTTGGCACATTGAGTGCCTTGATAAGAAACTCATTATATTTTGCATTTATAATATTTAATGTTAGAACTACGTTTCATCGTAAATACAGATATTAAATATAGTATCAAATGTAAAACGTTTTAATTATAGACATAATAATGTATATATAGAAAGTTTAAGTTTTTGTATTGACGAATTGTTTTAGGAATTCTTAGTAAATTTTTTCATTCTTACATACGTAGAGTATTACGTTTATCATTTAATAAGCAATGTTAATACAATAATGATCGAACATTTATCTAAACTAATATTATAAAGAGGTAATATTTTTTTGTTTCTTTGTTTGTTTGTTACGAATAGGCTCAAAAACTACTGGACCGATTTTAAAAATTCTTTCACCATTATGATTGTACATCTTTATTTGTTTTACGATAGTATTTAGTTTCACAATAATAACACTTTTTTTTTAGTATATGCAGAAGTTCTTTAAAATAATTAAATTTACTGTAAAAATTGTACAGATTTAGTTTGGAACTCGAAAAAAAAAACAGGTTTTATCCTGATAATTCTGCGGAAACTCGACCATTCCGAAAATCCCGCAAGAACGGGAACTATGTGGGAAGAACCAAAAATCTGCCGGAAGTCACTATTCCACGCGGACGAAGTCGCGGGCAAAAGCTAGTATATAATGAATTGGAAACGCGGCGTATGAAGTGTGAGATGCACACTTGTAGGAAGCATATTGTTTATGTGAATTATAATTTAGTCGCAATAATAAAGAGATATCACATACAATGTGTTATGACAAAATAATATTTGCATTAATTTTAAATTTTTACTATGTACCCCCATTAGTTCTCGTATAATAATTTTCTCCTACCCTCATTTTTAACTGGAAGAGAACTCGCTATAAAGATAAGAATTTTATGTACATTTGTTATATATAATTATTTATTGTACATATGTATGAAATTTACAAAAGTATCCTATGTCCTTCTCCTGGCTTTAAACTACCTCCCTGCCAACTTTCAGCTAAATCCTTTCAGCCGTTCTTGAGTTATAAGTGAAGTAACTAACACTTTCTTTTATATATATAGATATAAATAAGTATATAATGTATATGACTTACCATTTAAATGGCAGTAGTAATCTGAAGTATGATGGTATTACGGCCACTGGCTCGTTCGTTCTTATCGCCAACACCACGCGATCAGCTACTTCATTCGGACTGAGAGTTGGTACGAACCTGCCACGAACAAAATATTACACCATTTAATATTTTCTGTCATATAACATATACGAATAAAGCGTTTTTGTTAGTTGAAGACAAATTTAGTAGATTACTTTCGAGTTACTTATATATACATAAGAAATTCGTTACAATGGAACCTAAATATTCGCATTTTTGACGACTGAGTAGAATTTGAATTCGGAGATAGTTTTTCTAAGATATGAGAATGTAACATGACTTTATTTAGAACAAATTATCCACAGATAACTGATAATATGAAACACAAAGATTATGTCTACGAAGGTTTTAATACAACAACCTTCATGGTATAATGTGCTTTATTACATATACGTCACAGCATTGTCAAGTCGTGACTAAAAAAAACAAGCTACATACATAAAAACCTACCTTGAGTTAACCTCTTCAAACATTCCCGTCGCTCGTATGAAGTAGGGGCATATCAGTGATGTGTTCACACCCTTAGCACCTTTGACCTCTAATTCTAATCTTAGCGCTTCATCAAATCCACAGGCGGCTGATTTTGAGGCGCAATAATCGACTAACTTGGCGACCCCAACTTGACCAGCCATAGACGCAATGGTCACTATATGACCGTCATTATCTTCTATCATGGCTGGCAAGAAAGCTTTTACTGTCTGGAATTTAGTAAATTACACTCTTATTATAATATATATAGAGTTTATTCTGGATTAAAGATTTGGTTTTGAGTTGAGGATTCGTTCGAGAGTGATGGTAATTTAGAAATTGCAATCACAATATAAGTCTTCACGAAATCACTAGTAAAAGTTGATTTATATAAGGCTCATATACAACATAATTATATAAAATATATTTAAAAATATATACATTTTAATATATATTTGAAAGCAACACGTTGGGTGATTATAAAAATAGTATTGAAATACGGAAATCAGCTGTCGTGTATTTTGTCGACTTAGCTCGACGTATCAGCTAATTTGTACCAGGTTGAATTGACCTTGAACGAAAACTGACCTTATATTTTAGACAGACCTAGTATTATGATTATTATTCAAAATCAAATAGAAGTTTAAAGAAGTGAAACAAATATTTTTACATAAAATAGTGTAAGGCAAAAACAAGGCAAGGTAAAGGTTTTTGGACCACTAGTAGTGTAATATGTAGTAGTATTAGTAGAAGAAAGTGTATACATACCCAGAAGTGTGCTAATATATTAACATCGAACGTCCTCTGTATGAGATAGTCGGGTGTGTCCAGAAGGTATTGTCCTGACACAACACCAGCGTTATTGATCAACAGCGACACCTAGCGACAGAAATGTGGAATTAAAACAAGTGATTATAGACGCACTAGCTTTCCGCCCGCGTGGAGTTCGGTTATATCGTGTTTCAAAGAGAACCTTTCAAAAGACTGGGATAAAAACTACCCTATGTTCTTTCTCAAGGTCAACTCTATCTCTGTACCAAATTTCATTAAAATCAGTTCAGTGGTTTAGGCGTGAAAGCGTAACAGACAGACAGAGTTACTTTCGCATTTATAATATTAGTAGGGATTTGTATAAAATCAGTTTTAATTTATTTAATTAAAAAATAAATTACTAATTACTACACATATTGACTCAAAAAGTTGCCACTGATTACTACGTCGTTAATTATGCGATGATAAATTAAGTTTTTGCTAATAAAATTCAGGTTTTCGTTCAAAGATCTTTTTGACCTATAGGAATTAGCACTAGCCTGTCAAAATGCTTTTTTATTAAGGATAATTTAGCTTTTTACGTATTTACATATGCAAATGATACAATTATCAAAGAATTGATAAAGCATTAAAATTCTTGCTCAGCTATACGTAAACAGTGCTATTAATAAAAAATATCAAAAATTAAAAGAAAAAAATCTTGTTGAAGCAAGCCTAATAGTGTTCGTTTTACATTATAATATATTTATGACACAAAGACAGTCTCTCTCTCTATAAAGACAGTATACATTTTAATTTTTAAGTCTTCAAAGAAAGTACTATCGTTCTAAATATAGCCTAAACTATAATTTTATTATGTGAATAGTTTTCTTATATAGGTATATATTTGTTTTATTATACTATAGCTTGGAAATAAGTCATTATTGGAGACAAAGAATTTCTTAATATATATTTTTTATATAATAATAATTTATTCCTTTGTTTCGTGTGTTCAAACATCCAAAACAAAAGAAGCACTAATTGCGTTTTTTATAACAAATTTTAGTAAAACGTGAAGCAAAACGTGTACCGTTTTTTACATGATTATCTTAATAAAAAATGTTTTAAGCAATAAGATTTATTTATGATTGGATGGTTTTGCTTTAGGGCATTCAATAAAAAAAAATATTAAGAGGTACGTTAAGGTTTAACATAATAAGTACTGTTATACATAGATATTGAGCGACATTATTGATAACAAAAAACTACCTATTTCACAAAAGACGAAAAATAGGCGAATATTCCGGACTTGGCTATGTTTTTTTTGGAAAAAAAACTTTTCATTTAATGGAAAATATAAAATCAGAATTGTGTTAAAGTAAATATGTAAAAATTATTTGAAAAAATATACTGAGAATGCATTAAATTTTAAAATGTTTCTGAGGTGTTAATAAAGTGTTTTTGAATCAAAAACCAACTATGCTAAGTTCTTACGTATAACACAACAAAAAATAAGCCATTGTGATTTTTCTTAAACTAGAGGGCATAAAAAGAGCTAGTTATCTTTTTTGTCAAAAACATTATTATGATTAATGATGAAAAACATTATTATTTAAGTACAATTCGTGTATTATTCAAACAGAAAACATTATAAATTTATTTAAGTCATTACAGAAAAACTGGGATAGTCATAATTTTCGAATGTATAAAATATATATACATATATGTAGAATATACGGTCAAAATTAAATGTTAGCAATTAATTCTAATATGTTTTGCCAGCTCTGTACGACCTATGGCCTTTTAGCTTCGTCAATCATTTAAGACCCAAATAAAAAGAGGTTTGATAAACTCTGAAGGTCATCGAACTGGTTTAATATAAAAAGAAAAATCATTGCGTTAGATTGTAAATTAAAAATCCAATGCCTTTTATTTCAATCCCATGAGCTCAAACTTGTTTTACATTCCGATGTAAGTTTTTTATTTACTTTAAATTGCCACAAATAACATCGAAGTTTTAATAAAAAATAAATCTAATAAGAGAAAAAAATAAGTATCTTTGTGTGGTATAAACAAAAAATAAATTCAGGTACATTTTACGGTGACAAGACATAGGTAATAATTTTTTATAATATTTTTGTATTCTCATTTAGCTGGCTGTAACAAAATTTAAGAAAGTTTATAAAAATTAGAGAAATTATTTATTCTTCTGGATTTGTATGTAAAAAGTAAACTGTGAGCGAAGTCGGGGCCAGCTAGTTGTTAAATCTCATTTATGTTATAGCCATTAAAATGTTCGGCATCCTTAGTTATGACGTTAAAATGTTTACTGCGGACATATCAAGTATATTTTACGAGCCACATACATTTTAATAATATACGTTTATTATATAAAAATATATTTTTATAGATTATTTATTAATTTAATATTTAAATTATTATGTTGACGTTTAATGATAAATTAGGCAATATTTAATTTAATAAGTATGGTAAGAAGTATGTTTTAATTCACATTTCACATGTTTAAATTCTTAATGCATTTTTTAAGAGTTAAAGTCTTAATGCATTTTTTCAGAGTCATATGTACTTTCTAAGATTATTTAGACATCACTGGTTAATGCATTCCCAAAGAAGGTTGGTGTCAGGCAGGCGGCCGGTCGTAAAAACAATAAGCCAAAACTATTTACAACATGTAAGGCAGACCCTGGCTAAAGTTGGGAAATTGCCAGGTAGAAGAATAATTAAGTCTTAATGCATGACGAATTTCTGTGTGATTTTTTGCAAAATTAATTTTAGAATAGAAATATGCTATTGACACTATAGTTTCATTCAGTACTATTTTCTATTAAAAATTCAAATCATAGAATTCAATTCATACATAAACAACATTCACACACACATACGAAAACTCACACACACATAAACACACCTCATCTCAGTTAAGATAAGATCCCGATTACGCACGTACACATGCTCTTGCAAACTCTGATTTGATAACATTTCAATTATTTCTAAGAAAAAGCTACTTGTTTATTTCTATATGTACTATATTTATCATATATCTTTTATACAAACTTAGTTATTAAAAAATACCGTAAAGTGTATCGTAATTTTTGATATTCATTTTGATTTATTATTAAACCTAATAACGTTATATTTATCTAAAACAATATAAATATAAGTAAATTATTAATCTATACTAATATTATAAAGCTGAAGAGTTTGTTTGTTTGTTTGTTTGAAAGCGCTAATCTCCGAAACTACTGGTTCGAATTGAATAATTATTTTTGTGTTGGATAGTCCAGTTATCGAGGAAGGCTGTAGGCTATATAACATCACGCTACGACCAATAGGAGCAAAGATATAGTGGTAAATGTGTAAAAAACGGGAGAAATTATTTCATCTTTGAAGCCTTCCGTTGCGTGCGCCGTGAAAACGGTTCAAGATACACAAAAAATATGTATTAAAGAATAATGGCTCTTTTAATGATCTAAAAAACAGTCCGCGACAGTATATGTCTATCTTTTAAGACTAACTCACAAAAACCGTTTTTATGGTACCTAATTTGGTCGAAATAATTTGTTTAAGTTGTATCAACATAATAATATTAATATTTATTCAAATAAACAAATAAATATGTTGTTGGTTAAGAGTACTTCATTTTGTATAATAAAAAACAGGTTTTAGCCTGAAAATTCTACGGGAACTCGACCATTCCGAAAACCCCGCAAGAACGGGAACTATGTGGGAAGAACCAAAAATCTGCCGGAAGTCACTACTCCACGCGGACAAAGTCGCGGGCAAAAGTTAGTGTAATATATACATCAAAGATCTGTATTGCCCCTAAGGCGGAGAAACAGATTGACCACTCACTTTCTTTGTTGTAAATGTTTTAAATCTCAATATAAATTATGATTTTAAAGCAAATAATATCTTGTAATCTAGAATATATAGATAACGATGCTAGCTATTTTAAGTTCGAGACAATTTACTATATTGGACTTATAACCAAGGCCATTGCCTTTAAAAAAGTGACATATTTTTTTATTCAACAAACTTAAAGCATCACAATAGTAGATTATTTAAAAAAATATAAAAAAGGCACAATTTTCTTCTATACAGCCAAACTAAATCATCATAATAGTAAATCATATATCAACTTACTTTCCCGACTTCTTTCTCAACTTGTTTCGCTGTGTTGTAGATGTCATCTCGACTCGCCAAGTCGACGACATACCCAAAGCATTTACCGCCAATACCCTTGACTAGTTTGACAGTATCTTCTAAACCTGAAAGAGATGAAAAAAACATATTAATTTTATATATATTTATTATGTTTGAGGAAAAAAATTAATTATATACAGACCAAGTTTATATGAGATCATAATCAAAGGATAAATTAAGATTTTCATAATATTATATTCGATTTTCTTTTAACATTTTGGAGTAAAATTTTATACCTTTATAACTTCTAAGTCATTTTAATAATAAGCGATTTTTTCCTTTTTTACGTACAGATCCTAACTGCATAATTAGTCTTTAATATAAGGAATTATGATTTCAATATAATTATAATATAAACAATAATCATTTACTTAAACAAACATTTCGAAAAAAAGCTAGTTACTTTAATCCCAACACGAGAAAAATAAAATACTTTTATGAACAAAAGTTTGCATTAAAATCTCATCTTTTCTTAAATGCCATTACACATTCTATTTCTTTAAGGCTATGGCTTCATTCGCACTGGAATTGTCGTATATTCTACCGATGACTAGATACAATTATTAAAAGTTAAAACCTCAAATACATTTATAATCCTTTCAGAGTTTCGACCAACTACTAAGGTTTAAAAAGAACATATTTTATTTCTTTAACTATTATAATAATTATATTTAACGTTGATGAATTTCTTATATTCTTAAAAGCATTTATACGTTTATTTCAAATTAAACTTTTTCGGAACAACATTCCTGTAATACAACAAAAATTATTTACCAAAAAGCAATCGTCATTGTCTTGGAAACCGTTAAAAAAGTGTTTAGCACTTCACGTTTTCAAACACATAAAAAACTTAGTTATTTATCAATCAAATCGAGATGGAGAATTCAAAAAGAATAACAAAACATAACGATTTTTATTATAATGAGAGTATATACATATATTATTTCATATATTTCTTTCTGGCAATTTCCCAGCTTTAGCCAGGGTCTGCTGATTATACCTCATATATATGAGTAGTTAAGGAAATTGCAATGATATTGTTGGAAGGTAATACCTTCAAAGGTAATAGCACCTATTCATAGACTCATAGTATTGAAGCTTCGATCGTTAATACCCAGCACGTACATACAACGGTGTATCTCATTACAGCCTCTATTATCACGAGAAATACATTAAATATATATATAATTAAAGTGACATCAGAATTAATAATACGTTTATATTTATATGACAATTTTACTGAATCAAAGTTACCTATAATAAAGAATGAATCTATAAGTTTAGAATGATTGAAACCGAAGAAGGTTTTGTATGTTATAAAACTAGCCTTTAATGGAAACAATATGTAATATAGATATATTACAAAACAACTAATATGTGTTAATTGTTATATATTTAAGATTATTTTTGGTTTCAAATTCATATTATAAGTAAACTAATATGAACTTTTATTTATCTAATTCAAACATTCCTTTGTTAAAAAAATTTAGACGCCACATAACTAATAAGATATCATCATCACTTTATATAGAAATATATCTTACACTTTTAAGAAGGCAATTAAAACTTAACCAAGAAAATTTTAAAAAGCCTTCGTTAAGTCCGTAATGATTTATTAGGATAATTATTCTATATTATTCGTTATATAAAATCAGTAGTGGCCTAGTGGTTAAAGGGCCCGCCTCTCGTGCACGAGGGCACGGATTCGATCCTGGCAAGTACCAATGTGATTTTTCCGAGTTATATGTACTTTCTAAGAGTATTTAGACATCACTGACAGACGGTGAAGGAAAACATTGTGAAAAAATCTGGACCTATAATTTCACAATTATAAGTTTGAAATCACCAACCCGTCTTGAGCAAGCGTGGTGATTAATGCTCAAACCTTCTCCATGTGAAAAAGAGGCATTTGTTGAGCAGTGGGTTCTGATAGGCTGATGATGATGATGATGAAGAAATATTATGTAAGAAGTGGCAACCATTATCCCGTTTAGTTAAGAAGTAAGAACCAGTTAGCAGACTTACTAAATGGTAAAACTAACAAAAATTTCCGTCATTTCAAGGTTTTCATATTAAAGTTTTCTGGCCCCAAAACTATTCTAACTCACTACAAAATGTAGGTAGTAAATAAACTATCTTATCCCCTTTTGAATGTTTCAAAATATTACTAAAGATATGTTATTAAAAATCTATATACGATACTCTATAATTAATTCAGTTTAATATTAATCTGATCGCCAAGTGTAATTTATTTAATGGCATTTATTCAACAGGTATAATAATTTAAATAAGGAAGTCTACCTACTACCTACATTTTAATGAAGCAAAATTGTGGCATTTTAAACAACTGACTCTCAACAGTGACAAAGACTTAAAATAATTATAAGCAGAATATGTGTGTTTAACATTAAAGAGAGTATTATGTAAATTTCTTTAAAGAAATAAAAGTTAATTAAATAATTGATTTCCTTGCCTTGACAAAAATTGTTTTTAGATTTTTCTCAGTCCAAACTTGTAACAATAGAAATCATTGTATAGTTACTTAACCTATATAACACATGACTTTCAACATTTGTTTAATACAACGTAAATATTTGCTAAGTACGTACACCGTAAGATACAACCGTTAAATAAAAAATATTACCAGATCATTGACCGCACGTCAGATGACTCGCGAGAATTCGGCTTTGAAAAAGCTTTTGTCACAGTCTAAATGAAAAATAATCGAATACAGTCAACCCGTTATTTAAATAAATGGATGAAAAAACATATGTAGAATTTGTCAGATATATGAAACCGTTAAATAAAACCTCGATTTATTAAGTAGATAATTACTTATAGTCCAGTCATTTGGTGCCAAAAATGAGGTTTACCTGGAAAGTTACCCGGCGCGAGCGGCGTCAAAGTTGAAATTCGAAAAGAGCGTATCGAAATCTATAAATCCATAAATGTTAAAAATTCCCGGAATAATTTCCAGGTAAAACTACCAAACGACTGCGCTATTTGTTTTAATCATACCTATATGTAAATGCAATATGTTTAATGTTTATGTAGATACGTTTCTTAATTTTTTTTTATGTAAAATGTCAGTATTCTTACGAGACAAAATCTAAGCGCACGGTAGTGCGCCGGCCAAGTTCCACAGGCCGGCGCATGCCGTGCACTATATTTACACGAACCGTTTCGACCCACTTTTGACCCCCCTGTAGCTCAGTGCCTATTGCAAGTACAGAGATAAAATTTTACCTACGTAATCATATACTAGAACTAAAGCAGTATGCCAAATTTCATAGATAAAGCTTCAGTAGATCCTGAAATATGACCCTGTGAAAATAGCTAATTTTGGCACTGACTCACTGACAGGTAATCAAAACCTCTAGGCCACTTCCCATTGTTTTAGCATTATGAAATTTGGTACACAGGTTGTGTGTTATATGTAGATTAACAAAAAATTAAGAAATTTAAGAAATCGGTCAAGCGTGAGTTGCCTCAATTCTAAATATCGAATTTTTAATAAATTCGACCCACTTTTGACCCCCTGTAGCTCAGTGTCTATTGCAAGTACAGAGATAAAATTGTACCTACATAATCATATACTAGTCCTAAAGCAGTATGCCAAATTTCATAAATAAAGCTTCAGTAGATCCTGAAATATGACCCTGTGAAAATAGCAAATTTTGGCACTGACTCACTGACAGGTAATCAAAACCTTTATATAGGCGCTCAGCTCAGCACAATAAAATACATAATAATGAAATATTAATGATTAATAATATGAGTACATCTTTCAATCGGTGATAAATGAAACTAAAAAATAAAAAATAAATATAGTTTAAAAAAAACTAAAAAACACGCTCCAATGATGAAAGAAACCGCGTGGAAACTAATTTAACCTTTACAACCTTGGAAATCAATTTAATTTAAATTGTTTAAAATAAATAATAAATTGTATTATTGAAAAAAAAACGTGGGGCGCTTCTCAAGAAGTGATATATGAAGCTCATCACGCTTTTTTTTCACAAAAATACCATTTATTGTTTGTTAATTTATTTTTAAATTAATATTATTGTGAAAAAAGTGTGGGGCGCTTCTTAAGAACTGATATATAAATATATATATATACAAGGGATAAAAAATATTGTCATGTATACATTATGCACACTGTATAACTTAATTAAATATTGCTTACCTAAAAAATCAGGTTTCTATTGTTATAAATTACTTTCGATAGATGGTGCTAGCGGTATAATTGAATCGCGATATTGTTTTGTCTGCAGTATATATGAATGAAAGTCGATAAGGAATCGATGGTCATTTCTTTCTATTTCTTTCTACACTTATATCTTGATATCTTATATATGGTTACGATTACGATTAAATGGATCACTGATTTGACTTGCTAAAGGATTAATTTTGATATTGCTTATTGATTGATTACTTGTGTGTGTTAAAAGCACAAATTCACTCTATTTCTTTTCTATTATTCATTTACCAACGATGGAAATTGTACATCTTTCGGTGGTTGGCGGAGATATACCACATAGGGTAATTCCTATGCCATCAGATGGTAGCTGTATGTTTCATGCTGTAAGTTATGCATTGTTCGGCTGTATAGTACGATTGTATGTACGATTTCTTGAAAAAAAAGTATTGAAATCTCACCAAAAACATGCCTGTTAAAAAGGGGGCCAAGTTCCAATCGGCTAATTGTTTGCCTAAAAAAGGGGTGAAATCCAATCTAATGCCAAGTTTAGATGCACTTTGAAATCGATCATAATCATCTTCATCAACAGCATGATCCACTGGTAAACATTTGCCATTCCCAAGACTCGCCACCACACCCAGTCCTCTGCCTTCCACATCCAGCCACTACCCGCCACCTTATTCACGTCAACGGTCCATCTGACCGAAGTTCACTTTACCATACACCCAACTTAAAATATGGTATAGTTGTGAAAATACGTAGGTGCTTGGTTAAAAATATCTAAAATTATAATACTTCTCAATTTGAACTTGGCAGGTTTTTGTGCTGTACGTTACACTTAATTAATTGTATCATTAATTT